ATGTTTACCAGTTATAAAGCGAACACAACCTCATGTTTTTGCCACAGTGTCAACAGGCAGAGGCAAACAGCGCTGGGATTCCTTTGTATGGATTTATCTGATAAACAGTGTCATGAGGTTTTGACCAGTCAGAATCAATTGCTTAACAGAGCCATGTAATGAGTAAATTCACTGTCCCAGAGTAACGTAAAATTCTTCAGGGTAAGCAGCTTGTTTGTTAAGAAGGGAATCAGACCCTTGCCTGTTTGACCAAAACTCTGTTTGTTCAACCCATATATGGTTCCCAAACAAGGTCCAAAGCGGGTGAGAAAAGGTTCCCATATCTCTTGAAACAAACCCAAGGAAAACTCACAGCAAAAAGGCTTGACTCCTACTCTTCAAATAAAGATAAATAGAGGGTATCAATACATAGCCCTGTCCTTATTAGGCGGAATTTCTTTTCAGTATCTCACTCAAGGGAAACCCAGTTGTTGCTTCTAAAAAGAATATGTAGGTGTGAGAGTAATGAAGAGTGGGAAGGAGGGGGGAGGAGTATTAGTCATCCTTTCTCACTGCTGAGATGTTCCCAGCAGATGTGTGTAGGGGGGATTTAAACCAGCGCGAGCCTGTTTATCCTCTGACTCTCCAAGCTTATTTTCTCATTTTCTGGGACTTCAGCAAACACACATTTTGCGCGTGGAGTCGGTTTTCGCAGAGGGTAGCACTCTGTCATGATCATAAGATGTAAGCACATCTCTGCGCCACTGCCCTAAATATGAGGCAGTTATGCAACTCAGTCCCAATGTGAGGCGTCTGTCCTCTCGTGACTTTCATCCCAGAGGAGGAAAAGATCAGAGCCTCATGTTGCAGCAGTGATGTAATACAGTTTGACTTTTGCGTGCTTTGTCATCACTGTATTTAAGAGAGCAAAGACCGAGTGTGTAGTAGAAATGGAGCGAGATCAAGACAGAGAAAGAGAGAGAGAGAGAGGGAGACGTGAGGAGGGCCAGCTTTCTGCTACAAAGCATACCACCACAGCAAGATGATGTAACAGCTCCCAATTACCCATGGTGCTTTGCTGGAAAGATGAATGAAGTCGGACATGGGGAGGGCGTCAATGGAGGGGCACGTACGCATGCACGCACTTGCATTTCATCTGTATTCTGATCATGTAGAGTGATTCACACACAACGCTGTCTACAATAAAAAAAAAGAGACACTTTAACCAAAGAGAGTGGGTGTGTGTTTGTGTGTGTTGAGCATCAAGAGAAAGTAAAATCCTCCTTCCTATTCTATTTACACCTCAGCTTGGGGGCTTGACTGTGAAGAAAGAAAGAAGGAATAGATGAAATGAGATTAGAAAAAGGGAAGGTTGGCAGTTCATTGAACAGAAGAGGAGGTTGCTAAACTAAACGTCTGACGATTTGAAAGGATTGATTGATTAACAACAAAGGCAGTCCAACGGTTTTAAGGGGCCTGGGTGGTATTGGCCACCCCATCTGCACCCCATTTATTCTGTTGTTCTTTTGTTTCTCTTAACGGTATTGAAAAAGAGTGCAGATCCCTTCTCTAAATCTGTGTTTTTTTAAATGGGTTTTGGTTAGGAAACCCTAAAAAAGTCTGATGCCAGTTTGATCAAAAACCTGGCTTAAATTACTGATATACTGTCACTATGTTAGTCTGACAATGAGAAGTTCAATTTAGTGCTATTTAATCGAGTGTGCATTTATAAAGTGCAGTTTCAGTCGCACTAACGGGATTATTTGGTTTCCTTTAATGGTATTAAAAAAGAGAACATACCCTTTCTCTAAATCAGTGTTTTTTTTAATGGGTTTTGGTTAGGAAACCCTAAAAAAGTCTGATGACAGATTGATCAAAAACCTCGCTAAAATCATTGATATACTGTAGCAATGTTAGTCTGACAATGAGAAGTTCAATTCAGTGCAATTTAATCGAGTGTGCATTTATAAAGTGCAGTTTCAGTCGCACTAACGTGATTATTTCAGACGTGTAAACGTACTGATAATGCTAATATGTTTGTTTAAGCTTGTGACTTTGATAAAGTTCGCATTCAGCCAGCCTAGCTAGGCTCATCAGCCAACTCATGTTCATTTTTGCTAGCATGTAGGTCTGGAACTGCTGCCATTCTTGACATTTGCCCTTTGTGTCAGGTAAACCAGACCAATCACAATCCTTGATTTAAGATGACGACACAGGAACACCACTTCAGGGTATTCGTAAACAACAGATAAGATCTCTTAACAAGACTGAACAACTGCACACAGAGTTCATGGTGAGAAAGGTCTATTTCTGTCCTCTGAGTGCCGTTCTCTGTTCACATTGCTGTTGCTATGCGCTTCAATACCATGCTCGCATTTCAGTTTTGTTGAAAAATCACCATAGACTGTATATGCTAAGGACAATGTGGTTCCACCTTCCGCCAGTATACGGATTTGAAGCCAAAAAGCTCTCTGTAATTCCGCATTTTTTTCTCCATTTCCTGAAACCAACATTGTGCAGTAGCGTTGTATGCACTTCACCACTTGCCCAGTAGCATTGTACGCATTCGGCGGGACAGTTGCAGAGAGTCGCTGTGATGATGCTCATCTCAAACAGCGTATCCCCTGGGTGAGCTACGCAACCCTTGTACACCCATCGGCTGTATCAGGTGTCAATCATAGAAAACATGAACCCCCTAATAACTTTTAAAAATGGAGCTGTACAGAAAAAAAGAGGACTTGAGCACAAACCAGTCTATAAAAATCACAGATACGATAGGATTGTAAAATTCTAGAGTTCTAGAACCAGGATCAAAGATTCTTTGTTTAGAACTATGGGGGAGATCAAAGACACATTGGAATCCGGAATCCAGAATTACCCCCCGAGGACTTCAAGGTATCCAAGAGGATGGAAAAATCACATTCAAGTGTCCTGAGTATTTAAGGTATACCACACAAAATCTTCGAAACAGCTTCTGAGATGGACAACATCTCTGACATCGACATGGACCGATCTCAAACATCAACTGAGATCAGAGTGGACCAGTCTCAGAAATCCAGAGAGCTATCTGGCCTCTCTGTCTTCACTAAGACAGAAAGTGACCAGCTCCTGTTGTTTGTCACCCTGCTGACAGTACAAGTGTAGACCAAGTGTCACGCTCTCCAGAACCGCAGCAAAGCGGAGTGGGTCATCCATACAAAGAGACTGCGTAAACAGACCTTTAAGGGACTAAATGTCGCTGAAGGCTTCTGTCTGGATGTGAAGCACATCAAGTAAGTGAGCAGAGCTGTGCTGAGAGACTTTGAAGAGCAGTTCTGTGGGAAATGCATGCTGGAATATGTAATACTGAAATCTTTTCTGACTCATGTCAAAACGATATTTTACAAGCCTGCAAAAGCAGCATCTTTATTGAGAGGTGTAGAGGCATGCTGCGGGTGTCGTATTTCTGACAGGTTTACTCACCTCCTCAGTTTTGGTAGCTCTGTCCACACAGTCCTGCCTCGTAGAAACAGGGTAGCGGTCTCATCTATCCCAACCTAGTATCTGGTTGTGTCAGAGTGGATTTTCTCTGGGATGCTCTGGTTTCCCTCCCACACCCTCAATTTGGGCAAAAAAAAAAGACCTATGAATCATATTTCTCGTGTCTAAGCAGCTTCTTCTAAAATAAGACCTTTAACTGCAAAAGAAGTGCTGTTGCTTGAATATTTTGTCTTTTTCACATAACTCTTTAAGATGCAGGGTTTTGCCTTATATTTGGACAAGGCAAGTGCTAAAATAACTTTCGTAAATGTAGCCATCTTGTTTCTGCCTCTGATTTTACTTTTTTCCGACTTGGTAACTGAAACACTATATTTTTTGGGGTCTTGGCATCTCTAACCATCTTTCACACACAACAGTGCCGTCATTTAAAAGCCACTTGACGTATTGCAATATTGACAAATAAATGTATTTTGTCAAAATTCTTGTTACAATTTTCATTTCCAAATTTTGGTTGATTAAGACTAGCATTAGCGAGAGCAGCTGGCATGGAGGTGAGGACATCAGTCTTACGATATAAATCGTTAAAAAAAGCGGCCGAACACATCATAACGCTAAAATCTCACTCTTTTCATTTTCTGAAACTCTGGAGCCCTGCGTTTACATTTTTATCTGATTAGACATTATCACCACTAACATGCTCATCTGGGCTTTCTCAACAGTTTCTGATCAATAGAGAGGAAACTGGAGAGGAGCATTGATGGGGACCGGGACTAACATTCCAATTCTCCTGGAATCGTTCAGATTTTAAAATTTAGATTCCAACTTTCGATGCCAGGGTCCGCCGACCGGAAGAAATAGCCGCCAAACACCAAGAGGACAAAGCATATGAGACGAAGCCACAGAGAGAGAGAGTGCGCATTGCAACTCATAGCGGCTGCGGTCAAAAGTTTGGCTAACTTTAGCAGCACAGTTATATCATGCAAAGGAGGGTGAACGACCAACATGATTAAACACCTCAGGATTCATGGAGGAGAAATACCTGAGTGCCCTTCTTTGACTCACTTTGCCGGTCTTCCGCTAATCAGCCAGAATCAGATAAGTGAAACAATAAATTACTTCTGTCTTTTGCTAACTTTGAAGTGGCAAACAAGTTGTCCCGTGTACTTAAATATCCAACTAACATTAGCCCTTGTACTTTTTCATAGACAAACGACCTGACCACAAAAACATGCTTTTTTTAAATATCCTGCCTTTTAAAAGATTCGGAATAGAGAATCGTTAGGAACCAGAATCGAAATAGTTCAAAATCAAAGATACCCAACCCTATACAGTACTTGACAAACAGCCAATACGTGCAGATTTCTATCTCTCATAGACCCTACATTTCAGTTATAACAGCTTCATCTTCACGCCTGTACATTGTGTTACATTTTGGCCACAGATGATGTAAAGCAGCCTAGAGGAGGAACGCACTCCAATGTCTGAACAAAGCTGGTGGTAGACTCCACACGCTGCCGCTCTGCTTTCACGCATGGCGACACATATGGGCCTGGCTCGCGTGCATATGTGTGCGTGCACGTGTGAGTAATGCAGTGGGATACCCAGCAGCGCTCTGAGATTGCATAACCATCAGCACCAGCAGCAGCAGTGGCGGCGGTGGCAGCAGCAGCATCCTGCTATATGGCTGGTTCGACTGGAACCACAACCAGCCGCTCGATGCATGAGCAAAAATCTAAAAGTCAGGACAGGGTTTTGGGGAAACGTGACAGATTTTTTATTTCCACACACCTTGCAGAGTGGGAGGAAAAAGAGGAGTCAGAGGAGTCACGAGCTGTACTTTTGAGTCAGTGTGAGGTGTGCAAGGTGGGATTAAAACACCACCACAAACTGTTCACCTGCATCACACCTCATGACGACAGAATACCAGTAAAAAGAAATTAAATTTGAAAACAATTTAAAAGATTTTAAAGTAATCAAACTGGTTAAAAATATCAACATTTCTCTGGTGGAGGAGTATTTTTAATTCATTCTCCCCTCCGTGATTCACACACCGACATGATGACGGTGACCGGAGGAGCGGTGTCTTCTGACGTCAGGGGAGGAGAACGACACGCTCCTCCAATGAGGGGCCGGGGATGTGCAGCGCGAGGACGGAGCTTCCAGAAGGCTAATAACCATGCCAACTGAGGAATACAGCGCGCGCCTCTGACTGGGTAGAAAAAAAAAAAAGAAGAAGAGAGAGAGAGGGGAGAAGAAGGAGAAGGAGAGGGGGAAACCCTGAAAAAGAGGACGAAAATTCTTCAAATCAAAAAGTACACCGTGGAGGATAAAGGAGAAGGATATCCTGGTTTCGTACAGGGGAGAAGAAGAAGAAGACAAGCTGGTAATTTTCTCCTTTTTTTGTGTGTGTCTCTGTGGCGTGGTCTTCCTCCCTCCCTCCCCCCTTTTTCTCCCCCTTCTCCTCTCCCTCTCTCGCGCTGGCTCAGGGACTGCACTGCTGCAGCTGAATGAAACGGATCCAGGTATTAATTTCCTCTCCTTATTGCTAACACATAAACAAACACACACACTTGGCGGTTAAAGAGGAGACGCACGCGCCGCTGGCGGTTCTGGATGCACGGGGCTGCTGCACGAGCGCTTCTTACCGCAGGGGGGGTGCGATTCTTTTTTTTTTTTAAAGCTGCGGGGCTTTTTAGGAGCTCGTGGCGGTGTTTGGTGGTGACCTTCCCCGGCTGTTTGCAGTCATTGACGGTGTGTGCGCGTGCGTTTGTGCGCGCGAGCATGAAAGAGAAAGGGGAGGGGTGAGATGAAAAATAAGGGGGAGTGTGTGTGTGCGTGTGTGTGTGGAGGCTGAGGTGGGAGGTGTGTGTGTGGGGGGGGGGGGGGGATTTTTTTTGTGAATGGAGCTCCACGTCCACATTTTTGGCGCGCGCTACTGGCGGAGCTAAAATTAGCCTTTGCTACATTTCTGTCTGTCTGTCTGTTTTCTTTTCGTACGTCGACGCGCAATAGCAACAACAGCAGCATATATGGATCGGAATCCAAATTAGGGAGGTTTTGGATGCCGAGCCAGGCGCACACACACCCACGGGCACGCGCTCGAACACGCCACTGGTGGATAGGACAGCAGCTACCACCGCGCCGTGCCCCAGGACGTCATGCACCATTTTTAGAGATGCTCTAAAAATAGAATTTGTTGATAATGATTTTTAATGTTAGGGAATTGAACGTCTACTTTAGTTTCAGGCACCGTCTAGGTAGGAATGCCTTCTTAGCGGTGTGATTTTGTTGCCGTTGTTTCGTTTTTTGGTGTTTTTGTAAGCTTCGCTATCCGTCACATTTCTCTTGAGACAAAATGGAAGGAATGTTTTTGTCATATGTATGGAGTGCTTTTCTGACGTCTTGGCTCTCGTGCTGTTGCTAATTACCTGTCAGCGTGGTGTGTAGGAGCTGCTGGTGACGTGTGTGCCTGGGTTCAAGAGTATGCTTGTTTTCATGAATGAATGAATGAGTGATTGAATGGGCGGATGGATGTAAATTGACGGTTTTGTCTCGTTCTCAGGGGAAAGATGATGGTATCCTCTTTTTTTTCTTCTCCTTTACTTATATGTTTATCATGTCCTCCACTCTGGTCTTTTCTCTTCTCCTTACTCATACTCGCCTCTTCTGTGTTGCGACTTTTTTCTCTCCATCTCTCCTTCCTTCAAACCTGTGGTGTGTTGTCATTTTTTATGTCCTTGATTTCTATTTACTGTTTATCTTTTTGCAAGTTGAACTTTTACCTCTCTTTTACTCCATCCCCTATTTTATTATTATTTATCACTATATCTGATGATCTACTGCCTTGCCTTTGTACTTTAATCTCCCTTCCGTCCTCTGTCTGTCTTGCATAACTTCTTTCCACGTCACTCTAAAGCCCCCTCCATCTTCACATTCATCCATACTTGTTCTTCTTGACTTACTTCTTCCCTCTTTTCCTTTCTCCTCCCTCCCCCTTTCTCTTGTTTCTCCAGCTATGATTCTCTCTCTGGCCGCGGCAGCAGCCATGAGTAGCGGCAGCAGTAGTAGCCTCAACTCCTCCTCCCCCCTAGACCCTTTTGACTCGTCCACCTCCTGGAGCCTGGGCGAGGACCCCTCCAACTCCTCCTCAGAGCCAGTTGTACGAACTCTTACCCCTGAGCTCCAACCTGGGACCACCGCTGTAGCTGTCCAGGAAGTCAGTCCCTGGGACATTGCTCTGTGTGTGACAGGGACACTCATCTCCTGCGAGAACGCCCTGGTGATTGCTGTGTTGTTCTACACGCCAACGCTGCGTGCCCCGATGTTCATCTTGATTGGATCACTGGCAGTAGCGGACCTCCTGGCTGGTTTAGGCCTCATCTTGAACTTTGTCTTCACATATTTGGTCGACAGCTCAGTGGAGTTTGTGACACTGTTGTCTGTCGGACTGCTCATATCTGCGTTTTCGGCTTCTGTCCTAAACATCCTCGCCATCACAGTGGATCGTTACTTATCCTTGTACAATGCCCTGACCTACCACACTGAACGGACGGTCACCTTCACTTATGTGATGGTAATCTTCATCTGGGTGTCATGTCTAACGCTCGGCTTGCTGCCAGCGCTCGGCTGGAACTGTCTAAAAGACGATTCTACGTGCAGCATCTGCCGGCCGGTCACCAAAAACAACGCTGTTGCGCTAGCTGTCACCTTTCTGCTTGTCTTCGCTCTAATGATGCAGCTCTACCTGCAAATCTGCAAGATCGCCTTCCGCCATGCTCAACAGATTGCTGTCCAGCACCAGTTTGTGGCTATCTCCACAACCAAAGGAGTCTCCACACTGTCAGCCATCTTGTGTGCCTTTGGGGCATGCTGGCTGCCATTTGCCATGTACTCTATTGTGGCGGACTCAACCTACCCAGTAATATACACCTACGCCACAGTTCTACCAGCCACCTGCTGCTCTGTGATCAACCCCATCATCTATGCGTTCCGCAACCCAGACATCCAGAAGTCACTGTGGATGGCGTGTTGTGGCTGTGTCCCATCCAACCTCTCACTCAGACCCAGGACCTCCAGTGACGTGTAGCAGGGAAGGTCGGTTTCTGTTTGGTTTGAGTTTTGATGCAGAGTCCAGGTGGTATGAAGGGGATGTGGGGTACAGAAGGCCAATCAGAGAAAAGTTGATCGCTTCCACTTGGGCAGACAGGCTGATGGCGAAGGCACGGCTGGCCATGGTAGAAGTGATACAGGCACGGACAGGACAGTGCATGGTAAAAAAAAAAAATCAGAGCTAACAAAGATCATGTCCTGTCTGTTGTAGGAAAAGGGTATCTGAGGTGGTGTGAAACCAACTGCAAAAGCCTGATAAAGGTTTCTTCATGGTAGTTGAGGAAGTTCGAAAGGGTGACTTTCCCAACTGACCTTGTTTAGGGTGCGAGAAGTGAGGCCTACTTCTCAAGAGTAGCATACAATGTGAGAGGAAAGATTTAGGAAGGGGCATCCTAAATCTCCATAGGACCTGTGCTCAGGCAGCAATGCTTGGTTATGCAATCAGAAGGAGTGAAACAGTCTTTAAATACTGTATGTGTTTGAACCTAAGTGGATAAAAATACAATGAGCTAAATATACCCAATGAACAACCTAGAGTTGTCTCAATGAGCTATCTTTGCAGTCTTCTGATAGGAAAAAACAGGAGTATCTCTTCCCTTGAAGCCCTTTTATCAATGATTTACTTTGATTGGAGTTGAGATTGGGTAATTAATGAGTTTGTGGATAGAGAGTGATAATTATTAGAACAATAATCACATCTTGTGTGAAGGACTTAGATTAGTTGGCATCAAAATATTCAATATTGCTAGTCTGAGCCCAGTTTGACTTTTCCCAATGCCAAAATCACACATTTTATGCAAGAAGTTGGCAAAAAAAATGGTCAGTAAAAGAAAACCAAAGGTTCCAATTATAGACCGTCCTTCCCCAGACATTCAAATCCTCAACAGTACCAGGCCCCCCAAAAGCATTTGGAGGAAATTAGACCAAGAGACGGTTTTCTGTCTCTAGATGTGTGTTATGTTTAGCGTCACAAAATCAAATCTGCTCCCTGTTGGCCAAAATAAACAGGTTTCTCAGCCAGCTGCTATGCTGTGATTGTGAAGCAGAGAGAAAAAAAGGGAGGAAGAGTGAAAGAAAAAGGGTGAAAGAGCTGAATTCAGCACCAAGGACAGCGCCACTGCAGAGCGCTGCTACCCTGGGAATGCTCTTTGCTGAGGGGGGGAGAGCGCTCTAAGTAGGCTACGCTGTTCTCTACACCATCTTGACAGGGAGTATCATTCTGGGGACCATCCCAGCTTGAGATGGATTGATCATCTGCAAATTATTTCTTGTTAATTGACTGTTTTTGTGCAAATAAGTATGCTAAGAGTCAATTTTGCCATTATGTTAAGGGTCATTTCACCGATTTAGTCTTCAAAACAAAACAGCATGTAGTATTTGCATGATTTGACCAGTAGGAGGCTTTTGCTTTTTAAATCAATTCCATTACAATTCAAGTAAAGGACACTATGAGGTGTTTCTTCTGCAAAACAAAGAAAGTCTTGGAAGCAACATCAAGCTCAAATGTGCCCAAATCAAATCTAAAGGCATCACTTTAGACAAACATTGCTTGAATTTGCTTAGCAACTATAAATGGATGATACTTTAACTCCCATTTGATGGTATTTGGGGTGTTCAGGTCAAAAGGAGGAAAACAGACAAAAATAACACTCAAATGCTCTCAACATTGAGGGCAAAAGGCAAGCATTTGCAGAAAATGACTCCAATTAAGCTGAATTGTCCCTAAACATCCACTTGAAGTCTCGATGGCCCCGTCCTCTGTGTCCTTCATTTCTTCCTCGCCCCTCCTGTATCTCAGCCATGGAAATTATGCATGAGAAAAGCAATGTATGGCCCCTTGAGCGCCATTAGAACAAGGCGTCTGACACAAGCAAGGTGAAACAGCTGATGTTTTTCAGATGTTTATCTGCAGCCGCAAAGCGCCGTTTAGGTCGGCACGGCTCTAAATTTAGAGCCAGCGCTTAAGCTCCATTGCCCGATTGATTATCCATTAGCTAAAGCCAAGCATGATCCATATTGGACAGGTCATTTTTCATGTCGGCAGCTTTGGTTGGCAACAGGACATCCAAGTTCGACTACAGCTATGCTTTTCACATCCCTGCAGTGGTGTCAGCACGTAGCCCCAAACATGACCCTTATTTGGGTTTATTCCTCCAGATTTTGCCTTCCAAGTCTTTCCTTCTGTTTCATAATCTGTCAGCAGTAGCAGGATATTCATCACACGCACATACAGCAGAGCGGTCTTGCCCTGGGGGCCCCTCTCAAGGCTTGGAGGGTTAATGGGAAAGGAGAGAGGCAAGGTGACGCGGCGTGAAATGGAAACGCCAAGTGAGACGCGCCTCAGTGTAACCTCGGGTCGCGTCCACCTCACACCCCAATCAGGATGAAGTTATTTCCCTCTGAAAGGGCATCATGTAAGTTAAATCCAGCTAATGTTAATAACGTCTCAGTAATAATGGCGCAGGGAGTTGGCCTAATGTACAGAGGATGTCGTAAGGATGAGCTGGAGAGGAGATTTATTGCCAACCTCTTGCTTCTTTTTAACAATCCACAGAGATAGTTTTCACTCTTGTGTTTCCCTCAAGTAAGGTGTCATGACTAAGCTACCGGCTTGCCGCTAATAAACCTGTGTGGGAAGTGAACTGGCCTTGGGAAAACTACTTCATTGACGCTGTATGAGCTGTCAAAAAAAACCTGCAAACTCGACACTTCGAAAAATACAGGATGTTTCTGTCACAACACTTCCAAAATTAACGCTTTCTACCAAATATATGACGATAAATGACAGCAAAGTTAAAAACGGAAACTTTGGAAATGGCGCTCAGAAGACGCAGGTATTTAGATTCTTTTCTACTGTGTACATTCAGAGCTAAAGTAGGAGTGTTTTCTATTTTTCTTGCCAGCAGCAATCAATCAGTTGTTAGCAGAAAAGCTACGCCACAATGGGTTTGTTTGAAAAAGCAGAATCTCCTGTGTCTTTTTTTTTTTGTTTTCTGCCTTTATTGGAACAAAAACTCCTTCGCAATAATGTCTAACTGTATTTTGCTGTGTACAAAAAGCCACAATGAAGAAAAAGAGAGGAAGACAGACAGAGGTGGTAAACTTTGAATAATCTACTAAAGAAAAAAATGCCGAAGCAACAAATTGCACACTGAACTGTCCTTGACAGAAATGTTGTGTCGCTGATTGGGTCACTAATGAAAGTAGGATGAACCCAAATTTAAAGTAGAAGCTCTTTATTTCCCCTCTAAAATTAGCTTTATTTTTCATATTTGCAATGTAACCACCTCTTTCTCTCTCTCTCTTTTTTTCTTAATCACTGCTTTGATGGAACTGCCTATTGTTAAAAGGCTTGCATCATTTTCTCAGTGAAATAATTTCGATTACTCAGAATCTGGAGATTGATAGAGTTTTGGCACCTTTTGTAAACTGCAGCACTGTGGGGGGTTGGATCGCCGGTGGTGCCAAGGCAAAACTGATCGATCCCAGAGAGTTAATTGAATCTATTTCGGGAGGGATTCTGATGCAGGTCCTGTTGGCACACAGATATCCTGTATGCACAATAACGTGTGAGAATTGCTTTGTCACCTGTGTTTGGAGATGCTAGATGGGACGAAAATAACATCTTGGGGGAGTTTGACATCACATGCTGTCATAAGTGTTATCCTGAGACAGTTTAAGACTTCGCCTAGCCCAGTCAGAGCAATACTGATGGAGAACCTGCACTGACTAGGCTACAGCTAAGATCTTAGAGTAGTTTTCGTACCGCCCTCGAATCAAATTACTTTGGAAACACGAGCCAGACTTGGTTAGGGGAATAAATATCTCAATCCTATCAGCACATTTTTGCGAAAAATTTAAAGATCGTCATCATTTCCCAGCTAGTGTTGGCATGTTGCAAGCTAGCAAACAAGCTAAAACATACCATTCAACAGGTTGTGTTGTTTGGCAGTAATCTTGACTCACTCAGTACAAAGTAATGACGAATTTGCCATAGAAACTGTATATAAACAAGAAAAGAAGTTCTTTTAATTTTTATTGAACTCTACTCATGCTGGCATGTGCCGAGCAAGCTAGCATAAGTCTCACCAATATGTTAACAAAAGATTAGCTAGCAACGGTAAATACATACTGTAGGACAGATTCAAACTCTAAACTGCAGTTAATAAAGTAAACAGAAAGAACCATTAATGCCATTGTGCTGTTTAGCAAAACGTGTTTCAGGACGGCTAGCATACCTTACGCTCGAGAGTTTGTTAAAGGTAGCTTAACAAGCTTCATAAAAATTTTTTTTTACATTTTTCTGGATTTTTTTTTGCATCAGGATTGGCTTAGGGCTTTTTTCTTATTGTTTTGATCAAGTAGTAGAATTTTTTTTTGCTAGCCAAGTAAACTAATCGCCATAACTTCAAAAATGAAGTTGAAAGATTTGAGAGTATTTTTATTTTTGGCTACTCTGAAAATAAAAATAAAGAAAGCTACTTGTTCACTTTTTAGCATTTTTTTGGCCTTTAATATTTTAATACAGCACAAATAAAATAGAATAAACTCTGGATATTACTTTGCCAACTTGCAATTGTACATAGCTTGCTTGCCAGTATGCTAACATTTACATTTTTCAAGAATCAGACTGTAATATTTTGTGGTAAATTAACATCTTTACTGGCAGGTATACCAGATGTTAAATTCAAACACTGTGAAAACGATCAAGAGTAATTTATCTCTATCCAAGTCTGAAGGTAAAGAATTCAGAGCGAGAGTGGCAGACACAGCTAAAATTAGCATTGTTAGCAGCGTCACACTGCTTTAAACTGTGACTGTCCTATCTGGCATGTCTATCTCGTGATAGCTGAACAGCTAATAACACTCATCTGTGAATATGCCACAACTCAGTCAACCATTCCTGGGGTGGGAGTGGAGTGACCTCTCACTGTGTGAGTGCGTACGAGCCGATGTTTGTGTGTGTGGGTACGTGTGTGTGTGTGTGTGTGTGTGTGTTATCCCTCGGGATCATAGCCAATTGTAATGAACCATAACTCAACCAACTCGCACTGTAAACTCAAACACATGCAGAATGGTTTCGTCAGTCGCTATACAGGACTATAACTCCATTTAAAAAAGAGAAAAATAAGAGATACCGTACAAGTGAGTGTGGGTGTTCTTTTTATTATGCAATGCTGTACAGAAATGTATATTTTTGTAATGTTCATCAGGGCATGAGTTACAAAACATGGTCGCTGCTGTGAGCATGTTGTGAGAGAGTGTGTGTGTTTCTTCCTCTGTGTTCTTCCTACTAAACAAACGTTTCTTTAAGAGAAAACTAAGAAGTGGCGTGTGTCGGAAATGCTAAAAAAGTGCCATATTTTTGACTTTCCAGTGTCTTATTCTTGAGTTCGTGTACATACATGTTCGTCTAAGGAGTTGAGTCTAAAAATCTGTAAACATTAAAAAAATAAAAAATAAAAAAAACGCCGGAGAACGAAGAAGTTAATGTCATGTAGTAGGGCTTGACCTTGGCATCTTTTCGCAGCAGAAAATTCGCCACTTTTTTCTCGGCTGTAATGTCATGTCACACTTTTTACGTTTCAGGCAGCAACAAGATGAGTATCAGATAGTATCAGTGTTTCCGTAAGATGTCTTCTTGACTTTAATTGCAGTAATCTGAGCTTTTTTCCACAAACAGACCTGCACTAGACGAATAAGAGAGGGAGAGGAAGGGAGAGTATGTGACATCGTTGTACGTCAGAGTCAGGTTACTGGTGACGTCATTTTAGTCTGAGTCGTGTCTAAGAGAGCAGGTCGTTTCAAAGACATCCCCCTCATTTCTCCGTCCTACTCACCCCTCTATCTCTTGTCCTCTTCCCTTTCGTTAGCTTTGGCTCTTTTCACCCTCTTGTTTTCACTCGCTGTCTTTTGCCCCGCTCAACACCCTCCCAGCATCCCCCCTTTTTTTCTCTCCCCAATACGTCTTAAGATTTTTTCAACCCTCCGCCTGCAGTAGGCGAGTCGACCGGTCTGCTTCTAAAAATAGCCACCCTGAAAGAACAGAGGAAGTAAAAAAGGTAGGCAGTAAAGACGTAGAAACCGACTCTTCACTTCACATCAGCAGACAAAAACAACCGCCTCCTTTTCTTTCAAGTTGCCGTTTCTGTCTCATCTCCTTCGCGCACATTTGTCTCCGTCTATTTTTATTCCTCTCCTCATCCGTCTTTTTCTGTCTCCTCTGAGCACAAACATTAATACCAAGAGTTTTTAAAAAGCAGGGTTCAGGGGCGAGTGCTTACAGCAAATAAGCAGCACCCAGGCTAGGCTAGGCTAGGCTAGGCTAGCAGAGATTGTCAATCAAAAAAACCATTACAGAGCTAATTTTCTATATCGGACCGGGTATGGCCTTCATAGAAAAACATTGTTTTGTGTGTTGTTGTTGTTGTCGGTGTGGATGAGGGAGCATCACTGATTTGAAATCATAAGGGGAAGCAGGGTGTTGTGGGTAAAATGCAACTGTGATGTCAGACGTGAAGCAGTGTCCTTGAATCATGTTGTTTTTCTTCTTTAACGTCTTATTTATTTTGTGTCCTCTTTGAGTTTGTGTCGTGAAACAGTCGATAAAAAGTACAAATGCACTTTATAAAGATGGACATGTTACACATTGCACTTGTAAATGTCGAATGTAAAACCTTGAAGAGAGAGATTTATTTTTATTAATGTACATAAACGAGAATAAAAAAAAAGAGGAATAAAGTGGAGAATAATTTGCCAAATAAACTGAGAACAAAAAAAAAAAAGATAGTTTTGTGTTTTTTTGTCTGTGTGTCGGGATGAAGTTTATCCAGTGATGTGAGGGTTTCGTGGGCGTTTGCGTGACATCGTCCGCGTGTGGGCGGGTGTTCTTACGAGCCCGTGTGTGTGGGGATGGCGAGTGTGTGTGTGAGTCAATATTGCGGGTCACTCTGGTGTTAAAGGAAAGCCTGGGCATAAAAAAAGAAGCCGATGAATTATTAAACCACTCCCTGCTTGCATAACAGCAGCAGAGGCAGAGTGAGAGGAGGGAGAATCCAATCAGACGACAGCCGCGTGATGGTAAAAGACACGAAGGGATCCGTGTGAGAAGAACAGATGAAAATCAAAAGAGAGATAGAAAACAAAGTAAACAGTCTTTAGGACGATCACATCTTAAACATATCACTCATTTTTACACCACAAGCTCCGTTATTGTGTAAATCTGAAATGTCATTAAGTATGAGCAAAGATCCCTTCTGTCATTCTTGCCAGTTTAGTTTATGTTCACACAAAAACTGTAGATTAAGAATGCACAACATACACAATGTGATGCCATATAGTAGGATAGTTCAATTTGGGACACAGCCAGTCATCTCTTTGTAAGAAGACTAAATCTGGTTATACTTACTTTGATGTAGGGTCAATACGTCCTCTTTTACCCGGAAATGTCCTCTGTTTTGGGGGCTGTCCGGTCTTGTCCGGGGGAGTTTATAAACTCCTTCAAATGTCTGGGGTTTTGACCCAACCCGAAAAACTCTCAAAATTTATTGCGTGCGACTCCATCCCGGATCCAGAATATGGTCACCCTAATTAATGCTGCAAGTTGATGCTATACTTTATCAACCCCCTAAATGACACTTTTGCCTCTTTTCAATCTGTTACATCTGCTATCTCAGCATGCTTTTCTAGCCACTTTTTGAATGGCAAGAAAGATATTCAGAGCACTTTTTTACACAAAATTTTACGTAAAATACCATGAAATTTGCAAACAAGAACCATGCTAACTACGGAATGTTACACTAGTTGTTTTTCAGTACAGATTATAACATAAAAAGTACCAAAATTTAAGTAGTCAGAATCTTACATTAACAAAGTTTTTGTTTTTATTGTAAAATTTGGAGTATAATAATAAATATAAAAAGTCAAAGTCACATTTTTACGCCACTTTTTGAACCACAAGAAAGATCCAGAGCCCTTTTTTACACCAAATTTTACGTAAAATACCATGAAATTTGCAAGCAACGATCATGCTAACTACAGAATATTATGCTAGCTAGCAAAATGATACTTCGCTTGTTTTTCAGTGCAGATTGAAACATAAAAAGTACCAAACTTTAAGTAGTCAGAATCTTACATGAACAAATTTGAAAGTTTTTGTTTTTATTGTAAAATTTGGATATATTATGACAGGAAAGAAAAGGGTAACTAAGTGGCTTTTAAAGTTACCCCGGCGTGTTTCAGTTTGCTTGCTTTAAAATGTAAAAAGTCAAAGCCATAAAAAATTTTTGCGAACAGTTTTCCCATTTGCACATTTAAAATTTAAACGTCTCTAATCAACCAAACTAGCATCTGAATTTTCAAACAGTTATTGATTAATTTTAAGCATTTTGCAGATTGATGGTTGAAGAAAAAAGGCAAATACACAAAATTAAACAGCCTGTTGGTCGTGTTTATGTAACGCTCTTCGGTGTTAGCTAACGTGAGTCCTTTTATACTTGAGGTTTCCTACAGTGTAAAGAAGCAGGTCATCTAACAATGACGGAAACAATGACGATAACCAGAACAGAGCTGTTAAAATATCAATAATACAAATGACAGGTGTATTGATTATGGCAAAATTGAAAATTCAGGAGAAGATTTTAGTCATGACAGACTCTGACGCAGGTGAGAATTTAACCTTTAATCACTCTAATTTGTACGCCAATGAGAGACGTTTACACAACCATGAAGCTGTTGGGAAGTGTGTGTATGTGTGTGTGTGTGTGAGTGTGAGTGCTGGACTCCTTGACTCACCTCTATGCAGTCTCAACAAGGAGGGAGAAGAGCTCCACCACATGGCCAGACGTGAGCGCTGCGCGGACAGACGAGGATGGAAAAGACGCAGCATCCACCCACCCACACACTCACCTCACTTCTTTTACGTCATTCGAGCAGCTCTGTGAAAGAACGCACGAAGCTGAGCCAAGCCTCTCTCTCCCTGTCTCAATCTTTTCTCTCTCTCCCTCCCTCCTCTCTCTCACTCTCTCTCTTCTATGAGTCAGAATCCTCTCTTCACCATCTGCTGCAGGATGCTGCAAATCACCTGCATGTACGTGCATGTGTTTGACAGCCAAAAAAAGAGCGCAGAAGGTGGTGATAGCCCTGCATCTGTTGTGTCTGACTCATGCAAACACACGCTCGTACGCGCGCGCACGCCTCCTCTCCGCCCTGATCTGCAATTTAAATGAGCGTTTGACTGAAACCTGTGAAGATTATTTCCTCCATGTGGCCAGGAAATGACCCAAGGGTGCACTTAATGTGAACCAGACATCGTTAGCAAACTATCCTTCAGCGTGCGAGCTCTTCAGAATTTTAAATACTGTCCGGTGACTTTAATGCGAAGCCCGACTCTTCTCCAGACACTGAATTTGTTTTAATTAGAAAAACAGCCCTAGGTTCAGAAAAATTCAAAAATGCGTCTGAGATTGGTTTCAGGTAAAGCAAATCCAGTCCAGAGATTTTAGCACATGTTTTAAAGTCTATGTTATGAAGATAAACAACCGCGCCGCACGTCACACAGCTCTAAAGAAGCTAATCAGCATCTGAAGACATCCACCTGCTGCCTTGATGCTCTGCCAACAAGCTGCTTTTAAAGTGACTCTGGCTGTCTGGCAACAGACCTGCTGCAATTAGTGAACCGTATTTGCCGTCATTATGTAATTTCCCTGATGTTTTCAGACGCCCCGCAACAAGGATGAACATCTGTGAGGGGGTGATGACAGACCCTGTGATTTCTTCTTGTAAATGAAAAGACGGTTTTTTCGCAGGTAAGGAGTGGGATTGTCTGTCGGCTTTCAAATGTTTCAGCCTGAGTTAAAGCTCCAGTGAGGAATTTTTGGTTTGTGTTGACTTTGGCGCCCTCCTGTGGACAAAGCCTTTTCTCTTCAGTGATTTTTGTCCTGACGCTTTGAAACCTAAAAATATCTCTGTAGACTTACAAAAATAATCGTTAAGCTACATGATGGTAGTAGTCGGCGACAGGAGCGCTGTTTAAGTCATGGTTGACGATCTGAGAAGCCATTGAGGCAGATTTGAAAAAAGCGTCTGCCTGGACAGCTACCGTGTTGACATTGCAGAGACTAATAAGAGTTATTTATGTAACATGTGCCACGATAAAAGGTGATAAAGATTACCTGTTCAACAAAAACTCTGCTGTCTCAGCGTCTGTTTTTAGGACCAAATCCTGGCAGAGCTTTCTCTACCGCTCGAAGGATGACCTGATGTTTGTTCGAGTTACATTCCTCGCTTGGTCACATTTAGGGATGCACCAATCCGATATTTGATATGGGTATTGGTACCGATACTGAAGAGAAATTCTAGATTGGGTATCGTGACAATCGGCCCAATGCATAGGGGCCGATCTATTGAGTGGCATCCACAAGTAAACATGCTGAACGGATGCCCGCACTGTTTTCAAAATGGAGCGAGCAAAGGGGTCTGCTATCTTGAACTTTATCATGATACCTCAGCCTACAAGCTCGACCGCCGCTTGTAACACCTGCGCAGTAAACGTTCCAAGAGGCAGTGGTAAAACTTCAAGTGAACTTCACTGAAGTGCATGTAAACACCTTAGTCTGACTGTAATTGGAGTTTGAGAACTCTGAATAAGACACCCAGATAATGCGATTGAAATTCAATTTTCTCTACCATGTAACTAGTGACGTCGGCATATGATTGGACAATGCGCGTGTGCCACGCCTCCGTAACCCCGGAACAAAAACACCAGAGAAGAAGTGGCACGATCATTTAAAGAACTTTCGACTCAGAAGCAACTGAATGTCCACTTTAGGAACGACGATGAGAGTGCCTTTATGCTTTCCGTCCTGACAGAAATGGGCATTTTAAAGTATTTGGACGTTTGCAAGACGAGGAATGAAGACATCTTTATAAAAGGTCCAGAAACAGCGCCGCTGAAAAGACCCATATCGCCCCCTAGTTTTAAAGAGGAGAACACGTTCACGTCAATAATTAGACTTTCGCAGCAGCATGTATATGTGGACAAGGAGAGAAGTCCGATTCTGCGAAAAAAGAACGAATTATGAGCTTAGTCCGATTAAGCTGTGCATGTAAACGCACCGATTGACTCGTCCTCTGCTGCAGCTGCTTCTTCATGTTCCCTGTTTTATGGCAGGTGGCAAAGAACCACTAGCAAAGTATTAGCATATGCCAAACTTCAGCAAAATATCAGTATATCCTATTTCTATAAAAAGACGGTTGCCTCTAGATCACGATCTATTGCCTCTGGAATAACATATTGAGATCACATTATTACACAGTATATCTGCTATTCTCTGCGAAACCATTATGTAAAAAAAAAAAAAGTGTTCTCTTTGAAACATGCAAATACTTTTTACAAGTTCAAATGAGGCTTTTGTAATAGAAATGAGTAATTATGGATTTGTGCCGAGGTGTTGAGAAATCTGCATACTTCCCTCTGTGGTTGTCTGTAATGAATTCTAACAGGTAGAAAAATCCATTTATCAACTTCTGCATGTCATAGAGAGTCAGCTGTAATTAAAAGCCGCCCTTTAATAAGCCAAACATGTCCAATAACTGAGGTGACATTAAAATCATTTCGCCCACAGGCACTAACGTCACCGCTGTTAATGGCTCTGTGTGTTTGTCTCCATACAAGAATATAAAGTAGGAGGTTTTTCAGTCAGTGACGGTATCTGACTGATTCTGAAAAAGAAAAAAACATCTGGATTTAAATAGCTATGAGTCACCAGATATGTCAGATAAACTGAGAGCTTCTTCTTTAAACAGGCTTATCTGGAGTCTTTGTTTCCAAGATTAGATCCAGATTAAATTTAGACAGCAGCAGGAAGGACAAACACACGAGTTATTTCAGACTCTGACCTAAAAAAATCCAGATTTTAACGGAACAATCTGCATCTCTCTTTCAGATACACTCTCTATGTTGTTTTGAAATCCTTCACCGTGGCTCTGTGGTGCTTTCTGTACTTTCCACTGACCTCTCTCTCTCCCTCTCGCGCTCCGTCTCTGCTGTGTCACCATCTGCGTCCCAAAATGACTCCTCTCATCCAAACAGCACCCACTGGGTCCTCCTCCGCCCCGCCAAGGCCCAGAACAAACAACCATCCATGTTGGCAGCGGTGGGCGTGTCGCAGAGCTGAGAAACAGAGTGACGGTCGCTGGATTTACGTCACCGAAAAAAAAGATGAGTGACACCGGTGAGTGGATGTTAATCTTTGAGTCAGGAGGGTTGATAATTTACTGCAGAGAAAACCTATTAGCACCATAATGTCAACGTATGACGTAGAGTCTCTAAATATAGCCGTCAGCCTCGTTAAATGGCAACCTGACATTTAAAATGTCCTTTTTGTAAAACTCTGATTTTAATTTAACCCAAAACATGGACTTCATTTCAGGTTAAATACAGTTTCCTCCACCGAGGGTCAATTTAACTCACCTTCAAGTCTCTGAAATCTCAATTTAAAGTCTCACTCTGCAGTTTTTCATGATTTTAAAAGGAATTACATAGTAAATAAGACACCCTGTTGAGAAAAAGTGCATAAAAACAGTGACAGTGTCTTCTGAATTTCAAACACATACATGAAATAACCAAGAAAATCCCAAAAATACTGCAGTGATGGGTCCTTAATGAGGATGCTTTCAAGAAATACACAATTACATCCAGTGTACTGAACATAAAAAGAGCAATTCTTCCATTCGAAGTTAAATAATGCAGCTACAGCGCCACCTATTGGCACCAAAATTGTCATGACTCCTTAACTCTCATTATACGTTTACCAAATGAGGTTGAAACCACTCCAACAGATCAAAAAAATGCAAAATTTTTGGAATATTTTCAGTTAGGGTCTGTCTAACTGTCCCCATAATAATCAGAATTGAATGAAACTGAAGTTAAAGTTTGATCAAGAGGTCAATATTTAGTGGTGGGGACTCAACGTTTGTATAAGCAAACACAAATATGAACCTTAAAGCACCTGTAAGGGGTTTTAGCTGGTTATAAACAGACAGGGTTTCATTCAACGATGACATAAACTGACACAGATTAGTCAACAGAGAGCGTCTGATTCAACCAACGTTACATCCAGGAGCTTTAAGAGACAAGTGTTATCATTATGTTTGGGAAAAAAAAGGAGAGATCACTGTTTTGTTCACCATTTATTGTCTATAGTAACATGCATACTTGCTTACAGTTGGTTTTAGTGTGCCATACACAGTTTTATTTTGTTCCATTTGCTATGTTATATTACCCCAAATGTACTTTACAGGTTTCCTTACCAAAAGTTTATACAACATGATCCGTTTCTTACATTTTCAACACATAATGAAGTTTTCTCACCAGCCAGAAGCCAAAGATACACTCAGGTGTGTTTGCTACTCGAATCTCAGCCTTTTGGTGCCAAAATAAAAGATCGTGGGAACGAGTTTTTAACGTGGAAACCAGCTCAGTCTATAAACGTCGAGATAGAAATTCACATTCTTTGTAGTTTCAGGGTCGTGAAGGGCTTGGATTTAAAAAAACACGAATTCACTTCAAGCATCGGCGTTTAGACATCAGTGAGGGTTGAAATTTCCTACAAAACCACAGGACACCATCACGACGTCTAAACAAGATCACATTCTAGCTGCTAATTGTGCTTCTTTTCTTAACAGTATCTTAATATGAAAGTCAGGCGCCGTTTCGCCAAATTCACACAGCGGCCATTTTCCTCAAACGTCAAGCTCAGGCTGAAACTCAAAAGTTTTATCATTTTTGAGCGATTAAAAGCTTCTGTTTGACGACTGCAACTAATGTTACACAATATGTTTGTAAAGCTAGCGGTTCTGTTAGCAAGCCAAGAGTTATTTTTACTCATTTGCTACCAGCTCTGTTAGCTAAGAGGCTGTTATGACTTGGCTCTCAAGACATGGCGTATTCTGTTTTTAAGTGTTTAAAATTACACAAATTTTATGCTGTTTTTAACGTTATTTTTTGTATACCCAAGTTTATTTGATAGTCAAGCGAAAGGAAGTGTAAGCTAGCTAGCAGGAGTATTTGCTAACAGCTTTGTTAGCTAAGAGGCTGTTACAACTTAGCTCTCAAGACACGGCGTATTCTGTTTTTATAGTGTTTAAAATTACACAAATTTTATGCTGGTATTCAAGTAATTTTTTGTATACCCACGTTTATTTGATAGTCAAGCAAAAGGAAGTGTAAGCTAGCTTGCAGGAGTATTTGCTAACAGTTCTGTTAGCTAAGAGGCTGTGGCGACTTCGCTTAAATTTGAAACAGGTTTGAAATTGTGTAATTTTTATATAATTTTGTTGGTCATTTGCTGATACGAAACAAAATTTGACAGTAATCTTGTTTGCTTTATTTTCAAGCTAGCAGTAATGTGAGTGATCAGTTATGATAGCAAGACAAGGCCAACAGTTGCGTTAGCTTAGCTCTTAGACGCTTTGGTGACCTTGTTTTCACCTCATGTTTAACGCAATTTTAAGAAGTTTTTTAAACATTTTTTTTAATTATGTAAGAACTTCCTGGACACCAAATACAAAATAAAAGTAAAGAAAGGTTAGTCTTCGCTAGCTAGCAATAATTTTACCCAACAGTATGGTTAGAAAGCCAAGGGTTAGGTTAGCTGGCGAAGTATGAGTGAGGAAGATATTATCTAAATGAAAGCAAATTTGAGTTTTGTAACTTAAATAATATTAAAATGTTTTAGATTTTGTGTTCGATGAAAAATAAACAATCTGAACGTCAGAGGTCCAGTGTTCTGACGCATTTAATGCATTTTGAGTTTCCTGCCTCATAGTTAAAAGAAAATGGCGGCCTTGTGAATGTGGTTGAATATCAAATCAATCATTAAATATTTGTCTCATTTCTTTACACGATTGGAGTCATCACTTTTAAACATAGTGCTCATAAGTAAGTGAGCCTGTCCCCGAGCTCTTATGTGCTTTTTAAACTAAAATACATTTTTCCCTTTTGAAATCTTGAATATTCTGCATTAGTTTTTTTTAAACAACATAAGACATCTGACAGATAACTTGTCGAATTCCTCAGTAGTACGTGACGCGAATTTGCTGCTTCCTAGTTAAATTTAGTTGTTGACATTAACAAGGAAAGAACACAACTATCAAAACAGTTTCATAGATTTCACATCAGAAAAAATCTGTTTTTTTAATCGCTAAAACTTCGCAGGTTGATGTCTTTGAACCATATATTAGATTGACACCAGATTCACTCCCTAGCATATAAATCAAGCAGTTGTTTGACAGAATAACTTTGAGTTAGCTTCAACAATATCCTTGTGCTAAAGGATCTACGTTCTTCGTAAATACACGAATTTTAAATATTATTGGTAAATATCTTAAGACTAGGAATAGGCGACCTCATCTTGTTGAGGTGTCACACAAACTTTCTCGGAATGCTTTAGCATCATAATTCCTTTTCAAGGGCTTTTGCTTCAGTTTAAGATTAGATTAAGATTGGGTAAATTTGTGAAAAAAAAATGTAATTCTTTAACTGGCTGGCTTTTCTGACGTGTGTTTATCTTCTTTATCATGAACCTCAATCCTGTCCTGGAGTAGAAAACCCCCAAAATAAACCAAATTGAACAACTCACTGCAGCACGTTTCAAAAGGAAAAACCACGTTATAAAAACACTACAGTCCAATCAGCTCATACCGAGGATTAACCAAACCTATACTGAAAAGAGAGAGAGAGAGAGAATATACTGGATATTACTGTTGCAAGTCTCTTACACTTATGTATTTATAGTCCAGGGGCCGCGTTCACAAAGCCTCCACAGACAGCAGTGCTGATCCAGGGTCGCGTGTGATGGATTGGATGTGGCCTTTGACCCCGGCTCTGGATGACAAGCTATGAAGGGTGCGTTTCCGATGTTGTCGAGAGTGGAAGCGTTTATATAAGACCAAAACCACAGCACACAGTCACTGGCAGAAATGTTAGGCTTTGAGTTATGAATGAGTAAAAAAAAAGAGAAAGTATAAAAACGTAGTAAAATAAAGGGCAGAAGCTCGCTCACTTGATTTATTGTAATTCAACGCTGTGATATGGAGGCTGATGAGGATGATGATGATGATGAGTCCCAAAACTTCGCCGAAAACCAGCAGGAATCGGGGTGGGTGGGGTCTACTGTCACAGTCTGAACTACGAACTGCTGCTTCTCACGTAGTTAAAGGTACGAGTTCAAGGTTGACGCCGACTTCCTGAGAGTTTGGCCGTCTGATCCGCTTTCAGAGAACCAAATATATCGTCTTTTTCAGTGACATGAATTATAAATAAAAAGGGGAATAGTTGAGTAAAAATAAATTATAATTTAGTTGTTTTTATTTTAAAACAAAGTAAACTACGGGAAGTTTTCTGAGCTTTTTTACTTAATAACTAAGTAAACAAATGATTAAATAAATAAGTAACTTAAGCATTTAAATTAAAATCATTTTAAGGATTTCTGATCATTTTGAAGGCCACTTTAAATTATCTTTCCCGGTACATGCGCAGTATCTTTTTTCAGCAATGTGCATCTTCTATGCGGATGTGAAGCTCCTGATTTAACTTCATCCAGCAGCGTGACATTTTCAGCTTCGAGCATGTGTTTTTCTTTAATTCTTTTGTCTTGTGTCCACAAAAGTGACCGACAAACCAAACTCTCATGAAATATGAAATATATCGTCTTTTTCAGTGACATAAATTATAAGTAAAAGGAAATAGTTGTGTCAAAATAAATGATAATTTAGTAGAATTTATATTAAAACTAATTCACAGTGTGAAAAAAGTTAACTTCAGGAAGTTTTCTGAGCTTTTTTACTGAATAACTAAGTAAACAAATGATTAAATAAATAAGGGTTAAAAGGAACAAAAGCATTTAAATTAAAATCATTTTAAGGATTTCTAAGCATTTTGATTGCCACTTGAAATTATCTTCCCTGGTACATGTTAAGTATCTTTTTTTCAGCAATGTGCAGCTTCTATGCGGATGTGAAGCTCCTGATTAAACTTCATCCAGCAGCTGTCAGCTTTAAAAATCAAGCCGGGTAACATTTTCAGCTTCGAGTATGACTTTTTTTGTATTCTTATGTCTCCTGTTGACAAAACCAAACTCTCACGAAGTCGGTGCAGCTTTTCAAAGACGAGCGCGCTTGTTTCTCAAACAGGCGCGGCCCTCCGAGGCTGAGTCATCCTCGAAGACGCTCTTGTTTTTTTTCCCTGATTTCCCTGACTTGTTCTCATAAATTCTTTCTCACCATTTGGCAGAAAAGTTAAGATTGCACTATCTTTATTTCTTCATGTGCTATATCAAGTGTTTTGTAAACACATTAAGCCCCCCTCCGTACTCACTCGGGGGTCCACCCACCTACAGTCTGAGATCATTTAATATTGCTAATTATTATCACTCGAGTGTGTAGGGGGAGAAGAAGTTGGTGCGTTGGATTTTCACAGCTGAGTGTTAGTGGTTAAAAACGAGCAAACGGGGGCGGAGGGTGTTAACATTGTGTGGATGTGTGTGTTTTCATGGTGCCATACACACTAAGTGGTTAGACACACAACTCTCTGGGGTCTGAGTTGGAGAAAAGGCGTCATGAGGGGCTGAAATGACCGATCTGTAAAATGTTGGCATGAGTGAGAATGTTTGTATGACTGAATTTTGTTGAAATATTTTCGATGTTGAGTAACTGAAAACCTTCATTTCAACCCCTGTGTTTAGATATTCCCTGTCACCACCACCCACCGAGCCCCCCGTCTCTTTTTTCCCCCGCTCTTTTTTTAAATCTCTTTTAGTCGGACCACTCGTTCTCGTCCAGCTCGGAGTCGTCGTCGGACTCGCTGTACTCCACGGCGATACGGCGGGACAGGATGGTGGCCACGTCGTTCCCGACAGGCTCCCTCTTGGCCTCCTGCTCCCGCTGCTCCTGCACCTTCCTCAGCTGGATACCTGGAGGGGGAGGAAGGGAGGATGGAGGGGGGAGGGATGGAGGGAGTGAGCAGGGCCGTGACTAGAAATTCTGGGGGGACCAGGCGACAGTTTGTCCTGGTGGGTCAGGTGTTGATGCCGTCGGAGTATTTAAGTTTGTTTTCTCCAAGAATTTCTCCGAAAACTTTCGACATCTTTTTGTGTTTCTCACTTCTGGTTTTAAAATTTGACAAATATAAACTCGAATGTGACCTTTGACCTTGTGAAATATACTTATCCACTCACTAACCTCTACGTATGGCAGCCAGCAGGTCGGAGCGCGCATCGCTCATGGGGATCATCCCCAGCATGGTGGACTTCCTCGTCGCGGGAGCTCCGTCCACCGCCTGGCCCGCGGCTGCGTGAGGGGGCGACGGGTGAGCCTGGAGTCCGGTGGGCGCTCCTGGCGGCGGAGGCGGAGGAGCGGCAGGGGGCGCGCCAGAGGGAGGGTGGGCAGGGGAGGGCACATAGTTGGCCGGGGGGGGGGGGGGGGAGGGGGAGTAAGGACGGGAGAGGGCGGAGGAGGTTGGGGGGACTGCAGAGGCGGCTGCGGAGGGAGGGACTGCCGAGGAGTCGAAGGCAGTCTGGGCAGAGGGGATGGTGGGGGGAGGAGGGGGAGGAGCAGGTGGGATGTAATACTCTGGGATGGTGGAGGGCTGGCCGCTAGTGGAGGGGAGAAGAGGAGAGAGACGGTGAATTTATCGCCCATGACGACAGATCTGTCTACCCCACCTTTAACTTGGCCTTCATAGTTTCAACTTCCTGTTTTACTTCCTCATTTAGTCACTGAAAAAACTTTCTAAACTTTGTATCAATCTTCGAGTGTTAGACTTTTTATTGAACCTGAACTATTGTAAATTAATGAAACTCTGTAAAAGACAAACACACAAACACAAAAAGAAACACTCGATGATTAAACCTACCCGTGCCCGGCCCGGTAATCCTTAACCGACTGCTGCCTGGGACCGTTAACCATTTGGTCTCCACCAGGCTGGGGCCCGTGTCCTGATGGGGTCCTGCCCAGCGAGGCCACATGCCGCCCTCCCGGTGCAGACCCTCCTGCTCCCGGGGGCTGGTTGGCCGGCCTGAGTCCTCGGTCCAGTGACTGAGTCTGGGCTGCTGCACTGAGGTGGTCCCTGGCGTGGTGGTCGGTGGGGTGGATGGCGCCCGGGGCCTGGGCGGAGGGGTGGTTGGGGCTGGCTGGGTAGGAATCTGACGCCATTGACCTGAAGAGAAGAGGTCGGTGGATTGAAAGGTATCTCAGTGAGCTCGTGTCCAACATTTTTTAACCACTTAAATACACTATTTTAGTCCGTACATTGATGTTTTTTTAAACTATGGTAAAAAATATGGTTTAACTTTATTAATCCTCAATCATTCTTGTTGCTCAAAACGATATTTCCTTCAGTCTATTATGAGTTTTATTTACTCATTTATAGAGGATCAGAAATATGAAATATTTTTCCATCTCAGATTTCAAATTTATCACCTGCAGTTTCAAAAAGCTGTAAAATCTTTGCTTTTGTCTTTACAATATTATCCTTTTGGGTCAGAAAACTAATTTATTTTTCTCACATTTTATTGTCCACATCCCTAAATTTTTGTAATTTTATTGTCTTATTTCATTATTTTCTTTTGCTGTCTTTTTCTCTTCTTAAAAGTTTTGTTTCCTTCAGTTTTAAGTGACTAAATCGATGTAAATCTCTATCATCGACTTATCTGTTGTTCATCTGTTTGACCAGCAGAGGGCAGCAAAGAGCTTTAAAGAAAACAGCAGGTAGTTTGGCTCTGCTGACGTCTATGTTGGTGTTTCAGAAGCTTAAATGTGTCTTTTTATGAGAGTTTAAGTTTGATTATGTAACAGCACCTGCACATTATGAGCCAAATTATCAAAATGACTCAGAGTTAATAAGAGATTAGGACTTTTTTAAAAGACACCTGTCAGTCCAAAACCTGTAATTTTACCCTGAAATTGTAACTGACTTGTTTGCGTAAATATTCAAAGTCACGTCAACTCGTCCCCGGGCCCTGGAGAGACTTGTTGTCAGATTGTGTCAAGGTAACGGGACTTTAGAGGAAAAGCTCCCGCTCTCTTTCACACACACGTTTGTTTACCTGCTATCTGGGGACAGGGAGCCTTCTGAGGACATGCCATGGTAGGGGGAGGGGGTAAGCCGGGCGTCTGGTCTGAACTCCTTATCGTAGGCCAAGACGTTCCACTCCTGGCGCCTGTTACGAGCCTTACGCACCTTTACGGGTAAAAAAAGGAAGGAAACGAACATCACTGTGAACAAGACGAGTCCCACCTGATGAATAACAAGTCACTGTGCAAAGGGGTTTCCATGGTAACCCACAGAGTAGTCTCACTATGAGGAAAGCTTACCGTCTAATTCAAGAACTTTAAAGATATTTAATCATTTTTAAGTGTCAGGTTAATAACAGAAGCACCAATCTATCCTCCCTGCACGCTCTCTCTCTGCAGACCTGCTTTCTTCACTTTATTAAATGGCCTAACACCCCGTCCCCCCACCCCTCCTGAACCTGGTTCAGAGTGATAAAGGGTTCTGCGTCTTGGCAGAAGTCTCGGCTCGTCTTCTCATAAAAAGTGGGTTCACCGAGTTCACCCGCTGGCTCTCTCTCAGCATCAGTGTCACATTCATTTCTTCTGCGGGTTCGGTTTGATTCGATCGATTCTGTAATTTAAGCTGCTGCAGTGGTGATTAGCTGATTCGTGGCACCGGAGTGTAAAGCAGAAATGAAATGACCCAGATGTAAGACGTGGCGCACGTCCAAATTTAACTTTATTAGACCCGGAAAGTCGCCAGTTTGGCTCAGAGGCTCAAGAGCGACCCGGGCCCGAGTCCAACCCTCATTTTTATCAACGTTAAACAGCGTTCCCAACTTTTTAGTGTCACTTATACTAATGGTCTTCAACATGGCCATGACGAGGCTCGACAGTGAGACCGTTTGCGACTAAAAATAGATGTGTGGGAATTGCAAAATATATTTAGGGGCACATTTGCAAAAAAAACAAAATACATATTATATTCAGGAAAAATGGGAATTAAAGTCCTTACACACCGGGGCCGACGCGAACATAGAACGCAAAATTCCAAAATATTCAGAGGCGAATTTTGACACGCCTGACTATAGACATCAAGCCCGATGCGATTTTGCGACTTTAATTAATTAATTTATTTTCTTTTTTGAGGATGGCGGAGTTTGTTTGCTTTAATGTTTGTTAGTTTAGTTTGTTTGTTGTTCCCACTGCAGCTATAATCCGGTGCGCCTCATGTATGAAAATAGATGTGAATAGACGCGTTGATTGATGGTGCGCCCTATAGTGTGAAAAATACGGTATGTTTGTTGTGTGTATTCCTATCTTCTTTGTTTTGTTCTTGTTCTGTTTTTACAACGTTTGTGTGAAGTTAGTTTTAGGTTGGATATTCGACGGACATTCACTGCAGATCTACCGGTGTCTTCTCACTCTCCATAACCGGGAATAACAACAGCAGCGCGGTTAAATCTACTCGGCATCCTCGCTGTCAACGTTGGGTGTTGAATAAGGGACCGTCAATAAATTACAGGTTGGTGTTCTCTAAAAAAAAAGGCTGTTTTCCTTCCATGTCATGTGACCAAGTGACCTAAAATTGATTTCAAATAATAGTAACTATATCGACCAATAAGACACTCATTATTTTACAGGTGTCAAACTCAAGGCATGGGGGCCAAATCTGACCCGTGGAACAATCAAATCTGGCCCACAAGATCATATCATGTTTGTATTATTATTGGCCCTCCAGCATGAAGTCTGCAGATTTCCCCCAGTATAATAATGTAAACTGTAGCACCTTTATTTAAAATATCCTTAATAAGCCACAGAAATCTGGGAAATTAAAGAGTGAGGAAGATTTGATAGACAGTCCAGAATGTGGGGGAATAAAATATTTGGAGTTTTATTTCATGTTTTCAATTTTGATTTCAAGATTACAAGTCAAACATGTTTGGATTTTTTATTTCATGCTTTGATTTTGATCAACTCAGTATTTAGATTTATGTCATTTTTATACTTTACATTCCAATTTAGGACCTATTTTGACCTTTTAAACCTGATTTCAACGTTCCTCTCATGTATTTGCTCTTTAAAACATTATTTTTCCATTTTTTATATCATGCTCTGATCTTTTGAACTAAAAAATAAAAACAGAATAAAAAACTAAAATTTTTCTACCTCAGATTGCCTTTAAACTTTTCTTTTTATCTTTTTTGAATTTCCAAATGATTTATAATCGTTGCTGTTTTTGTTACATATTTTTTTGAAAAGGAGGTTGACAGTTTTGGTTTAATGTTGACCCTGTTTGGCCCTCTGGTTAGACCTAAATCCAGATTATGGCCCTCGCTGTGGTTGAGTTTGACACCCCTGCTTTATCTGATCAATTTTCATTGTGCTCCTTGTGAAAAAAGTTAGTGTCAATCCCTGTATGATATAAAGTAACTCCTCACTGACCTTCTTCACCTCTCTCCCCGGGTCCTCCACTTGCCTCTGTTGCTCCTGAAACAGACACGGGTGCAGAAGGAGAGATGATAAAAGAGAGAGGAGAGAGAGAGAGACGGTCGGTCATTGATTACTGATTTCTTTGAGGGTAGGAGGAGGAGGAGGAAACAGGAGCCCATCACCAGCAAACCACACGCTCACACACAGTCTAGTCTACACATGGACACCGAGACGCTACCGACACCAGACCAATGATGGACGAAAAAGCTCTGGGAACACAGGACAGGAAGCAAACCAAACACGGAGGGTGAGAGAGCGGGTGAGGTGGCGAGCTAACGCAACAGACGGACACAAACAGAGGGAGGTGTGTGTCTGTGTGTTTTAGTGGCGTTGGCTTAGTCTGTGTTTGGTTTTGTGTGTCTTACCTGCGCTCGAGTGTTTGATTGTGTTTGGTGTGTTAGTAAGATGTAAAGGGAAGGGGGGTAAGGTGAGAGGGCAGGTACGGGGTCGGGGGTTATCTTACAGAGATGGACAGGGGGCTCCTGGGTGGGGCCTGTCTGGAGTGGGGCCTGTCAGGGTGGGCCGGACAGCCCTATGGAAACATGGGAGAAAGACAAGCTGGTGCGTTAGACTGAGCAGAGGAGGAGGAGGAGGAGGAGGAGGAGGATGGAAGGAAGGGTGTTTGTCCCTAAAGTTTGATTTGATAAAACGAAGAAGAGCAGAGGAGTCTGAGAAATCCTCCTCCTGCTGCGACTGCTTATTGGTGAAAAAAGAGCTTTATTTTGAAAGGGTTCAGTTTCCGAATTGAAGGGAGGGAAGAGGAAAAAATGTGAGCAGCATTAAATCGAACAGAAATATCAGCGGACGTACAGCAGCAGTTGTTCAGAGGTTTAAAACTCCACTGTCGGCTTTGAATCAAGAGGGAAAACCACCGAGAGACAAACATGACTCTGCGACTTTGTGAAGAATCGGCACACAACTGTCACAAAAACGCTCACATGCGCAGCGATCTTCCTGCCTTTGGAGAAAAACAAAACGCACAGCTGGTCCAGCCCGAGAGGCAGCCAGCTGATCCCACTGAGCTACCTGTGCGTGACAGACACCTCACAGCAGAGGTGGGGGCTCGACGACTCGACTCGAGACTCGACTTGGACTTGAGTCCGTTTTTGACTCGCTTGATGAAATCAAGAAATGACTTGGACTCGCTTGGGACTTGATTGCTAAAGACTTGAGACTTGACTTGACTTGAGCCCAGTGACTTGAAAAGTCAAGTCAAGTCTTTTCAAGTCACTTAATACCTTACAGCCCAAACCGTTTAAAAAGTGTCGCATCAACTAATAGTCAGGAATTACGGCCGTTGGTAACACCGTGTTGTGTTGCCAAGTCTGCTTGTTTTTGTCTTGTTTCTGGAGGTCTGTTTCCTTATTTCTCTCACGAAACTTGGCAACACTGTCTCAAACTCTAAACTCCCTCATAACGACAACACCAGGAGGACTGAACATAAATCACTCGCTAGTATTCCCCGCCTGTTTCCAATGGTTGAAGTTTATCTGATTATTTTTTGTACGACATGTAAAATAGTTTGGTTAAAGCTGCACTATGTAACTTCACACAAACAAGAACCCTTGTTTAATAATAAATGCAAATAGTGAAAAATGCTCATGATTGATGTAAATCTTTAACAAATGGTTTATGGCTTTGATATGACTTGTTTATGACTTGAAAGAAACAGTAAGGACTTGGTTAAGACTTGAAACAAAAAGTTCAGGACTTGGACTTGATATGACTTGTTTATGACTTGAAAGAAAAGGTAAGGACTTGGTTGGGACTCGAAAAGTTCAGGACTTGGACTTGACTTGGGACTTGTCTGTGTTGACTTGGACTTGCCTCGGACTTGAGAGCAAAGACTTGAGACTCGACTTGGACTTGCAACATAGGGACTTTCCCCCACCTCTGCCTCACAGCACGGTTTGACCCGTCCTTCCACCGTGAAGTCCGCCTTAAACTTGAACATTAAAGTTTCACACTTTTAAATCCTACTTTAGCTGAATCACATTAAAAAAACAGACAAATCAGCTGTTTTGGGCTAAATTTGAACATTTATTCAGACACCTGAGATGTTGATTTTTCAGTTTCTGCATCAATAATCTAAATTTCCTTCTGCACCACGTCACAAGTTCTTCTGTCAATAACACCAGACTCTTATTGCAGCAGTCCAAACTATAATTTTAGTGTAATTATACTCTTTGCTGCACAGCAGGAGCGACGTTATTGTATAAATAAGCCGACATAATTACCCACGCCTCATTTCATCTGCTCTTTAAAGTAGTTTTCCCTTTGGATAAGTATTTGTCTCAGGGTAATGAGCCTGTCCAACTGCTGCTGTATCAATAACTAATCACACAACAAAGCAAAAGCTCAATGGAGAAAACAGTCAAATAGGAACGCATAAAATGAAATTACGGCATAAAAAATGACGTTAAATAAACAGATTAGCGGCAAATTAAAGCAGCAGATGAATTTATTTTACTGTTCTGTCACACAGCCTTGCACACATTCGCCAGCTCGCACTCGCACAAACGAAGAAAAACAAGCTCCAGCGTCACGAAACAACACCGAGCCGTACCTTCTGCCGCCTCTTCTCTTTGCGTTTGTCCTCGGTGGCCTGAAGCATCTTCTCCTTCCACAGGTTGAAGAAGTAAGACGGGTCTGTGTAGAACTTGAGGGCGTCCTTCTTGTCGTCCCTGCGCGGACACGGTGAGGAAAACTCAAACTTTAGCAAAGGACGCCACTTTGGCTGTGTTCGCACTGCAGGTCGATTCTGATTTTTTAACCATATGTGACACATATCGGACTTTTTCATGGAAGTGTGAACAGTGCAATTCTGATTTTTTCAAATCCGACCCAGGCCTCTTTTGTATGTGGATATAAATCGGATATGTGTGACTGCAGTGTGGACGCTCAGGTGCGTTCATCCGACCTATACGTCATCAATATGCGACAAACATCACTATTGCTCGACAACACCAACAGGCGTGGAAAGCAATTTGTGCTTTGTGCGCACTCTACGGGCGCATTCTGTTCACATTAGATGCTGCATTCGTTGTTGTAATGTGAACAACCGCACAAAAAGATCGGATTTAACAAAAAATCCGAATTGTGCATCATAACCTGCAGTATGAACGTAGCCTTTGACTCTGATGTCCCTGGCGTCTACAGGACTTGGCAGTAGGGCCGACAGATTTATCGGCGAGCTGATTAAATCGGCCAATTTTAGCCCGTTTGAGACTAATCGGTAATCAGCCAAAACTTGCAGATTTCGCCGATATTTTCAGAAATAAAATGCAGAGAATAAGATTCGGTTCCACTTCGAAAATGTTCCCCCATTCGAAAAGTTCCCCACTTATCCTGTAGATGGCGCAGCGACCTCATGACAATGTTTGTGAAATACACAATATATCAACAAGTTTCAGTTCAACCCACTTCACGATGTTCCCCGCTGTGCTGGTCTCGGTCACGCCGAGTTAACGGTGAAGAACCATGTAATATGCAAGCTAAAGTTAGAGTTAGCCACCTGCTTTTAGCCTTGCTACACTGTTAGCCGTGTCAGTAACGGTAGAATAAACAACAGTACACATTACGTGATCGAGCTACTTCTCTTACTGAGGCAGCTGCATGTCTCCAGATAAGACCAGACCGGAAATGAGTAACGCGAGTTAAGACACGGAGGCACCGATCGGCGGTAGCGGTGGGGGCTGGATCAGTGGGTCCTTCTGTCGGCGTGAAGAGCAGTTGCCTACAGTATATATCTATTTTTTATAACTTAATAAAAAATTAAAAAATCGGCCGATTAATCGGTGATCATATTCCCCCCCCCCCTAGTACTCTGTATCGGCATCGGCCCCAAAAACTCCATACTACTCGGCAGACCCAGTGCGTTTCTGACTGACCTGTACGGGCTCAGGATGTTCAGCGGTGGAGGTTTGTCACAGCGGTGGTACATCTCCACCACGGGGTTGGGGACCGAGGTTCGGGACACCACCTGCTGATCCTGGATGGTGCTGCTCTTGAAGGCCTTCCTCATGTTAATGTCCTGCAGGGAAACTGGAGGGAGGGAATTAAAAAAAAGGGTGGATTTAATGATTGGCGCAGTAAACATATTGAGAATTAGGCCAAAATAAATCGACAGAGTTATTTGCATTGAATCCTTAACGGCGTTTGACAAGATAATCCCTCAAAACAGATGTTTTAACTGTTTGAGTGTCGGCTTAGCGGCTAAATCCCGCCGGAACAGCAGTGTCCTCTGCTCTTTGGTCTCTGTCTGCAAAGTCAATTCAAATCGGGGATGATGGGAATAAAGACGGAGAACATGATTCACTGTTTATGCATTAAATAGACCCGCTAAAGCTACCTAATTTCTTCTCCAGTCTTGATGATACAGCCAGGCCTTTTCTAGGTCATAATTACCAGATTGAATATGGAGGAATGACAGATTGGATTTGATTGCTAGTTTAAGTAAAAGCTCTGATTGTATAACTACAATAGGGTTATAAAGGGAAAATGCAGTCCTGATTTTCAGAGCAGAAATATAATATGCACTTGAACGGATTTCCAGAGGGAAAAGCTGTTTTGTGAAACCGCTGCTACATGAAGTGAATAAAACCTCGTTTTCATTGTTCGTATTGTTCGGAGATCTCCCAAAGCAATAAACCAAGCACGGCTCCGACTCCTTTGTCTTTTTTCTAAACAAAAGCAGGTGCTGAACTCCTCAACACAGAGTTTTAAACTGGTCAGTGTGTCCCCGACACAGATATTTATGCCACTGTGGATTCTATTAAAGGATATTTTAGTAAGACAGACGACTAATGCAATTAGTCTACCTGAAAGTCTTCGAAACGTACCTTTTCAGTCTTGCTTTTAACTAAATTTTATATCATTAAGTGTTTTAGCATTTATCTCTTTCTAGTTTTAATGACAGGATCATCTTTCATTGAGCTATTTTTGTGCTCTTATTCTAGTATCTTTTACTGTTCTTTTTATTTCATTTTAATTATTTCTTAAATTTCACTCTATTTTACTTTGTTTTTAGATTTTAACCTAAACCTCCAGTGTTTTTTTATCTTGAGTTTTAAAATGAGGATTCCTCAGTGCACACATTCCTGTTCCCGTGAAATCAAGCCCTTTTTAAGTTCATGCATTTTAATACTGTTTCTGTTTTCTGTGTAAAGCACTTTCTGCTACATGGTTGTGTATGAAAAGTGCTATATAAATAAAGACCGGTTGATTGATTGATAAGGCACAAGGGTCCGGGACCAAAAGTACAAAAAAAGAAAGAGTCCCCATAATGTTGCTAAAGTGTGTTTAAGAAATATAAAAGCTGTACTTCTCTTTCTGATTCTAATTGAATGTCTGAATGCTTAATGTGTTAAACACCATGGAAAAATGAATAATGAAATCATTGGCCTAAATTTTTTCACAAAACACAAGGGTCCCATTAACAAAAGTAATAAAGTGGTAAAGGTCCCCATAACGCACCTTAAGTGAGAATACGATAAAAAGAGGCTACATTTATGTTTGTCTGTAACTTTTTAATTATATAATTTGTCCACCTAAATGTCCTAAAATGGCCGCACAGTTCCCGTCAGAAGAGTACAAGATTCTACATAAAGCAGAAGTATATTAAATTAATTTTATTTTAGTACTCATGAGATCTCTGAACACACAGAGCCGATAAGATTAAGTGATGATAGGATTTGTCTTTGATAGCTTAATAATTCCTCTAACAAATGTACAAAAACTCCCACAGAGCAGATTAAATTTGTGTTTTTGGTTCTCCAAAATTTCTGGTCCCCATAGTGTACCTAAAACAAGTACTCACACTAAAACAAAAACGTGTGTGTGTTTGTTTGTTCAAGTAAGACAGAAAGGGAGAGTATGAGACGCAGCAACGCTGCATGTATGTGTGTCAATCCCTTGACCCCAGGGGAGATTTAACGCCACTGTGCTGCTATGCTATCCAGGATCAAGCAGATGGTTTAACACACACATACACACAGACACACACACACATGTAGGGTCAGCGAACATCGGACCGGTCTATAATAAGGTTAAACCGTGTTAGTTTGACATATGTTCCCTCCCTCACTGTCCTCCCTGTTGGTGTCAACAGCTCTATTAGTGTCAGAGAAAGGAGCGTGTTAACCTCTTCATGCAACGACTGATTCCTGAAGAACTAAAAAAAGACTGGCTGTTTGATGCGCGTGTGTGACAGTGTGCGTTAAAGTGTGTGTGTGTGTGTGCGCAGATTCTGCAGTCAAAGCACACTCCTGTCTGCTTGCTGTTTGATCATTCCTTCCTAAGCTTCTGTCCCTGCGGCCAAATGAATAATCCACAAAACTAGCAGCTAATGCAACTTTCATTCAGACACATCTTCAAAGAGACCTCAAGCTTTTCCTCTTTTTTAACACACACACACACACACACACACACACACACACACACACACACACACACACACACACACACACACACACACACTCTGCACTGGCATGTTCATCATCTCCCTCCTTTTTTCTCTCCCCACACTCCTCTGCGTCTGTCTCTCCTCGATGTCTCGCACTCTGATTTATTCCTGCAGATTTACACGCGCGCTGACATGCAGTCAAAACCAGATTAATGTTTTACACTTTCATTAAAAGGATTTGCGGTGCCCTGATTCCCCAAAAAATTTACATGTGTGCAGTTTAAACAATATGTTACGTGTGCAGGACTGTGCAGAATTAAAGGCTGCAAGGGGTGTCAAAAAAAATCTGCAGTTCCTAGAATGACCACTTGGGGCTGGTGCCAAGAGTGAGTCAAACCCCATTTGGTCCCATAGTAAAGAGTGAAACTTAGAGGCACAATCTCAGATGTTTTTATACCTGATACAAATTAGGGCCTGACTGATGTTTTTTTGGGGCTGATGCCAATACTGATTATTTTGGGGGAAAAAATCCAACTACCGATTAATCAGACGATTTTTAAAAATATATTTTTAAAAAAGTTTTTAAAAATATATATATACTGTAGATATACTGTACAAACTGTACACTGCTCTTCACACCAACAGGAAGACCGACTGATCAAATTCGGACCAAAAAACTGTTCGCAGATGAAGATTGTCATGAGGTCGCTGCGCCATCTACAGGATAAGTTGGGAAACTTTTCAAATAGCGTAACATTATCACAGTGAAAGCGAATCTCATTCTTCGCATTTTGTTTCTGAAAATATCGGCAAAAAAAATCAGCAAGTTTTGGCCGAGTACTGATTAGTCTCAGATGGGCTAAAATTGGCCGATGTAATTGGCTCGCAGATAAATCGGTCGGGCCCTTATACAAATATCTTATTTTAGTTTCTGTAGTTAAATTCTTCATTCATTAAACACGTGTAGGTTTGTAATTTTCGACCTTTTTGTTTTATTCTAATTACACTCTTATTCACTAGCTCAACCAAACTCCACCCGCTCGCCGTTTTTCAGCATTTTGACAACAAGCTAATTACCTAGCGTTTACTGTTATTATTGTTGCTTATTGAGAGTTTCAGCCCCCGAAACAAAAACTCTATTGAAGTACTAAATCCACTTTTTGTTTCAGATGCTGATCAGTTTAAAGGAGCGACAGTACGGCTCTGTTTCAGAGTCTGGATGAACGGGTTTCGTTTCCTCTCGTTTTTTCCCATGAACAGAGTGTGAAAATGTGATTCTGTGGGGTTCGGCTCAGAGTACAGTCTCTCTTTTGTGCTGCTGCAGACTCACACAGATCTGCAATTTTAGAGTTTGAATCCATTTACATTTTTAACCCGCAGTTTGAGGAAAAGAGATTAAACTCGACAACAACTGAGAGAGTTTGTAAGTGACGCTCGAGAAAAGAAAACTATTTTTAAGTCCTGTCTCTTTTGAAACATTTTTTTTCTTTCATTCCCTCCCTCCTTCCTTCTTTCTCTCTTTAATTCGCTCCCTCTTTCTAACCATATTTCTCTTTTTTCCCAGCCTTTTTTCCTTTTATATGTTGCCTTCACTCCCTCCTTCTGTCCTTCCTAGCTTCCTTCCTGCAATATTTCTTGCCTTTATTCCTTACTCCATTCTCTCCTTCTATTTTTCTTGCTTTCATTCCATCCTTTCTTCCTTTCATATTTCTTATCTTCATTCATCCCCTCCTTCCTTCATTCTCTCCTTCCATTTTTCTTGCTTTCATATCCTCCTTCCTTCCTTTCTTGCTTCCATATTTCTTGTCTTCATTCTCTCCTTTCTTCCTTTTCTCCTTCCATTTTTCAAGCCTTGATTCTCTCCTTCATTCCTTTCTTCCTTGTTTTTCTAGCCTTAGTTCCCTCCTTAATTCCCTCCTTCCTTCTTTTTCATTCTCTCCTTTCTTCCTTCCATATTTCTTTTCTTCTTTCCCTCCCTTCTTCCTTTCTTTCTTCCAAATCTTTTGTCCTCATTCCCTCCTTTCTTCCTTTTTTCCTTCCATTTTTCTTGCTTTCCTTCCCTCCTTCCTTTTTTTTCCTAAATCACACTTTTAATTTCTCTTTCTGCCTCTTTTTCTTGTTTCTTTCTTTCCCAACTGTTCCTCCTTCCTAATTCTTTCTTCTTTCCCTTTTTTACTTCACCCCTTTCACTCTTTCTTTCTTTCTTTCTTTCTTTCTTTCTTGCTTTCTTTCTTTCTTTCTTTCGTTCTTTCATAAAACATTCAGCGTCAGCTGTTTGCCGGTTTGACGAGGGTGAAAAGGAAAAAAAAAAAAGAGAAAAAGTCGAGGATGTGGCGGTAGCGAGGGATGAAAAACAGAGAAAGAAAGACGAGTGAGAAGATGTGACTGAGATGCAAAAGAAGGAAGAGTAACAGATGATGGAGCGAAAGAGTACAGATGAAAAAGACAATTTGTTTGTGCGTAGGAGGAGGAGGAGGAGGAGGCCTGCAGATGGACAGAAGAGGAGAGGGGAGATGAAAGACTGTGAGGAGGAGGAGGAGGAGGAGGAGGAGAGAGGGAGCGATGGGTAAGACAGAGGAGTGCTGAGCTTTTTCTTTTCATCCTCGTCTGTGCTGCTTTCTGAGGCTTCTGTCTGAGGCCGCCGTGCTGCAGAATGACGAGGCAGAAAGAGCGAGAGAGAGAGGGAGAGAGAGAGAGAGAGGGAGGATAAAAGAGAGAATCAAAGAGAATAGAGAAGTGGGATAGAGACAGAGATGAAAATACACAAACAGGAGGAAGAGAGGAAGAAGAAGCTGTCACTGAGGATGTGAAAGAGCGAAGGAGAGAGAGGGTAAAAGGGAAGGAAGCAAGGGTGGAGAGAGAGAGAGGTAAGGACGGAGGGAGAATAAAAGTGAGTGAAGAAGGAGGAGAAAAGAAGGGAAGGATGTAAAGAAGACAAAATGAGAGATAGAAGCAGGTAGACTGAGAGAAAAGACTGGACAGAGGACGAGACTGAAGGTTTCTTACATCTCACATTAAAGGTCAGTTTGAGCCTGAGGGGCCACCGTAGTCTGCGGTGAAGTCCTGAAATGTTACCGACAACGAGAACAGAACAGCCTGATCTGAATACAAGAGTTTGTGTGTGTGTGTGTCTGTGTGTGTGAGTGTGTCTGTGAGTGTGTATCTATCAATTACTGCATTAACAGAATTGACCTTCAGAGGCAGTGAAAAGCTTAATGGTTGAGATAATGATTCTCAATCACACCCCGTACACAAACACACACTGACAAACACACACTGACAAACACACACTGACAAACACACACTGACAAACACACACAAACACACACTGACAAACACACACAAACACAGAGGCACGGACAACAAACAGAGCCAGAGGGTAAAAGAATAACAAACACAGAGAGTTGAGCTTCTGTTTGACTTTAGACCTGCTGTCATTTTGAGCTCTTATGCGGTGATTCCCACTCCAGAGTCATGTCTGTTTTTCATGTCGTCATCTTTGGTTTCATGATAATCTGCTCGACAGATGATCATTTTCTCAAGACTGGACTTCTGTAACTCTCTCCTCCCTGGTTTAATCAAGAAATCTCTCTCCCGCCTCCTACTAGTTCAGAACGCAGCAGCTCGGCTTTTAACTGGTTTTAGTCGACGGCGTCGCATCACTCCGATTTTAGCCTCCCTTCACCGGCTTCCTGTCAGTTTTAGAAGTGATTTTATTGATTACTCTGACTTTCTCCGAGCTACATTTCAACTCGCAGCCTCAGATCCTCTGGTGAAAACCTCCTGGTCGTTCCAAAGTCGAGGCTCAAAACTAAAGGTGATCGATCTTTCTCCATCAGAGCTCCTCGACTTTGGAACGACCTGCCAGAGGAGATAAGACGAACAGCAGAGAGAGTCGCTTCTTTTAAGTCAAATTTAAAAACTCACTGCTTTTTTGTGATGCCGTCTTTTCTCTTTTTTCTTTTATCGTATTTCGACTTACTCTCCTTTTAGTCTTTGTTTTATTTATAATCTTTTCTTATTTTACCCTTAAGGCTTTTTATTGATTTTACAGTTTTTTCCTGCTCATTTTTATTATTCCATCTGTCATTTATATTACCATCATTATGATTTTATTATGATTTTATTATCATTATTAATGTCCTCTTTTATATTTACTATCCTGTTTCCTGCTCTCTGCCCTCCTTTTCTATTTCATTTCTTCTTCTTACCTATTTGATGTTTTTATTTCGGTCCTCATGGTCTCATTTATGTTGAAGGGTTCTTGTGAAAAATTAAATTGGCCTTCAATTCAGTGGCCTTGTTTTTAACTGAGCTTTTGTTTTTTTTTTCATGAGCTGATGCTTTGCAACTGTTTGTCAAAGAACTTTGTGAAATTCTGTTTTTAAAAGTGCAATAAAATTAAAGTTATTAGTTATTATGATCAAATCGTAGTTACACAACATTTTTAAGTGTTTTTTTGTTCCTATACAAACTTTCTTGAAACCTGCTGCAGGCGTCAAATAACAAACAAACAGATTTTTCAATCATTACTCATTTCATTCCTGTTTTTCTTTTTGGTCACCATTTTCAATAAAATAAAGTGTTAAAATGATTTGAAAACCATCAAAAAATCTTAATAAACTGCATTTTTTTCACATATTTGGTTTGTATCTAGCTCTGTTTGTTCATATAAACTCACTCTTGTTTATTTTTTTGCAGTTTGACTCAAAATCTGTGTGTTTAAAGTTGTAAAATGTACTTTAATGAACTTAATACATCTACAATGTAAAAAATTGCAATAAACACACAAGAAAAAATAAAACATTATTGTATTTTTAGGCACTTTCCTCTCCGACCGCCTCTTCTGATGACTTATTGATCAAACATCTGTCACTGTCATATCAGTCAGTGTGTGTCTGTGTGTATATATATATGGTTGTGTGTCCAACCTGCTTCTCTCTTTGTTTTCTAAGTCTGTCTCTTCAGCCTGATGTCACTGTCTCCATATTAATGTGTTTGAATCCCATCTGAGACGCAGAATAAACTCACTCACAGACTCGTTTCCAAAACTCCTCTCCTCTCCGGTCCACGTCTGTGTGAGCAGCTGTGAATTTCTCTCTCAAACGTGACTCACAAATCTCTAGAGGACACAAACTTTCGAGGTGAAACTCAAAAACCTGCGACTGAAGCTCTTTGTTCGACACGATAAGCTCAGGACGCGGCTAATTAAAGTTTTAATTGATAAAGAAATGCGAGGTCGAACTGTCAGAGCGTGCGCACACACACACACACACACACACGCAGACTCGGTGTCCTTACCTTCCTCCACGGTGGAGTCGAGCTGGGTGACTTTCACAGCCAGCTGGTCCACTCTCTCCTGCAGGCTGCTCATCCTCAGGTAGAAGCTGTTGGCTTCGTTAAACAGCTCCCCGAAAATGTCCTCAGCGTGACGACCTGTGAACACGAACACAGAGAGAGTTTAAGGTCTGAGCTTTGTGAGGCTTCGGGTTTGGTATCGTTTGATTTTGAACGATTCCGGTTCCGATGCCAATCGATTCTTGATTCTGATTCTTTTAAAGGCAGGATATTAAAAAAATGAATGGTTTAAATAAGGGTGCTAACCAAAGTTCTTCTTTTTGGATGACATTTCTGAACTTCTCCATGATTTTTTTAATTATATAAACTTTTTAAGAACTTTACTATAAATTTCAGCTGCTGTGGGTAACAATGGACTCTCTCTCTCTCTCTCTCTCTCTCTCTGTGTGGCTTCGTCTCATACACTTCGTCCTCGTTTGTATTCGACAGCTTCTTCTTCGTTGGTGTTTAGAGGCATCTTCCTTGGTGTTTGGCGACTTCTTCATTTGTGTTTAGCTTCGTCTTCTTCGTTGGTGTTTAGCTTTGTCTTCTTCATTGGTGTTTAGCGGCGTCTTCCTCATTACTGTTCAGTGGCTTCTTCTTCGTTGGTGTTTTGTGGCGTCATCCTCCTTGGTGTTTGGCGGCTTCTTCTTCGTTGGTGTTTAGCGGGGTTTTCCTCGTTGGTGTTCCGTGGCTTCTTCTTGGTTAGCGATGTCTTCCTTGTTGGTGTTCGGCAGCTTCTTCTTCATTGGTATTTAGCGGCTTCTTCTTTGTTGGTGTTAAGCAGCGTCTTCCTCATTGGTGTTCGGCAGCTATTTCTTCCAGTTGCTGGACTCCGACATCGAAACTTGGAAATGAAATTTTAACATTTGAATGATTCCAGGAGAATCAGAATGTTAGTCCTGGTCCCCATCGATGCTCAAGACTCAACGCCCAACCCTTGTGATGCTCCTTGAACCTGACAGGACTCTTAGAGTTTTTATTATTTACTTATTGAGGATTAAAAAAGCTCAAAAATGAAAATATAATTTATGAAAATGAAAAACAATCAAATAGACAGATCTGATATGTTAGGTTTTGATAGTCTATCTATGGTCTACAGTAGTTGACTGTCTGCAGCATACATCTACAACCCTCTCTGTCTGTTGTTATACAGGCAGTTCAACAGCTTGTGTTCGAGCTGATCTGTAGCTCTGGTTACTGGCTGGTGCAGCAGCGCTTTACTGCTCCACCAGCTGGATGTAAACAAGACAACGAGGGCAAAACAACAAAACAGAAACTCTCTGATCAGAAAAGGAGCAGAGATGGAGGTCAGTCAGTCAGTACTGCTCCTCCTCCTCTTCCTTTCCTTCGTCTCTCTCAGCAGGACTCCCCACCTCCTGCTGAGCACCTTCACGACTGAATAGTTAAAAACCACAATCCTGTCTGTAACAGAGACTCATTTACTGAGAAGTATGAACTCATCTAGAATCTCTCTCAGCCTTGAACCCGACAGATGGAGCAGAGGCAGAGCTGTCGCCGAATTTAATTAAGAGCCCGACTGCTCATCAAATTTACACATTTTCACTAAATACTCATTTCTCTCTGACACTGTTCTGTCGTTAACCTCCTGAGAAACAGCAGCTGTAGCCGTGAGTCTGCAGAATATTCAAAGTTGAGATGTTTATGTTTGATTTGAGTTCATCATATAATCCCTCCTTGGATTCTCCGTCTCCGAACAGTTTCAGACTCACTCCCTTCACGCTGACTCATGGTCACAGTTTGGTTGTTTTTAAACGTGTAGATCCACAAACCGGTTCAGTGATGAACTCAGAACTCATGAACTCATCCATTCATTCAGCTCGAGCTCAGCTGCTGTGAGTGTGTGAATATCAGGTGTGCGATGATGACTCACTCAGACTGCCCAGCTGTTTGATGATGGCCGCCAGGGTGCTGTTGGTGACGCACTCCAGCTCACTGGTCACCCCGTCCGGCAGAGCTCCGCGGCAGAGGTGCCGGGGCTCGATGTTCCTCTTCACCAACGGCATGCTGGTCTACTCCTGAGGAAAACAACAAAGGTTAAAGTTCAAAACGGCGTCTTTTTGCTGCCTGACTGAACTTATTTTGATTCCCTGAAGGACGCCGTGCAACAAAATACAAGAATTAGCTCCACGCTGACAGATAAGAGAGAGAAAACGCTGAGGGAAAATGTGTCTGAGCTCAGCTGTGAGTCCTGATGGACACGGAGGTGTCATGTCCGCCGTGGGGCGCAGTCGCTCATCACGCTGCTTAATGTCAGCGCGGCCGCGACGAGCCAAGAGACAAATGAGCCGGAAAGAAGTTTCTAAACGGTGTTAACGAGCCAAAACTGTAGCCAGAGAAACCACCAGGGACAGAGAGAGAGAGAAAGAGAGGAAGAAGAGAGAGCAGCTGATGGACGGAGAAAGAGAAGAAGACAGAGAGTCAGTGTGTGAGCGGTTAGAATTGGAGGGAAGAGCAGCTACATATAGATGTCACATGACGTCAGGAGAGTCGAAGAAGACACTTTCAGGATGTGATGTAGATGTTTCACTAAAGTTAGGGTGACCATATTCTGAATCAAGGGGGCCGAGTCACAGAGTCACATGTAGTTAATTGTGGGGTAGGATCGAGTGATTCTTACACACTTTTAACTCAGTAAGTCCACACGACACAAACTCAAAACTTCTGGATATTTGAAGGGTTTTATAAACTCCCCCAGACGAGGCAGGACAGCCCCCAAAAAGAGGACATGTGGTCACCCTACACAAAAGTGTGTGAGTTTATTTTCCAAAGTGAACATTCAAAAATTGTTTTTCATAGAAAGGCCTGTTGCTTAACTCTGAAACCTTAGGCCAGTCCATTACGGACTACAGCGGGGTTTCACAGCTCAAGGAAGAACATTTATGATCATTACTTTATCATTTCCTTGAAGTAATAATCACCATATTAATCATTTTGCACTGCAGACACGGTAGTTCTTCTGCCTTAGTGTCTCGGTCTGATTGCATTTCTATGCAGAAATGATCATAAATGTTCTTCCTTGAGCTGCGTCACCCCGCTGTAGACAGTAATGGACTGGCCTGAGGTCTCACTACAAACAAGCGGCTGCTAGCAGAGAGTAGGTGAGTTGTGTTTAGTCTCTTTGTTAAAGAAATTAGTCAAAGTTAAAAAGATGTTTGGTGTCTAGTACTATGTCTGGGACCCTATATGTCCTGTTGATGAAGTTAGGTGCTGTTCTGAGCATTATTTGTGGCTATAGAGTGGCGTTTTGGTTGAGGTTGTTTATGGCTCCTCAGACCGCTGTGTATTTCTATCCTGCGGTCGTTACTAAAGTTGGTATAACTAAAGAAGCAAGCGGTCAGCAACATTCATCTCACAACGGGGTTGTCTAACTCAGTGTTACTGTGTGTTTGACCCTAAATTAATTTTACGCCGTAATATCCCTTTAACTCTGAATCTTTAGGGACTGAAGCGCAACTTTCCAGCTCGAGTTTAAAACTGTTTTAAAGTTCAACATCTACGCCAAACTTAATGACCACTCGTTTGACAGCAACACCGCTGAAGTGTGTTATTAATCAGTTCAAGTGTCACAAACAGATGTTAAACTTTTGGCCAAAATGTGTTTTACTTTTTCTTTGTTTTGGAGGTTCAGGTGCGCAGACTCAAAGTCGACATCCAGTTGTTGTAAATAAATCAACAAGCTTCACTGCGTCAGTCTCTAATTTTCTTTGAGTAGATTTTTGTACCTGAACCTCTTTTTCGCTCTTTGAAGAGAACGAATGTGACCGACAGGAAGAGAGAGAGAGAGAGAGAGAGAGAGAGAGAGAGAGAGAGAGAGAGAGAGAGAGAGAGAGAGAGAGAGAGAGAGAGAGAGAGAGAGAGAGAGAGAGACGGTGAAGTTTGAGAAAAGTGAGCGAGCGTCCCCGACACGTGAGGAGACCGCCCCGCTCCTCTGGCTTTGGACTCGACTCTCTATGTGGGACACGCTTGTTATTTTTGGGCTCTGATGTTGTGTGTGAGGGTTACGTGTGTGTCTATCTGCTTCAGAATCAAAGTAGGCACGATTTCTCATTGTGTGTGTGTGTGTGTTGAAGGTGTGTGTGTGTGTGTGTGTTATCAGGTCAGCGCTCTGGAAACGCGCCATTCTCACACTCCGAACATAATCACTGGCAAAATCCAAACATCCGGAAGAAGAGAGGGGGATGAAAAGAGGTAAACAAAAACACACAGGCTAACTGATTTACACCCTTTTAATTCCCTTGAATCAGTGCTCGCTCACATGCTCCCTAAACACGTCAACTTTAATAAAAAGCGTCTCCTTCGTCCTCCTTATGTCTCCTTCACTCCTTCTCTCCTCCCTCTAACAGCCTCTGACGTCCAATTACTCAAAGCGCCGCCGATTGTGTTTTTAGAGCTCGATCGGGTTTTTTCAGCGTGTGTGAGCCGATATCCACCCTCTCCTCCAGCTGTTGTAAATAATCTAACGCCGCGGCTCTTTAATAAAACATACACGCTCGTCCTCGCCCGCCATCGCCGCCGCTCTTCATCTCTTATTTGTCTCATCTGTCAGACTCTCTCCATCCTTCTTTTTATCTACATTTTCCTCCACTCCTGATCTTCCCTCCGTCTCCGCCTGCTTTCATGAATAAATAAATGAGGGTGAGCGTCTCGGTGTCCAACACGGGGCGGGTATTCCCCGTCTCCGTGTTGATCTGAAGGTGTGAGTGTGTGGACTCGATGTAGAGGCCACTTAGTCTGGGATTTAATGCAGGTTCACAGCCATGATGCGGCACAAGTGGGCCGGATCTTGACCCAGAGGCACTTAGTCTCCTCACAGCGGCTCTCTCAGGTCAGCTGCAGGGCACGGCGGTACTGACCTGAAGTGATAAAACCTCGACTGTTGAGGGAACCGAGACCAGATTAATCCAGAGCTCTTAAAATGAGAATTAAGAGCTTTTAAATTACATGAATGCTTGTAATATAGATGTCACTATTAATAATTGTGATTTTTTTTTCTCCTGCACACTAATGGGGCGCTCACACCGAGCACGTGTAAAATCATCTACTCGCTTAATTCGCACGAATCAAAACGCGTGAATGAAATAATTCGGGGCACCAACACATCGACACGACCAGTTTTAGATACCAGTGAACAACTGTCCGCTTTCGTACATCACCTCGCAACCCTCGTTCCGATTGGTTATTGCAATGCCTAAATCCGCTAAAGTTGAGCCTTTTACGTGTAAAATCATCTACTCGCTTAATTCGCATGAATCTAGACGCGTGAATGTATCGTATTTACTCGCTTAATTCGCGCATCAAAGGTTATTTCAACGGTAATCCCTGCCAATTTAACCGGCAAGATCAAGTGATAGACAAAGGTTTTTTACAGTTTACCAGGTAATCCGAACTTCTCACTCACTTGCCTCCTTTTAATTCTAGTTTTGGTAATTGAAAGAAAAGGTATCATATAAATTGTGGCACCCACACACACCGACACGATCAGTTTGTCCTCTGTCACCTGGCAACCTTGGTGTTGATTGGTTATTACAACTCAAATATCTGCTCAAGTTGAGCCTTTATTGGCTCCTGCCCAGTTCGGGTCATTCGCGCCGCCAGAGTAGTAGGAGCGCCTAATCGCGTCTTTGCATTGACTTAACATGTAATTCATTCGCGCGAATAAATTTACTCGTGCTTTGTGTGTGGAGACAGTAAGTGCTTCCTGTTGCATGCCAACACTGAGAGCAGAAACAGTTGTGCCAAGTACTGATCTCACGCACACAACAGCAGTTCAGCCCTCAGAATAAATAAGGGAGTGAATGAAAAACAAAAATCTGAGGGTTAAAGGTCTTGATGGACCACTTGGGATTCCTCAGCTAATGCTTAGATGAAACCGTAAAGGTGAATTTGTGATAAATGGCCTGCTAAACAAACTGCGCTAGCAGATTTTGCGGCCTTGTTTATACGTACGCGGTTACTTTTAAAAACCGAGGCATGAACCATCGTTTGCACCCACGATGCTTTTTAAAAACTCTGACCAAAGTGGAGATTTCGGATAACGCCGTTTGCACGTAAACGGAGAAAAACTGAGGTTAACGGAAATTTGGGTAGCCGACATCAGATTGTGCGCAGGAAAGGAGGAAGGGACATTGTTGTTGTTGCTAATGAGGGCTTGAGCTTTTTGCTACACTGCCACCTAGAGGTTTGGCATGCTATTGACGGCATATATACACAGGTTAGTGTAACGAAAACTTTTCTTAAAACGTAGTGGTGAAGTCTGTTTATGAAAATAGCCGTGCACGTGTGAACTTAGTTTGTATCTCTGTGCAGTTTGCTCTTGTTTTGCGTCGAGGAGACGAGCTGTCGGCATCTTTACGCCTTGCTGCACTTTAACCAGCACCATAGACAGCTGTTTTGTCAGCTGTGTTATGGTTTCTTGATACTCTTGGTAAAGAGTCTAATTTCAGTTTCCGATCTTCTTGTCTTAATAACGATATTTTCCCAGTCTAATATATTAAATCAACTTAAAGAAGAAAAGAAGAAAGTCATAAATCCAGTTGTCTCAAGACTTCCTAGTTCCACGAATTTTAAGGGGAAAGAGAAAATTAACAATATGACAAGCAGGAGAAAGTAGACGGGCCAAAAGTGTGTCGGGGAGCTGTGGGAACGTTGTCATGGCAACCAGCTGAGGAATCCGCTCCGCTGCTCAAAAGTGGAACTCGTCTTTACATCCGAAAATAGTCTGAAAGAGAATCTGAAGAGGACAGACAGAGAGGGAGAGATGAAGAGGGAGGGGACGGACATCCCCGTGAAAAGCAGGAACTTGAAATTTTAAGTAGGTCTCCTCAGGATTTACCGCAGTCTGACACCTCCACCGCCACGACGCGACAGACTTTAGGGTGCAGCAGCGACACAAACACGAACAGAGAACCTCCTCAAACGTTTCAGAGAGTCAGACTCTGTGAGGACGCCTCGGATCAAAGATTCATGATGAGACGAAAAAAAGATTTTCACAGAGAGGCTGCAGACACGTGAGCTCGTCTGCTGGAAGCTGTTGCTCACAAACTGTTAAACTCAGAGGGTTGGACAGATTGGTGATGAAGCAGGAACTTATTTTGGAGCGTTTACATCCCCTTTATGATTCTACATTTTAGACTCTTCCTAAACCAAAGCTGTAAAGTTCAGTTCACGACAACATAGGGGGTACTCTGAGACACCAGGTGACCACTTTCAGCTTTAAAACAGACATTGAGAGTTTGTTGAAAGGTATTACATGTTCACCAGTTTTGAAGGTTTCATACAGCAGAGCAAAACTATTCTCCGCCTCCCCCAACCTGATTGGTTGTGAGGCAGACGCTGCTCCCTCATGTCGTTCAGGTGCCCAAACAAAGTTAGCGTGCTACAATATCAGACAGTAGAAACCAACCAGAAAGTTCGGAAAATTGTCTGAATCCTCCTTTGGCCACGACTGCCGACACAAGCAAGAAAACAAAGTAAATACCGGAGACTCTGGAGGAATAACGGGCGCTTAAAACGGAGGTAGACCGGACAAGAGCTAAAAAGACGGGTCAACAATGATTGGGGACGCTTGGGGATCTTCCAGACCCTTTAACCTTTCTGCTGGACAGGTAAACCGCTTTAACAAAGTAAGACAAGTGTCTGTAACAGAAGTGTTTCTTGTCAAACGGACCTGCTGTAGCGTGTTGTAGCGCCATCGCTAAACTGTCCTCCCTCGGGTCCTGGACTATGTCACTTTATCCTCGTTGTAGAAGTCCTGCAAACATTGTGTTTGCTGGTAGTCTGTTGGCATCTACAGTAGCACCAATGCTTTTGACTTTCACCTCGACTGGGCCCCATTTGTAATGATCTGAAGTATTTATCTGCATTATATCTGAATTTAATTGGAACGATACGAGCGAGCAGGAGCGTCTGTTTGTGGGCGGGGCTTGATGGGGAGAGGAGGAGCTGAGGGGAAAACTGGTTTGGAGGGGTAGAGTTTACATTCAAGGTTTCTCCCAAAAACTGTAACTTCCTCAGATCCTGACTACCCAACCTTTAACTGGACCATTTGTGAGAACACACGGTTACTGTCCAAGGTTACGAATTGGTCTATTCAATCACTGATCATCAATCAATTAGTACCAGTATCAGCTCTGGAAAACCAGTATCAGTCGACCCCTGACTGACTTTGCATAGAGAGGATGGACAGAAGGTGCGATGAAGACTCTCGCCGTAGATCCAGACTGTGTCAGTCTTCTTGTTTTAATGTCGGCGGCTTTAATTACAGCTGTAACCCGATAAGACCTGATCCCCTCTGATCCCAAACCCACTGGAGTCCATTTGTGAGGGGGCCATGTTGGGCAAATATCCACCGCCCCCCGCTCCCCTCCGGAGATAACACCCAAATACCTCCACGGGGGGGGGTTCATGCCGATGGACTTTGTCTGCTTTTAATCAGACGATGAAACAGAAAGAGGAGGTATTCATTACTGTCCTTAACCAAACTTATGGTTCCTGCAGGCGGTCTGCTGAGCGTAAACTAATGCTATTACCACTCAGTCTGCTCGGCCGTTCAGCCACACATGACCGCGAACACACACAAACACACACACACACACACACAAACACACACACACACACACACACACACAAACACACAAACACACACTTCCTTCTGGGCATCACCGAGCAAAGTGTGTCAGTCCGCTCAGAGAAAGGTTAGCCACCTGGCCGCCGTCTTCCCTCACTCGCCCCTCCCCCACGTCTCCACAGGACAACCCAGTACAATCAGAAGTGATTAACCCTCCATGGTGACGACAGGAAACGACGGGCGCTGATTTTACAGCCGACCTACGAGGACATTCGGCATAAACGTCTCAAGAAATGACCCTCTTGGTTAAAACGCTGGACTACCAGACTGAACTACATGTAAAAGAACCGAACAAGCTGTGAATTCAGACGTGGAGAACACAGCTATGAAAACAGCAGCCCGAGCCAACGAGGAGAAACAGAGATGATGTTTTATTCTGAGTCAGGATTACTCTGGTTTCACTCTGCGGGCGCAGGAAGCTCCGCGTTTGGACCGACACCAAACGTCAGCGAATGAGGAGAACAAAAGCGCACAGAGCGAAATGAAACGCACGCTCTCAGATGTACGAAAAAAAAACTGGTTTCTATTTGAAGTCTGTAGACCTTTAAATTCTTCTTCATTTTCACCCCAACCCCCCTACGCTCTCGCTTCCTCCTGGCCTCCTTTTTCCTCCTCTCCTCCATCCTAAACTTTCCCCGTCTCCCCCGGTTCCCCGCCCCGCCGCCCTGCTCCGGCGTCTCCCTCTTTGAAGTCTGTGTTTGTTGATGCTCTTGGGTGAGGAGCCATTGTACAAAATGATCACAATTACGGTGGCACTTCCCCCCTCTTTGGCGCTAATCCTCCCTAAAAACAAATTATGCAAAACGGAACCAGAGAGGAGGGGAGACGAGAGATTTTACACTTGCTTTTTATGGCCTTTTTTTTGAGGAGGTTGAGGGGGGGCGGCTCTTTGGAAATGTTGTCATGGTTTCTTTGGAAGTATTTTCATCTATTTTTTCGGATAATGAAGCGATCAGAGAGGAAGAGGGTTCACATTTGGGCGATTAAGTTCTGCAAGAGATCTTCGTCACTTTATGGTCTCCAGTGTGCGTCTGTGAGTGTGTGTCTGTGAGTGTGCGGACGTCTTTAGTGTTATGAAACAGCCGCTTTAAGACACGGTGAATAAAACATGGGAATAAAGCAGCCGAAGCCACGCTGTCGCCGCTCTGATACTTCACTGTGTTTGAAATTCATTTGTGGTGTTTGATAATGTCACATGGGTGGATTCTGTGTCGTGTAGATGAGATTACTTCCTCTTGTTAGATAACTAGTTACATCCTGACAGGTGTGTGGCTCTATAATCTGATTTTTCATGAACCTTTCGCTGATTTAAAACTGCAGAACAGGGTTTTATTTTCTGTTATTGACTCATTAACAAAAAAACACTCATCAAAACCAGCTTTGAGGCCTTGAGACAGAACTGGAACTCACTGACAGGGGTGTGTCCAAACGGTTGTTCAGGGGTGGCACTGCCCCAGCCTCTTTGAAATTTGATCGGCCACCCAAGGTGCTATTGGCTGTTTATATTAATAGAGGCAGAACTTAGATTAAAATGAACTATTTGGGTCGCGTCGTTAAAGGTTGGTGGTCGCTCACTTTATCTAGAAATCAGGGTGGCCAATATTTGTTTTTCAAAGTCGATGCATCCACTGTTTAACAGAAATTCATGAGACGAACAACTGATATTAGGAACGATCATGTAATTACAATAGAAATGAAAACTTGGTAATTAACAGGTAATTACCTAGTAATAACATGTATTTATCTGGTTATTACATGATAACTACTAAGTCAATACTGTCTAGCTACCAGGTAGGTAACCTTCCATCATCATACAAATTTGAAGCCGAGTTGCTCTGATATTTCCAGGATTTTCTCCACTTCCTGGAACCACCACTTGCGCAGTAGCATTGTACGTATTCGGCGGGTGAGTCGCTGTGATAATGATCGGCTCAAACAGCATATCGCTGCGCAATCTTCGCACACCCATAGGCTGTCAATCATAGAAAATAAGAACCCCGAATAGCTTTTGAAAATGGAGCTGCACAGAAAAAAAAACAAAAAAAACTAGACAGTATTGACTTAGTAGTAATGTAATGTAATTACCAGATAAATACATGTTGTTACCAGGTAATTACCTGGTAATAAGTAAACCGTAAAAGAAAGGGTTACCGAAAACATTAATTTGTCAATGACAAACAACTAGGGCCCGACCCATATGCATTTTTTTGGGGCCGATACCGATTATAAGGGGGTGAAAAATCTCATTACCGATTAATTTTTTATGAAGATATATGTATACTGTAGATATACTATAGGCTACTGCTCTTCACGCCGACAGGAAGACTGACTGATCAAATTCGGACCAGAAAAGCGTTTAACTACCCCCCCGCGCCAATCAGGAGGGCCTTTAAATTGTGACATCATGGCTTCAAACACATCTCTATCTTGTGATGATTTCTGGCCTTTTAAATGAGCTTTTATTCATTTTAATTGTGTTTTTAACATCTTTTAAACTCATATTAGTCTGTTTTCAGTCTTCTACATCACTCTGGTTTCACTGTGGCTGTTTAGTGATCATAAAAAAACTGATATAGATGTTAAATTAAAGATCTCCTGCTTCTGCTCTGAACAGTTTCCTGCTCTGTGTTCATGTGGAGAGTAAACAGGTCAGCCGCAGAATGAACGCAACATTTCTGAATGTGTGTGTGTGTGTGTTGTGAGAACCCTCCCGGTGCCCCTCTGCAAACCCGTCTCTCACAATTAAATGTGTCGGCCTCAGCACGATTGCAACAAGTCATCCGGCAGAGCCATGTGACCACACACACACACACACACACACACATTTCGAGGGTAAACTGGGTCTACTGGTGCGGGTTAGTGGACAGGAAGGTCTGATCTGTGGGATGATGGCGGGGAGGAGAGACGGGTCACATTAAAGCTGAGACGTGATGTGTCTCGGTGTCCCAGTTTGCAGCTTCCAGTCCAGACCGAGACACGAATAAAACTGAATCTGATACCGAGCGTCCTCAGGAGGTTAACGCCGTCACACGGGCCGTTAGAGCGAGTCTAGTAACGCAAACATAACAGAAAGGTTAATTCAGTCCTTTTAACTACAGAGGACGCAGATATCACAAAGGATGAGTGTGTGTGTGTTGGTGTGTGTGTCTTGCCCTGGAGGCATCTGTCATGTCTCCTCTCCTGTAATTCTTAGTGACAGCTTCACACACAAACGACGTCTCGGGGATCCCCTCAAACGTGCAGCGTGAGACCGGAGAGGTGGATTTATGTCAAACAAAAGACCGTTTTCAGCGCCAAATATGCGCCGCTCTTCTAAATGAAACCCTGCTGCCGTGGCGAAGCACATCCTCGCTCTCAGGAAGTTGAGTGAAATCCAAGCTGTCTGCTGAGCATCAGCGAGAGAGAGGGGGGGGAAACGCTTCCCTCGCCAATATGACATCCAGCGTTTGTTTTCCCGGCGCCTGACGAGCATGAGGGACAGCTTAGCGGAGTTATCCGGCGCTCTGCTACATGGTTTCTGGTTCGGAGGATTATTTTTATTGGACCTCACCTCCCGGAGACGGAGCGCCGTTTACTACAGGGATCGATAAAAGCATCACGCCGAAGATGTGGTCGCATTAAACTTCCCTCATTGTAATTACATTATTGAGTGTGGCGTGCACACACACACACACACACGTGTAAACACACACATCATGGGATCGATAGCCCGCTATTAAAACCACCTGCGGCAGCCGGTTGTAAACACCCAAACGCTGCCCCTAGCAACTGTCGCCATGGTGAGGCAGCCTCATCGATCAAAACGGGGCCTGGAAATCGCTGAGTAAGCCTGGCTGCGTGAAAATATCCAGGAGGAAGAGAATCAAACCTTTTCTCTCAGCAGCAGAAACCACGTCCCAGAATCACAAAACGGACGGAGTTAAAGCGGCGCGCTCAGACGTCAGGTGGAGGGAAACGTCTCGCTCTGTTAAATTCAGGGGAAAACACGATCTGGCAAAGAGCCCCGCAGCGAAACACGGTGAATAGAGTTTATATATCTGCAGACAGGGATGATTCGGAGAAGTTTCCTCTTTCTGTCACGACCTGAAAAGTCGAGCAGAGCTGCCAGCAGAAATAAACGAGGAGGAAAGAAACGTATATTAGTCAAAGTAACGAAAGAAAGACTTTTAAAGGTAGTTTGAAGCTGATTTTGTCTTCAAACATGAGTGTTTTCTTCTCTGATAAGGCTAATAAAGCACTTTAATCCTCTGTTAACGTCGCTGTGCAGAACAAAGAAACGAGTTTTCCTAAAGTGAGGAGCTCTGTTCCTTCTCTCACTCATTCACAGAATTTTAAAAGTCTTTAAACATTTACACACTTTCAAAAACAAAAAAATGAAGAAAATTAAAAGGACATTTCTTTCTTCCCTGACAAATGCCTCAATTATACTGACTAAACTAAATCACAGACTGTTTTTAAAACCCTTTGATTTCATAAAAAGCTGCAAATGGAACTTCTTATTCAGTTTTTTCAAACCTGCTTCATTATGAGGTTAAGAATTTAGGGTTAGATTTTATTATGATACTAACTGATGTCATGATTTAGCCCAGTAAATGTTAAAGGGATATTCCAGCATAAAACTAAGTTAGTGTTAGACACTCCGTCCAGAGATGAATGTTGCAGACCGCTTGCTTCCCTGGTTATACCAACTTTAGTAACGACTGCACGATAGCAATACAGAGAACAACGTGCTCCACCAAAACTCCACTCTATAGCCACAAATAATGCTCAGAACAGCACCTAACTTCATCAACAAGACATATAGGGTCACAGACATAGTACTAGACACCAAGCAAAGAGACAAAACACAACTCCCCTACTCTCTTCCAGTAGCCGCTTGTTTGTACGGAGACCTGCGGGCGAGTCCATCGACTGTAGCGGAGTTTCACAGTTCAAGGAAGAACATTTATGATCATTTATTTATCATTTCCTTGAAGTAATAATCATCATATTAATCATTTTGCTCTGCAGTCGCTGTAGTTCTTCTGCCTTAACATCTCGGTCTGATTGTATTTTCATGAAGAAATGATCATGAATGTTCTTCCTTGAGCTGCGAAACTCCGCTGTAGTCCATAATGGACTGGCCTGAGGTCCCGCTACAAACAGGAGGCTGCTGGAAGAGAGTAGGTGAGTTGCGTTTTGTCTCTTTGCTTGGTGTCTAGTACTATGGCTGTGACCCTATATGTCCTGTTGATGAAGTTAGGTGCTGTTCTGAGCATTATTTGTGGCTATAGAGTGGAGTTTTGGTTGCTAGTTGCCACTAGCGACTTTCCTTACTGAGGAGTTGGCAACAGTGTTTTCTCGTACAGAGCTCCAGTAGCTCATTAGCACTTCGCCTCTGAGTCGTTGGCGGAGACAGCGCTGCTCTGCACACGTCTCTTCACGTTAGCTTGTAGGCTGACATTGCTGATGTCGTAGCAGAAGCAGGTAACATCGGAGCTATTCAGCTCTCGGACACGATGAAAGTCAATATCATAATTAGCTTTCTTATGAGCATTGCAATCCGCTAACACACACGCTTGTTCCACGATTGCCACTGTGTATTGCTATGCTAGTGCGGTCATTACTAAAGTTGGTATAACTAGAGAAGCAAGCGGTCGGCAACATTCATCTCTTGATTTTACGCCGGAATATCCCTTTAACACTCTTTGGATTTAAGATCCCTCTCCTTGCTCTCCTCTCTCCTCCTGCTCCTCTCCTCTGAAAAAGTTCCTGACCGCCGTCTCAAGGCGACCACAAAACTCACATTTTGCTTTTACCACATTAAAACTGACTTCTGTAAAAGTTAGCTTCAAGTTTTCTCATCCTCAGACTTCTTCAGTCGCGGAGTACTTACTGTAATCAAAGAGTTTACGAATCGATGAAAAGTACAGCCAAAAACTCCACCTTTTTTTCCAGGACTTAAGAGTCGGGAAATGTTCAAAGTCTATTCTGAGCTGCTTCACTTTAACCCCTCTTTTGTAACTCCACCATCTTTAAAAGGGACGGCGGTGAATCATATTGTAAGGGGAGTCATGACGGATCCTATTCAATGTGTCAGATGGTTATTCATACTATGAATAGCCCGGAGAGGATCTCTAAGTGGCCACATCACTCAGTCTTGAGTGCGCCCTGAAGAGGCGGCCCGGGTTCTTCAGAGTTAATTCAAACCATTAGCCGCAACGAGACGCGGCAGACACGAGGGAAGAACTGGGCGAGCTGTTTGAATCATACGAATGAATCCCGCTTCCTCTCACCTGGAAATGTTTAAATCAGGCGAATCTGGGTGAAAGAGGAGGCAGAGGAAGAGACCGCCGCAGCAGAGGCTTCTGGGAGGAAGATGGGAAAACGAGCGAGCATCTGGAAAACGTAAGATGTGCCTTCTATCTATCAGGGGACGGAGGAGCGCTCCTGAACCGCTGACTTCTGAAATACAGATTACTGTCAAAACACACGGTACCTCTGGAATCCTAATCAGAAGAGTCGACTCGAAGTGAAGGGAGGCTTTAAATCTAAAGAAAGTTCAAGATCAGGGGCTGATTTTGGGATCGTGACATCTGTTTCTTACATATCTAACCTTAAAGCTCCAGTAGGAAGTGAAGAATAGATCTGGGTGGGCCGCCCTAGTAACCTAACTTACCTCTTCTTCGCCCCTCTTCTTCCTCTTCTTCTTCCTCTTCAATGATTTGCTTACGTAAGGAATCAGCACAAGCTACTCTGAGCTGCTCTTCTGAATGCGAAACATATTATCTAATCACCGCTCTCGCCCCGGCTGGAGTCTAGACTTGAAAGGCTCAGTTGTTGTTCACAGACTTGGACTCTCGGTATATTCTGTAATTACAGAGCGGTTCTATTCACTCGGTAAACGCAGATATGATTGTCCTTTATGGAGGGTTTGAACTGGCCTGAGTTTCACACGTTCTGTCCAGTTATAATATTTGTGTTGAGTCAGATTCTCTTCGGGGCTTTCGAGTCGAGTTACAGACCTCGTAAGATCGAAATAAAACACACTTCCATGGAAAATCCTCCCTCAGTGGCCTTCAGAGCTGATAAAATGAGGTTAGAAATAATAAATAGTGAGAAAAATGGTGATCAGAGCCGAGATTCACCCACAGAGAGAAAATATTGTTGCTGGGAAAGATTACAGACCGTAAAGATGGACGACATGCCTCGTGCAAAAGTGAAGCCAAACCATCCAACACGACAACACATTGTTCATTTGAAGCCTGAGCCTGCACAGCTGTCAATCATGGCCTCACACACCTTTAAAGGGATATTCTGGTGTAAAATTAATTTAGGGTCAAACACACGCCGTCAAGAGATGAATGTTGCCGACCGCTTGCTTCTCTAATTAAACCAACTTTAGTAATGATCGTACGATAGCAATACACAGCGGTCTGAGGAGCCATAAACAAACCGCAACCAAAACGCAGCTGCTTGTTTGTACGGAGTTCCCAGCTGCGGAGTTTCACAGCTCAAGGAAGAACATTTATGATCATTACTTTAAGGAAATTACAAAGATATTATCATAAATGTTCTTCCTTGAGCTGCGGCACCCTGCTGTAGTCCATAATGGACTGGCCTGAGGTCTCACTACAAACAAGCGGCTGCCGGAAGAGAGTAGGTGAGTTGTGTTTAGTCTCTTTTCTAAAGAAATTAGTCAAAGTTAAATAGATGTTTGGTGGCTAGTGCTGTGGCGAGGACCCTATATGTCCTGTTGATGAAGTTAGGTGCTGTTCTGAGCATTATTTGTGGCTATAGAGTGGTGTTTTGGTTGAACGCGTGGCTCTCTGTATTGCTATCGTGTGGTCGTTACTAAAGTTGGTATAACTAGAGAAGCAAGCGGTCAGCAACATTCATATTTGAGGGACTGTCTAACTCGGTGTTCCTGTATGTTTAACCCTAACTTAATTTTACGCCGGAATATCCATTTAATGAACAATCAAATAACTACTGAAAACTAAACCTGCCCGAGGTATAACCCCTCTGACATAAATTGGTATGATTAGTGCTACAATTAGGGACAAAAAACAGATGTGAGGGAATTTCAATTGACTCGTAATTTATTTTTATAAAATCCACTGATGGTATAAATGGAAAACTTCCCATCAAAATTTAGAGTTTGGAATATTACAAACTGTTAAATTGTCTCGAGCAAATGTTTAATCAACACTTTTGGACTCACTTATTTTCAAAATAAAAGGTAGATACAGAAAAATGCCAAATATGGACACCAATAATTGGCTGAGACTGATAATCAGTCTACCATCATGTGCATAAACTTGAGATTTTAAGTATCAGCAGGCAGAGAAATTACCATGTTGTGTCTAAAAATTGTGCTAAAAATCGTCTTTTTGATGGTGAAATCGAGTTCTGAAAATGTTCTGGTTTCAAAGGGTCACTTACTATCGACAAGGACCTCATTCAGCCCCAATCCCATTCATAAATTACGGAACTATCCCTTCAGCGACAAGACTGGGACAGGAATTTCACAACCGCAGGTAAACCAACAAACTAGACGAGCTCATTATTCTGTCTTCCACTGTGGTTCATCCAGAGAAGCTAATTGGGCATGTACACGATCCAAAAGGCCGATTCTTCTACATCCATGACCAAAAATAATGCTGATTTACCTGCTAACTGAGCTGAGCTTTAATTCAAATGAATCATCCCAACCCTTAATATCATTCAGATCTGATTAGAGCAAATTATTTTAGCTCTACAATCTTTATTTAAATCTCCTGTTATCAAAAATGGGCCTGGCTAATACTGGATTTGAGGGCCATGGCAGTCAGATCTTTCACTTGGACATTTGCAACAGTAAAACCCTCATTTAACACACTCTGAATGCGCAAAAATGCAGATACTAGGATGAATTATTTGCACCAAAACAGGGTCGAAATGCACGCACAGGTACGTAGCTAATCTGGGCTGCTGATTCGGTAGTTGTAGACAAATCTCCGCACCAAATCCCATGTAAAAAAGACGCTATTTAAGCTGCACACTGACAGACAGACAGAGCGGGTCTCTGGCACAGACTAATCCTCTGCACACCTCCTGCATTATAAACCCCGCTGCTCTCTTTCTTGTCGCCATCCAGCCAAATCCTCTGACACATCGACCAACTGGTGACATTTTGTTACGGGCGGAAGAGAGAAAAACACCTGACCAGGGCGTCAAAAATGACGATAGAGCAGAGGGTGAAAAAACGCCTTTTTCTGCAGATAATTAGGCTCTAATTATGAAGCATGCGGCTCAACGCGAATGCCCCCCCTCTGCATTTTTCTGCGTGTGTGTACCGCGCAACAACAATAACAAACGCGCCCCCACCTCCCCGTACGTCCACACCAAAGCTGTCACTGAAGGTCTGCTCACACATACCTGTCTGTCTTCTTCTCTGGTGTTTTTTAAGGTCTCTCTCTCTGCTGCTCGGCATTTCATTCCAGATCGTCCATGTTCGCAGCTCCGACCGACGGATGGATGGATGGATGGAGAGAGAGAGAGAGGTGGAGGAGGCGTTGGTGGTAGAGGAGGAGGAGGAGGAGGAAGAGGAGGCGGTGAGGGGAGGAAGCCTTTGAAGTGAGGAAATCTGGGTCCCTGCTCGCAACCCAGCTGCGTGGACTGGATTTATGTCGTTTCCAAGGCAGCGTCCGTCGAGCCCACGAGCGTCAAGCAGCGGCCTTTCGTAAAGGAGATGAACATCCGGTTTATTTTTCAAAATAAAAGCACATTTTTTTCTAACTATGATGTCATGAAAGAGATTGATGTTTTTGCTTTACATTTAAGGACATTAAAGCATTTCTTTTTAATCCATTTTTTAAAATTCTCTATTGTCATTTATACCAAGATAAGATTTTACTTAATTTAGAAATATCTAGTTAGACTAAAATATATTTTACAAAACAAAAACAATTTCACAAGTTGCAAAAATAATTCAGATAACTTGGAAATTAAAAAAGTTCTCATCAAACACCTTTTTGTTTTTGTTTTGGTTAAAGTTTTAAATGTCCTGAATTTATATTCATTTTATTGAATATCTTTGTGTTTCATACTTTAATTTTTATTATTATTTTCCTTTGGGGGTCTCATATTATTTTTTTATTTTCTATGTCTTTATGATTTTTTTTTAACTTTATTTTAAGAAGTGTTGTTTTCTTTAAATGTTTTCGCCTTTACTGCCCCTTTTCATTTTTTTTTTTTTTTTACCCAGCCATTCAGAGTTGTCATTTGCCCTTTTAGGCCACCATACCTGAGGGAACCCACCTCAATTTAAGGTATCATATAAAGTTATCATCTTTTATCAATGGAGATCTAAATAAACCGACTTTTACTAGAAAATAGTAGTTCAGGATAGTAAACTAACGACTCAAAGCCCCTTTAAAACTGTTTATCTGTCTCATTTTCTATATTTTGTCGATGGTTTGAAGTGTGGGTACCCTCCCCTACTGCTAACGCTAACTGCTACATAATTGTCAAAATGCCCCCAAAATGACCAAACTGTTCGACCTTTGGTACTACAAATAAAATGTTTAACGGTGAATTACTATTTTTAACTTACTTACGCGTTAAATATTGCCCTAACTTTGAAGTTTGACTGTTTTAACCGTCCGTATTTCTCGTGGTTGCTCGCGCTAGCTTGACGCAGCCGTTGGCTCGGAGAGAGGACCCAGGAGATGCAGCAAACCGGAGCGACGGCGCATGCGTGTGCGAAATTTGCCGGTGATAGCCGAGACCACCACCCACTCCGTCGAGCGGCGTCCATTGGGCGAGCGGGCGGAGGAGCTTCGGGCTTGTTCGGGTACGAGACTAACATGCAAAACAGTCGGCTGCTGCAATGAACGTCTGACAAGAGAGAGAGAGACACTAAATTCAGCCGGACAAGCTCATTCAATCCCTGTCATTCTACCTAAATACAAAGATTTAAGACATAGCTCCATTATAGATGATGAAGAATAAGATTTATTTAAATGTAGTAATGTTTAAAAATATTAACTGTATTACTAGAAGATATAGATTTAATTTCTAAGAGGTTGTTTTAATCTATTGCAGATGAATGCAGGTCACTCTAACTCACCTGAATTATGACTTTTCACTAAATCAGTGTCAGACAACTTGTGTACAGAAGTTCCCTGACATTGTGCTGCTGCTGTTGTGTTGCAGTCTCACCTCTCTGCAGTCTGTTGCTTCATGTCTTTTTTTTCAAGGATCTCCTCATGCAGGTTGTTGCCTCCTCAGAGACTGGAGCTGTCCGCGGTGCTGATTTTAATGACTTCACTTATAGTCACTGACCGAGGTACCGATTGAAGAAGTTACCTTTTTAATCAATGTAAGGATCATTTTCATCTCACTCATTATTCTACAATCATTTATATTCAATTATGTATTTAATTACAATGATATTTACGAAGACAGTTGGATCAGAAATTAGAGAAACATGTTTAAGAAAGTAACCCTGAATTTGAGAAATGATAAATCTGCATTTAAAGCCCTAAAGTAGAGATGGAATACCACAAAACTATCATAGATGGTGCATTTTGGTCAATCTGTAGTATTCTCCTCAGACTCTCCAGGATGCCCTGAGGTTCTTTTCAGGTGACAGTGATGCTCTGCTGCCACCTTGTGTCTCAATGCAGTAACTAAATGCTGCACAGCTTGGAGTAATTGTGCGTTTCAAGGTGCAATTAGTAGTTTATGACCTGCAGTGATTTTCATCTACAGTGGATATAAAAAGTCTACACACCTCTGTTCAGCTGCCAGGTCTTAGGGATGTAAGAAAATGACAGAAAGATAAATATTTTCACAACTTTTTCCACCTTTTAATGTGACCTATAACCTGTACAATGCAATTCACCCCACAAATGTTCGATGGGATTCAGGTCTGGGCTCTGGCTGGGCCATTCCAAAGTCTCAATCTTATTCCGGTGCAGCCGTTCTTTTGTTGATTTAGATGTGAGCTTTGGGTCATTGTTTTCAGAGGGCTGAAGGTTTTGTGCCAACACTGACCGGTTTTGGAACTGTTCATAATTCCCTCCACCCTGACTAAGGCACCAGTTTCAGCTGAAGAAAAACAGCCTCAAAGCATGATGCTGCCACGACCATGCTTCACTGTCGGTATGGTGTTCTTTTGGTGATGAGCAGTTGTTTATTTTTACTTCACCTCCCTTAAAGATTTCTGTTTGTTTTTCAATTGTTGTACAGGTTAGAGTTTGAGTTTGAGTAAGACTTTAAGTAGAAAAAAATGGCCTACATACACAATCAAAACAACTGTCCACACATTAGAATAATATTTTAATAAATAATAGCAGCATCACACAGAAAAAAAGAAAGTATACATTGTGTGGATGACGGCATAATTATTGTGTTAACGCAAAAAGATATGTCATAGACAAACATTCACAATTAATGGTATAAAAAACAAACATCACTGCAGAACAGAAGAAGGTTCAACACAGAGAGAAAAAAGAAAACAAAAAGCTAACCTACGAGCGCCGGATCATACAAGAGCGAGACAAACCAGACAACCCGTCTGCGTCAATGCTGAGCGAGCATCGAAGGGTTCAAGAGTCGAAGGTCGGTGTTGGGTTTGCCAAACTCTTGAACAACCTGCAGCTCCGGCTATTTCATCTGAGAGCCGTTTAGTGACAGAGTTTCAGGTTTGGGGGGGAGAGGAGTGAGACAGCTACAGAGTTTAAAGACAGCTCTGATAAGAAAGAGGAGAAACAGATTAAAAAGTCCAGAGTGGCATCGATTTTTCTGAGTAACTTTCTGAGAAGAAGAAACCCAGCAAATACAAAATTTATGTTAGCACTGGGTTCATTTGTTCATCAAAAACATATGAAATGGAATGTGGCGTTCCTCAGAGCTCAGTTTTAGGTCCAACACTTTTTAATCTCTACATGTTGCCACTGGGGGATGTCATCAGGTAGCTTTACATTGCCGTGTCTCCTGATGACTCCGGTACTCCAATAACTGGAGCAAAAACTCTGAGCTCGAGCTTTTAATCCATGCAAAGAAGTTAAAAATCTGGGTGTTACATTTGATTCAAACCTCAGTTTTGAGCCACACGTACGAGATGTTACCAAAAAGGCATTTTATCATTTAAAGAACATCTTCAGAGTGCGCCAGTTTCTCTCTCAAGCCAATGCAGAGACTCTTACTCATGATTGATTGATTTTCTGAAATCTGTACCGTAAAAACTGAGACTTCAAATGAGAAACGACGGAAATTACCAAACTAAATCTGACAGGAACGACATGTCGAGGTGGATAGTTCCTTTAAACTTGCATCGTTTGATCATAAAACATCTCCCTCAGACAGTTTGAACATTTTTGAATAAACTAAATGTTTGTTTTTCCGGAAACAGCCCTCAAAAGCCGTCCTCTAATCTATTCAGATAAACTCTGTCAATAAACGACTCAGACTATTTCTATTCACACCAGACCTGGATCATATCATCGACTGAAATCCTTCCAGTCACTCTCTGTGAGTGATTACTCTCAGCTGTCTAGACCCCGAGCCGGCCAGGATTGGCATCTGCAGGGACGAGCCCCGTTCAATCCATCGTGCCAGACGCGATCAATAAAAGCAGAGAAAGTCACTGAATCGATCTCAGATGGCGATTTGAGCCAGGTCTGGTACACACACAGGTACACAGGGAACATATAGGTATTACATTGCAACATACTGAGTTGGCTGGCCTGGCTTTAGCTCTTTGCTCGCCCACAACTGGACGGATCAAACATTTGAATACGTTCAGAGAGTCCTCTCTCTTCTCTGTTTATTCTCTCTTTCCTCTGTTGTTCCTGTTTGTGTTTTGTTTTTTTTCTCCATCCGGGCCGGGATCAAACGCCTGCAGGAACTGCAAGCTGTTTGCCGCATGCCCTCTGCTGATTACTCTTTGTTTCTTTCTTTCCGTCTTGTGTTTTTTCATCCCTCTGAGTTTCACAAAAGAGAACAAAAAGTGAGGCAGAGAGGACCTTTGAACATCACTTCAAACATGCATGATATTTGTGGGCCGAACCGTGGTGCCGGCTGGACAACATTTTAGCTCATGTAGACCTCTCTTTGTGGAGAGAGAGAAGTGGTGCAAAGAACCACCGTGGTAAGTCTGTAGCATACAAATAGTGGATAAATTATACAGAGGAGCATAGACTTAGAATGAAACCGCTCCCAGTGAGCTTGTTTCATTCTAATTGGATGCAGAGGCGGCTGCAGACCTCAGGCTCTGGATTCGATTGGTCCACTGCAGGCTTTGATGGTTGCTCTTTGACCTTAAATGGGAGGTTTTGGTAGAAAAGGTGTTGTACATTCAGGTGCTGGTAAATCTGGATGTCCTTAATCTGAAAGAATTATACTACCTAAAAGTAAAGACTGGTTAAATCTGTGTTTTTTTTTTAAAGGAAATAAACCGGCAAATTACACTGCAAAAACCTCTCAAATCTTACAGCGTGCATTTGTCTGAGGTTTGGTCAAATATCTCATAAACACCTGATGTTATTTAGAGTAAAAGAAGCCATAAATAAAGACTTCAGAGGTTGTAATGATTAAAAAATCTGCCAATGTGGCAACTTTCTTGAGACTTCTCACGATCAATCATGTCCAACACCTGGGTTTCTCAGTTTTAAGTGTCCAATATGAAGTACAATGAGATATTTTAGCCAGTTATGAGACAAATTCACGCTAAGATTTCAGTTTTTGCAGCATTAATATGTCATTCCCAAAGTTCAATCTTCCTTTTTCCAAACAGTCTGGGGGATAAACAAATCAAGCATATATTGATCCTAATTGGAGCTGTAAATGCCAAGATATCCTCCCTTATAGGGTGAAATCTCAATGAGCACTACATTTCCCATGGTGCACCTCAAAGGTGTTTAATGACAGTGAGGCCTATTTGTTAAACAGCTTAAATTGAAGGCTAAATGACATCATACTCTAACAATGAAAACCCTGATAGTGCTACTACAGCAAAAGAAACCTTGATGACATCTACTCTTCAACTGTGCGAAACCCCAACGACATCATTATTCCAACCAAGAGAACCCTAAAGAAGTCAATGCTTGAGCCTGGAAAACCCCAAAGACATCTCCATGCCAACCAAGAAAACCCTGATGAAGTCAACACTCCAACCTGGAAACTCCTAAAGACATCTCCATGCCAACCAAGAAAACCAAAATGAAGTCAACACTCCAACCACGAAATCCTCAATGAAATCACAAACTCCAGGACCTGACCACTTCAGCCAAAACGACCGTCCTCACTTCTCTGCTTAAGGTGGGGAAACCTTGAAGACATAACCACTGAAACTGAGATTTCTCTAATGACACCACTTCTTCAGCCAAGAACGACAACGACATCAACCCAGGGGCTGCAGCTTTGGTAGGACCCACTCAATCTTAGTGAAATTTTGATATTGTTTCAAAACCCACTAAGACCCACTGCGCTGAGAATCCACACATTTATTGGATTTCTGAGGCAGTTCATTTCAGATCTTTCAGCTGATGGAGAGCCAGTGTGGAGGAATCAGCGGGCCTGTCAAACATCGATATAAAACGTGACGGAGCTGTGAGGGCTGCTGACTTGTCTTGATAGAGTCGGGGTCTGTCTCTTATGTTTCGTGGGTCAGATGAAACCCAGTGTCATGAAGCCTCAAGAAGGTTAATGATTGGATGTCTAAAAACCATCAACAGGGCCTTCATCTAAGAGCGCCCAATTTAAACCCAGAACTTACTGCATAAGTTTGGAGAATACTTCATCTTTAAATATGGATTTCAAAGATAAATTTAGCCTCGGTTTGACCGGCTATCTTGCTGTTGGAAAGAAAATTTCTGATCTGCGGCTGACCTTGTCCTATCATCTCAGAAACGGAGCTCTGAATCTAAAACAGCTTGAACTTACACCCTCAGATGATGCAAATATTCCTCACATGTGATAATACGACACGTATATCAAGCACTCTCTGCTGGATAATTAGCAGGCAGTCATAAGGAGGTAGAAATATTCAGATGATGTCCTAATCTGACTCCTGATTTCTCCATGTCTTCGCTGAAATTAATGACGACTTCGAAGTGCAAAAGCATGCTGGATGAGTATGGAAGTGAACCAGTCTAACAATGTCACTCTAGACCACTGTTGTGCTTACAGATAGCTTTTAAAATAGAACATACCGACTTAAAATCCACTCGCTCCGTGAGGGCGGGAACTTTCAGACCAAACACTGTATATTTCTGCGACTTCTAACTTGAGAAGATCAGAGTAATTCCAGTGTCGACCTAATCCCATCAAACATGAAGGTAATCTGCGTTGGAGATGTATAATTTTTAGCGCCCCCCTGTGGACAAAGCAGTCTGCATCCTTCAACACTGTCTCCAAAATCTCACCCTACTGTCAAATGTGAATATTTCATGTGGAAACTGTACGAACAGGTTTGTTTCTTTAGCTGCCCGGCTGACACCTACCCCCCTTTCACTGATGGTCCGGTTTACTCTCACTGACATCAAACGTCCTCATTGGAGCTTTAACTGTTTCCTGTAAAAAACATCAATTTTTAAACTGAAATGACTCAAAGATGAAATAAGTAGAGGTGATGGGGATAGAGTAGCTTATTTGACATCTTTACTGTCACTAAATTATGTCTTTTGTGACTTTTTAACAACTAAATAAAATCTTGGACATTCATTTTTTAATCACTCTATGGGTCTGAGCGTCATTTAAACCCAAACTGGTGAAATTACATTAAAATCCAAAGCTGTATCTACAAAATCTAGATTCCCCCCCCTTGTTTTATGAAAGACATCTTTGTTACTTTTGTGCACCTTTACGTTATTTTGGTTCAGATTTCTTCCTCCTTATTCAAACTTTTCAGATTTAGGACTCAAATTCCTCCCAGGATTGGATGTTTTGGTCGACAGAAGCAAGAGCCCGACAGCCGTGTTGGACCAAAAGACCTGCACCATCTGTTTTTCTGTAGTTTGTTTTTTAGCTCTTTAACTCCCTTGTTCAAGTCAAGGGATGCAACCTTTTCCACTACCGCCACCAGATGGCACTGTGAGTCCACCAGAGAGCCGGTGGGCGTACATTCCTTCAGCTTGGTCCTCTGCAGACAGACTCGTGGCTGCAGCCTTGAGAAAGTGTTCCTCCTGGTCCTGTCGGTTGGATACGTTGATTTTACATGCTGGAGATGTTCGTTCAGACGGACTTCAGCGTCGAGCTCGACCGACACAAAAATAGATTTGGTTTGGTTTGGCTGCAGGGGCTTGTAGTCAAAGTTTGACCCTGTTAGGATCCTACTGAGGGCTTCTCGACTCCCAACAACGAGACTCGGCTCCTCTGGATCTCTGCTGGCACCTTCATCCCCGTGAAGTACTTCCCATTCTGGGCCTGTGGAGCTCCTCTTCTTCATTTTTGGTGCAAAAACCAACATTTTGACCTCAAGTTATCTCATTCTCAGGTGAAAATTGAGATCACTTCTCCATCTTAGAGGTCGACCTCTCCTACAATCTACCCGCTCTTCTTGCATCGTAAGTAGTGCACATCAGTGAGGGGGAAAAGACCCGCCGTCTGAAAGTAGTCCTGCAACAACACCAGCCAATAAAAACACTGCATCGCTCTCTGAAGTGCCGCTCGGCGTCCAGCGTCTGCAGGTTTTAAAAGAAGACGTTAACTCAAATGGAATAAGCGCACAGTCACACGCTGCTTGTGTGTTCTTTGGAGGCGGGGCTATAGCTGATGAGTGACAGCTCCTGCTCCACCTCCGTTTCCGGCTCTGTTTCCGAAAGCATGCCGATGTTGTGGCTCTCCGAGAGGCTCTGCGGCACTATCCCGATTTGTGTCCCGTCGTCTGTCACGTCATCGGGATCCACCGCCAGCCTCCCGTTGTCCCCCCTGCCCCCGTTGCGACAGTTACTGTTGCGGTCCATGCCCGCCTTCCCGTGACTGCCCATCAGAAGTGGGGTCACGCTTTGCGACGGGCACGGCGGGGGGACCAGGAGGGTTTTGCAACTCTGTCCGGCTGCATTGGCCCCCGCTTTGTACTGACACCTGATGTAGCTGGAGAAGGCCCTCCTGTAGGTCTTGTTAAAGAGGGTGTAGACCAGAGGGTTGACCCCCGAGGAGATGTAGCCCACCCAGACGAAGACGTTGAGGAGGTCGTTGAGCAGCGACTCGTTGCAGGAGCCTCGGCACAGGACGAAGGTGACATTGGTGATGAAGAAGGGACACCACATGATGAGGAAGAGGAAGAAGACGATTCCCAGGACCTGAGGGAAGGACATATTAATAAGGAAAGAAGGAAGAGGACAGATCAGATCACAGAGATTGATGATTTTTAATATCCTTTTGAGTGCGCCTGTTCTGCTGGGATCTAAATTTTTGATATGGATATAAGATCGCGCTGCCCTTTATAAATGTGAATTTTAAAGCTGACAACCCACTGTGCCCTCTTTGACTTCTGCAATACTTTAAACCTAAAGTGTCTGGCCCGGACTGAAGGAGAATAAAGATTTTCAACCATTTTAAGATGAAGAATTTGACTCACTTTGAAGACGATATCTATCTTGGTCTTCAAACGTGAAGAAATGAAAAACATTTGCTGATTATTATGCAAGAAAAAAAGAACAAACTGGTGAGAGCCTTCAATCTGAACACCAGGAGGAGATATGCAAAACATCCTCCAAGACACGGCTTAGTTTCTTTGTTTGGTTTAACACCAAACCAGACAACATTACTACTAAAGTTCCTCGAGATACTCTGAATCTATCTTTCAGCAGCACCTCAGTACTCAGAGAGCGGACAGGGGGATCATCATCCTCTGGTGGAAAACTATGACAGAGCAGCCCTCTTAGATGCCCCTGACATTTAGAAAACATTAATAAATACCATGAAAAAGTGGCTAAATAGCTGCTCTTTAACATTCACACATAAAAAGTGCCCTCTGGATATCCTTACAGTGGATAAAACTTCTAATAAGTACCCTCTAGATTAGTTTTTTGGTGGTTAAAATGAAAAAAGTCCCCTCTGGATTATTTCTCAGTACATGAATTTGTAGAAGAGTACCCTCTAGACACCCTTCAAGTAGAAAACATTTAAATGGTGCCCTCTGGATTAATTATGGAATAAAAATGTATTAAAAAGTACCCTCTGGATATCCTTACAGTGAAGAAAACTTTTAAAAAGCACCCTCTGTATTATTTTTCAGTATTAAAAATATAAAAAAGTCCCCTCTGGATGCTCTATCAGTGGATAGAACATAAAAGATAGTTCCCTCTGGATTATTTTTCAGTGTATAGATTTGTGAAAGAGTACCCTCTAGACACCCTTCAAGCAGAAGACATTTAAATGATGCCCTCTGGATTATTTATGGGTTTAAAAATGTATTAAAAAGCGCCCTCTAGATTTTGGTCTATTTACATGGTGCCCTCTGGATTATTTGTGGGTATAAAAATGTAAAACAAAGTCCCCTCTGAACGTCCTCTCAGCTCATAAAAGTAAAAAGCATACATGCTGTCCATCTTTATGTATGATTAAAAGTTTCTATAGAAAACAGCTCAGACAGTTATTGCTAAGTTAACGTCAAGATGCCAAAACTTTGTTTCTCCATCTGAAAAAAAGACATTTTTCTACAACCCACTGGAGTTTAATATAAATAAGATTTTCATCTTCTGTCAGGTTTTCTTGCCTCAAGCCACAGCTCAAGAAATATACACTTCTGAAAACACTGTCCAACAAATTCATTTGAACAGAAAACACAAGCATAAAAGTTGATTGATAAAAAAAGTAAAAGTATCTTTTCATTTTAACACAAACGCCATCACGATTGTCCCCGTGCTGTGACGCTACATGCCCTGCAGACTTGAATCAAGAGTACCTTAAATCAGCTGACAGGCACTCAGCTCCACTCTTTGTTCTCACCTTGGAGGCCCGCCTCTCGTTCTTTATGGCCTGCATCATCCCTCGTCGCCCGCTGCAGCCCGAGGCGTCGCTCCGTGATGTTCCCGCAGCTGGCGAGCTGAGTTGAGACGCCACGTCAGAGCTGGGGATGATACTCAGGCTGTCTGGTGTGGAGACGCTGAGCAGCATGCTGGGCTCGGCTGCTTTTAGACAGCTCAAGGTGTTTCTTCTGCCCTGAAGAGGCGGAGCCTTTAACTCTGCGAGCGGGGAAACATGGGGTTAACGATGTGCAGCTAGGAAGTTTATTTAGTAGGAGGCAAGGGGATTGACTTTTCTGTTGTTAGCATGCGTAAAAGAGAAAAAAAAACAATCTTATCTCTTCTGAAGGAGCTGAATCTAGAGCTTGAATCAGGAATCAAACATTTATGTGATGTTCAGACTGATCAGATAGATAACTTCTGACTGCTCGGCGTATCTTCAGATGTACCTTTGCTTTTTAAAATCTGCCTCAACGGCTCATTTTTCAACTGCTTCTCAGATCGTCAACCACGACTTTAAGGGCCTGTGTCCACTGAAAGCATTCTCTGTAACAGCAGCACAAGACTAATGCAGTTCATTATTTTCAGTGTTTAGCATACTAAATTAAAAATAAACCCCTTTTTTGCTGTTGTTGCACTTTTAGCTCTCTTAGATGAAACAAAATTCAACCTTTTGGTCACGTCTGTGCAGAGTAACTTTATCATTACTGACCTAAAGAATCTTCAAGGGGTGGGACATCTGAGATTACCTTTGCCTACAATAGTGGAAGGGTAAAATAAAGACTCAAATTTCTAGATCTAGGGATCCTGCTAACACTAATACATGGCTCCCATAAGTATTCATTGTGATTTTATGTTAATTCCATATGTAAAGCACACTGAGCAAAAACTGCTGTCAGTGCACACAGGCCCTAACTTGAACCAGCTCTTATTCTGTTCCTACACTCTTGCTTTTCAAAGCCATCCTCAGCAAAGTCTTTACACCCATACCAAAATTAATTACAAGTGCTGGGCTGTGATGGGCTCGTCTTCTATTTTTAGATGAAGAATATCCAGCTACACTTACTACAGCTGTGTGTAATCAACTATCTATCTCGGGAGCGGGGGGAAAAACAGCCAAGCAATCAAGCTGTTTGTGCAACTCCTTGGTTTAGTTTTGGATTTTAAGGGCTTGAGGAAAGATTTAAACCTTCGGATAAGAAAATGAAAAAAGAAAACAACATAAGGCACTTCAGAAGGGTTATTAAAACCAACAGCAATAATTGTTTTCGCTCTCCCTTTGGCAGTAAAAAAAACATATGGGTATTGCTTATGGTTTATCTTTCCAATAAAAGTACGTCTATGCATGAGTTTTAGATTCCTGCAGCTTTGGGTTATATTAGTTTTTACCTTGTGAGTCTGAGGGAGCGAGTGTGTTGATTTGAGGAATGCTGAAGGTGCTGGTTGGAGGCTGTATAGTATTTGACATTGCTGGTGTGTGCAAAGGCTGCTGGGAGGAGGTTTTGGCCTCGCACAGGAAGACAGTGGCCTGCCTCTGAAGCACCTGAGAAACCAAAGGGAGGAAGGAAAAGAGAAAAGATCTTTGAGTGACAGAATCATAAAAAAAGGTTAGGAGAGGATAGAGTGCGTTTGGAGGGCACTGGCAGAACCGGGTACCTGAATGGTGAGGCAGTACGTCACCACCATTATGACCAGTGGGATGAAGAAGGCCACGAAGGAGCCAATCAGCATGAAGCGCTCCTCATTGAGGACACAGCTGCCGTTGACAAAGACCTTGTCCTCGTTGTGGAGGCCGATCACTGGGATTGGCATCGACACACCTTGAGACAGGAAGCAAGACAGACACAGCTTGAAAGGAATCAATCATTTTTAGCGGCTCATTGACAAGTTTCTTTTCCTGTCACTGTGGGTGAAAAGCTTCTCTTTTTCCTCCAAAGCTACTCCTGATTCAAACAGAGCACTGAAAGGTTTGTGCAAAGGATCTCAAAGATACATTTACAACCCTCGGATTCCCTCGAAACAACAGCATAAAGGATATCATTGGATCAAACAGGCAGAAGCAGGTTTATTGAAACGCACCGAGTTAGACACCCTGTCGAGGATGAATATTGGTGACCGCTTGCTTCTCTAATTATACCAACTTTAGTAACGACCACAGGATAGCAATACACAGCGGTCTGAGGAGCCATAAACAAACCTCAACCAAAACGCCACTCTACAGCCACAAATAATGTTCAGAACAGCACCTAACTTCATCAACAGGACATATAGGGTCACAGCCATAGTACTAGACACCAAACATCTTTTTAATTTTGTCTAATTTCTTTAGCAAAGAGACTAAACACAATTCACCTACTCTCTTCCAGCAGCTGCTTGTTTATAGCGAGACCTCAGGTCAGAGCATTACGGACTACAGTGGAGTTTCGCAGCTCAAGGAAGAACATTTATGATCATGGGGCTTGGGCTGCGTGATCACAGACAACATCTCAGTACTACAGGAGCCCCCCATAATAAACCCCTGTAAAAGCTGTTGTTCAGGACTGCGCACAACTTGCTTCCTACCTACTTGGTTACTGTAATAACCGTTGTCCTCGTCTACATGCAACATTTTTGTTCTCATTCATGAAACGCTAAAGTCAGGGACACATCCGGGGACAGCTTTAGCCAGGGACAGGTCATCCGATACAGGGACTGTCTGGTCGAACAAAAAACTGCAGTTCCTTGAGTGTCCACTAGAGGCTTGCTCAGAAAGCTGTAGAAGCCACATACACACCCATTTAAAAAACACCCGTCTTTACAGAAAAACTGCATTTTTGGCAGCCTGGTTTATTAACTGATTTTGGTCAGTTTCTGAAGTCAGACTGCAGCTGTAAGCCAGAAAGCTTACAGCTTCAACTCTTCTTTGTCTCATGCGAGGTCAACCGATATCTGCCCCCTGCCATTTTTCATTACATGGTTGAATTACCTTAAACCAAACACAGTCAGTTCACTAATATGATATAAAAACTGTGGCTGGAAATCGCTAAATTGTTTTTTTAATGATCCGAAAATGCATCTGATTTCATATTTATCACCACTTTGCTCTATCTTTCACCAATTTTCAGGACAAAAGCGTATGGATGCTATTGGACCAATCCGCTCTAGTTTCAAGCTCTAGTGAGATAACAGGTATAAGACTGAAAATGAAAGCTACACCTGTGATAAATCAATATGCTACTAGACTCGTTTAGTGTGTAATGGCTGCTCGTGGAGTTTTAATAACTGCTTTGGTGCTGATAGAGGACACAGACTGACAAAAGACTGAGGTGAGAGCGAGCCTTTAGAGGCCAAGCTGGTCTTCTGACCTATGGTAATAACACTGACTAATGTGCTGCGTCTGATTTCAAAGAGCTTTTCAGTCCAAAGTGTTCCCTGACCTGGACTTGTTTCAGACCAGCAGACGCAGAGGACAAAAACAACTCCGGCTCTCTTACAGCACTTAAGCTCCTGCCAACAGGAGTGTTTCACAGACAAGTCGGGACATCTCGGTCCCCTCATGCCCTCAGTGTGGGCTGGCATAATTCATTTAGGTGAGAGGTACATCATTTTCTCTTGCACAGCTGGTGACCGGGCCAATATCAAAACACCATTTGGAGCAGTTGCAGCTTCCTTAATGCATTCGTTGCAATTGACTGCCCTCACAATGCCCAGTGGGATAAATTTGTTGGCATTAATGGTGTCTTGTATATTTCCCTCTGCAGATGTCTGAATAAGATATGCAAATGTTTCAGACAATTGCGTCCAGCTGTCGGGGTCGAGACATTGTTCATTTACGATGTCTTAAACAGAGACCTCAAAGGCGCCTGCTCATCCTGATTGCAAAGTTTTAGCTTCTAAGCATTCTGCGAGTGAGTTTTAGCATCCTGACCCTGTCCTTGACATCATCTGTGTTGGGTTAGATACAGGAAAAAGACATCGATAGCAAATTGGCAGCAAACTCACAAAGTTCTGATACTGCCTGGACCGCATTATGTTTTCTCCACTAAAGAGGCAACCTGGAGTAACCTTGCCAAACGTAAGTCCACTTAAAGCGCACTTTTTTTGGTAGTCCCTACTGGAGAGACACCCCAGATGGCCTTTGTGGTATTTTCTCTACTAAAATGTACTCTAGAGGGCACTCTGTGAACAATCGTGTAAGCACTATTGAGTTTTCTCCATTGGACAGGTGTACCAGAGGACTCAACTATGTTTTCTCCACTAGGAGCATCCTGAGTGGAACTTAACCCTCCAAAACAAAGTCACCTTTACCCTTTTTCTCCTCTCTTGCACACTCTTAATATCATGATCATGTTTTCTCAATTGAACCCAGCCTACAAGGCGCTATTCTGTTTTCTCTACTAGAAGAGTCAGAGAAAATAGGCCATTTTTAGGGTTTCTCCTTAGGAAAAGACCCTTTGAGGTCTGGCCGTATTTGTCAATGAGAAGGACACCCTTGGAGACTTTTGTTGAAGGCCATAGTGGAGAACAAACTTGTGTTTTCTCCAATAAGGGTAGTGAACTTGGGTTCTTGTTGTAATTTCTCTATTGAAATGACAACCGACAGATCACTCAAACTTTTGAGGGCTTTATTAAGTTTTCTCTACCAAATGGACACCCACCAGACTGTACCCTAGTGGGCGTTCAATCTGTTAGAAGAACAACCTTGTGGGCAAAATTATGTTTTCTTCTTTGACAGATGACACAATGATCTTTTCTCCACCAGGGGGACCCTAGACCTTACCACCTTTTCCATCTTGTAGGTAACTCTGCCATTTTTGGTCCACTTTTGAGGCAACTACTGCGACTTTCTATCAAGAAAACCTGCATGAACCCATAATGCTTTCTCCACTAAAGAGGTGCCAACAAGGAAACTAGCATATTTTCGCCACTGGAGGGTACCCTAGAACTTTTATGTTGTCACAAATAAAAGGAGATCTTGACCTCTTTTTACACTGTCATGCATCCTTTATGGCCACTTGATGAAAATGTTTGCTTTAAATCAGACTCCCCACTTCAACTTCCGCCTGAAAGGCGTCCAAGAAGGCACTTGACCTCCTATTCTCTCCCAGCAGGACACTCTGGGGCAAACTATTATGTTTTCTCCATTGACAGGCACTTTAAAACATTTCCAACTAATGAGAGCACATCATTAACTTTTTTTTTTTTTTCAATCTAGGGGTTATTATGTTGAATTATTTGGAAGGGCAAAAGGCCCTGGGAGTCCATCAATGTGAAACACATCAGAATGTTAAGTAAATAATCACATTTAATCAAGTTCATTGGAAAAATAACCATCAAGAGTCGTGTCCTGAAGAGTCGGGAGAGTGGAGAGACCCTCCTGACAGCATAATTTTCATTGGGGTCACTTCTTTGGCAGAAAAGTGCTTCAAAACAAACTGTCCCTGGTGAGGTCTATTGACGGTTTCAAGTACTGGGAGGCTTTTTGGATGAAAAGCTGCTGATGAATGTGCGCTTTAAAGTGAATTACAGCCTCGGTTTTAACATCTTAAGTAGACCAAACCTTTAGGATGAATCAGTGGGAACTTGAAGCAGTTTTGTGACATGATTTGAATGTAGCTTTTGTCAGCCAAACGGGGATTATATTCCACGCTGTGTCATTGAAACAGAAAATGCAGCAGATTGCATTCCCTCAGTGTGAAATATTTATCTGGTGAAGCCAAAGCTGCTCCCCCACTTTGTAATCCACAGAGCCCACAACGGAGAAAATAATGTGGTATGCAAACATAGTCAGTCTGTGGCAGGTCACAGCTGAGGGCTGTGCTGCTGGAAGAAGATTATATTACCAGCAGAGGGAGATCTGCAGAATCACCAGTAAATGAGCTTCCTCGTGATATTATTATTATTGTTGTAATCATTCTTTTATAGCCTAATCAAAAAGGATTTGAATGACTTTCTGCAGTAAAATGCTGCTTTATGATGAGACTCTATTTAAGTAAACAACTCTATAGCAAATGCAATCTATAAAGCAAACAAATACAACTGGCTTACTGTAAGGGGATCAGGGAAACAAGAGGGTTTTAAAGTGTTTATGTTGCACATACTGCTGCTGCTGTACTGAACCTACATATCAGATTGAAACAACCTCTGAGTCACCGTGGAGATTGGCCACAGGGATCTCCTGTTGGACGTTTCCTTGCTAATCCCTCTGCATTGATCGCCGTAAGCCCTGACAGACCTCAATCACAGCAGCATGGTGCTAAACCTTTACAGGGGTCGAGGAAATGCCAGCAGGAAAATGGGCGGATTTCTGGTATTTCAACTGCAGATGACTGTGAGAAGCTGCAGAAGAGGAGCGGGGGGAGTTTTACCAGCTTGATCTGTCAATGCTGGACATAGAAAGTGATCTCTCACAGTAAAACAAAATCAGACTTGGTTGTTTTTTCAGTACCCCTGCATAATCAACTTTTTCTGTTGCTTCACTCTTAGTTGTTCACCTTTGGGGACACAGTCGCGCTCATCAATGCAATTTCTTCATCACTCACCAATCCTGGGTGATTATCATAACCGAGCAAATCGAGAAATGAAAAACGCCATTGAGAAACGCTTTGAAACTGAGATTAGGGGCACTGCCAACTCATAAAGACGCCTTGGGTAGTCCCTTTAGCTCACTAGACTAGTTGGATGGCTGTATGGGGATTAACTAAACCGGGTAGTAGATATAATTTCTGGTTTGGGAGCGAATACTATTAATTTAGGATTTGAATTTTTGAAAGGCCTTTTCCTCGGCACTCCAGAAGCCTCCTCTACTGTTGCCATGATCCAAATTTGCTCTCACTCAGTGAGTTTACAGGACAATCCAAATTATTGCCTTACTCCAATCGAGACCAGACAACTGAAGTGCATGTAAACACCTTAGTCCGACTATAATTGGAGTTGGAGAGCTCTGATTAAGACTCCCAGATAATGTGACTGGAATTTGATCTTCTCTACCATGTAACCAGCATAGTCAGAGTATTATCGGACAATGCATGTGCGCATGCACCACGCCCCCGTCACCCCGGAAAAAAAAAAGAGAGGAGTGGCGTTCATCTCATCTGCAGAAAAAGTAGCGCATACATCATGTACGACAAAATCAACGCTGTACGATGCTGCATCTTCTTGTTCGAAAATGCCCAGCAGCAGTTGTAGACACTTCAGATGTCTGGCACGGACCTGCTGTTGTTGTTCTTGACAGTTATATGGGGTCGGAAACAGTGCCACTGAAAAGACCCATATCGCCCCCTAGTTTTGAGGAGGAGGACACGTTCACGTCAATAATTCGACTTTTTTCAGCAGCATGTTTACGCGGACAAGGAGAGAAGTCCGATTCGGCGAAAAAAGCGAATTATGAGCTTAGTCCGATTAAGCTGTGCATGTAAAGGTACTGAGTGGGTTAATCACTTTTGAGCAATCATAGTATCTTATAAACTTTTTAAAGTTACAGACTCAACTGTTCCGCATTTTAATTTTAATGATAACACCTGTGAAGTTAAGGACTGATAATCAGTAAAGGGACTGAACGTAAATTATTCGGTGGCGAGTTTGAAAAGACCAATTGCCCCATTTTTTTAATTGATGTACTTTTGCTCAGGCAACGGTTGACCAATTTAATTGCTTTATCTCACCCACAAATAGTATCAGTAAAAGAAGTCAGAGCTCTGTTTAACGCTGTAGAGCTGAAATATTATCACCAACCACTCCACTCCACTCTAAACAGAGCTGTTTGTTTTATTGCACATTGATTCCACTCCTTTTTTTTTTTGTGAACCAAAGTCCTCCAAAAGTTACAGAGCCCCGCTTCAAGGCAGCTTTCACAAAGGTTTGCTTAACAGATGTTCCCGGGGTAATAAAAATGTCTGCCGGGTGTGATAATTTGCGTCAGAGTAATGGTTCGGTTTTAACATGCGTAGCACAAAGAGAATAAATAATCACATCCATCTGCTGTTTTCCTCATTTAGAGCAGCCAGGTGAATCTAAAAGAAAGCCGCGATTCATCTCATCGATTTCATCCCCTTAAAACCCTCTCGCGTCACAGTGGGGGGTGTGAATATATTTGTGAATATGGGGAATAATGAGGGTTAATTTCTGATTCTGTTGTAACTATCCAGATTAAAATGATTTCCTAAATATGGGACGCATATTCCTACTGGGAGAACATTTGGGCTGGGACATTACACCCTGAAACAATCTCGAGGGAGTTTATGGGCTAAAGTAATGAGTTAGCACAGCGCTACATTTACGATAAGGTCAGAGGATGTCGGTCTAATGATACACTCAGGAGATCTGTTTGTGTGTAAGCATGTTGATGAGACTTAAGGGGCCCTCCAGGGTCTTAAAGGGCAAAAACAACATCAGCAGAAGCCGGAGGTCAGACTGAGAAAAGGAGAGAAGTTTTTAAAGTCAGTCAGATCCCCTTAAACACCAGACTAAGAGAGAGGCATTAACACAAACACACTTTACAAACTGATTACTACAGCATTTTAAACTGCTGGAAAGTCTGTCCAAACAATTTGCTTGATTAGACTTGGGAATCTGCAAATTTGTTCCATTAGTGTTGAAGTTGCTTGTAAAGAGGTAGACATTAAACTGTGAGATAACTGACCTATGGAGATGGTCCAGACGGCAGCGATCTTCATCATGGCTTTGGTTCTGGAGTTGAAGCGGCTGTGCTCGATGGGGTTGCGGATGGCGACGTATCGGTCCAGAGAGATGGCGCACAGGTGCATGATGGAGGCGGTGGAGAAGAGCACGTCCAGGTAGATCCAGATTGGGCACAGCGTACTTGGGAGTGGCCAGGCGTAGTCTGGAGCAAAAGGGGAAGAAATAAAGGTGAGGTTAACATGAAAACAAAAAAAAACATACCATAATTTTTGTGACTAACAGGCAAAAAAAAGAAGAAATTCACAAACAACTTCAGACTATGGGCAAAATTTTTTTGCCTCGCCAACGGCGTGGCATAGGCGCAGCGTAAGTCAGCGTGACTGAAAGCTTGGCGGTCCTCGGTGCGCCTCAGTCTATGAAAATACCGAACTGGCCATGCACCGGGCATCGCCAGATGAAAATACCACTGCGTGGGGTCCGCCACCCTTCGCCACGCCGCCGGCAGGCACGAAAATAGAGCCCTATGTCTTTGTTGGCTGATGGCGAAATCTCTCAAGATAACAATGCACCATCAGTGTGGCTGACCAGCATTTGCAGCTCTAATGCCAACATTAGAAGCAAACCACATCGGCCAGAAAATTGTAACTGCATCCATGTTGCGCCAGCTGCTGTGCAATTTCGCCAAACTTAACAATGCACCACCTCTGTGACCGATCCCACACAACGCAAAACCTTCCATGTGTACACGTACATTTAAAGTTTTGTGACTCGAAAATCAGGTGCAGTAACAAAAAATTGAATTGGTCATAAAGTGCAATTAAATCTGTGCTGCTCTCCCAAAAGTATCAATGCACCCTTAATTTGACAAACAACACTCCCTTCTTAACCCTCAAAGAGCATATGGGCTGACATATTACAAACCAAGTGTGATAGCAAGAAAATGCGCTGGGGAAAAGTGCTGCGGCATCTGCACTGCACCAGCTTCTGTGCTTCTTTAACCAAAGTAACAATGCACCACAACTGTGTCAAACCAATCTTACCTGCGCACTCAGACAGCCTTGAGTATCTGTGACTTTTACACTAGATATGATAACGAAAAAATGCATCGGACATAAAATAGAAAGAAATTTGCGCTGAACTGTTTTAAATCAATGCACAATAACAATGCACCGAAAACTGAAAATTTCCTGGTGATTTCCACTCGTTTAAAGACAGGTTAGCGCATTTTTCCTCTTCGACACAACATATTAACACAAAAATGCACTTTTTAGAAATTTGTAAAGGCCTCTGCACTGCACCATTTCCGATGCTGCATTGCTCAAGATGGCGTCTGCAGACAGGTGACGCAAACTGCTACACCATCTGCTGGCCAGCGTTTCCCTACTTTGCATCACTTTTTTGCCACTTTACTTTGGGTGTTAGGTAGAGCCCTTGATTTATAATCCACTTCAGGATGTGCGGTGCATAAAGTCATGATTTGGCTCCAGTTTCATCTTTGCAGCTTTAACGCACTGTCTCCTTTGATGGCAGTGACGAAGACTATATGTTTCTGAAGGTCTATCTGACTGAACGTCCTCAGGCTCCGAGGAGTCTGAAGGCTTATGATGCAACATGTATAGGTTGACCTGAGCGAATTAATGAGAGAACGTCAAAGCTTGAGGCACAGCACAGTCGGCATACACCAAATCACCCAGATCCCATGAGGAATTAGAGGGTTAATGTTGTAGTTTAATTACAGCGTTTATGTAACTGAAAGGTAACACTGTGACTGTTCAGATTCGAATAATTACATGTATGGACATTTCTTTAGTCTGAAAATTAATGGTTTGGATTGGAATGTGAGTTTGTATGCAAATGTTGCCAGCAGGGAGGTGAGTGTACACATCAGTGTACGGTGGATGAACACAATGCATATTTATGTATGGACAATGAGAGCTTTACTGTGTCTGAGGTTCGTGTGAAGTGAGCGGTTGAAGTTTGTTTTGTTTCAGGGTTTCGAAGCCTCCCGCTGGTTCGTAGATTAAAAAGGTGACGAGATAATGAAAACAGGATTCAACAAAAGAATAATGAATAGTTACGTTGATTAAAGCCGAGCATAAAGATTGATTTGACAGAGCGAGCGCTACGGGGCTAAACCCACGCAGAGGAAATGAGTCATGCTGTGTAGTTTACCATCCGTGAAAGACATCAAATATCAGACACATGGTGGGCTGAGGTTGACAATTGTTGACCAAAAAGTTCTATACTTTAAAAAGTATGGGGAATCTTTAAGTACCCTTATTACTGTGTATTTAAGCCCCGCCTCCTCCATGTGAACAGATTAGACATGGGTCAAACTTTAAAGTTAGATAACATGGAATATGAAGTTTTCTCAATCATGGCTTCTGTCAATAAAGTTATTTTGGATCTGTTTTTTAAAGCTGTAAAAAGGGTATAGCATCATGATTGACAGCTCTGTTGACAAATGTTGGTTCTTCAATGCTTTTCAACTGATAAACTGATGAACGAAAATGTAACTAACACTAACACTGAACCATCACCCTCATTAGCCTTTATTCTTGATGGTTTCTCTATTGATTCCCTTCCATCAAGTTCCATGTACCTTGCAAAACAATGACGAATGAACTGTAACGGGCGAAACCCACAGGATCCAGAATATCTCAGCTCCGGAAAGGCAGGTGGACCAAATACAGAAGGATTATAATCAATGTGTGTCTTTCCACGGAATCCGTCTGCCGTCCGGCTTCGCTGCAGATCCGCTATTTGCGTATTTGCTCTGCCTGCCCGCCGGAGCAAAGCAGAGCCATTCCGGATCCAGTGGGATTCCGGGGTAAGAGGTAGTCAGTGCAAATGTCGATTTAAGAATTAAGAATAGCAGACAGAAGACAGAAGCAGTTGGGTTTAGGGTATGAAACTGAAAAATCCACTCGCTTTGTGGGACCAAAATAGGTCACCTTGATAGATGACGTAACCCCCTTTTTGGGTTACGTCAGTTTACACCTCTATCAGAAAGATTAGACAAAGGGTTACCACTTTGTCCACAGGGGGCGCCAAAATCCACACAAACAGAAAGTTCCTCACAGGAGCTTTAGGGACCAAACTTTTCTTGTGGATGTTCATAGTTTGAGTCTGGTCTCATTTTTACCGGGGATAAACGCAGCTGGATGCTCACAGAGTTTGGTGTACCAGTTCATCAGCTGTGACTAAAACAGTCATTTAACTCCCGGCAGGAAACAGAAGAAGACTTTTTCTTTGGTGATGCTCTGTTGATCCCCCTGGGTGAAATCCTCCTTTTTTTCGCTGCTCTCCACAGACAGTTCAAAGGTCACAGCCGCTGACTGTATGATACCCTGTAGAGCTGCTTTTGAGTCATTGTTTTGGCTCATTGCTCTGCGGGGGAGACTAAGTTTGGGTCACGGGTGGAAAAATCCGTCTCCTTTATCTCTGCGCCGGGCCGCTGTGTCGCCGGGGGACACACAAACACGGCGGCAACCCAAAGACATGGCGGGGAGTGTTTATGCTGAGAGACTAATCAAATTAATGGGTTAACCTTTGCTTAAAGTGGGGTAAATTAATTAGCTTAATTGGCAAGTTGGCTGCTTAGCGGGCTTAAATGATAGGCTGGTGTTGTTTTTGCCTCCAGTCAAAAAGGTGCACCAGGGAAAGGAAGGTATTTAAGCATATGGCTGCTGACAAATCCTAATGAACTCACAAAAGCTGAGGGGAAAACTCCCAAAAGTTGTTCCTTGCCACATGGAGTTCATTATGAGAGTCTTAAAATGAGTGTGAACTCCCTTAAAGACGCCCCAGAGCTCACGATGTCAATGAAATTCAGATCTTTACCTTAGTTTCTCAGCGATTTCTTTCCCCCAAAGGATGTCCTGCCTGAGAAAATATGAAAATGAAAGTAAAATGTGACTGAAGGTGATCCTCTGCTTTGTTTTCCAGCTGTGTCAGCTTTCTGCAGACGCTGTTCACTACAAAGTCTCCCTGTGCCTCTCTACGCCTGCAGCCATTTCTGTGAAGTCGTTTCTTCACAGATTTCAAGACCTGCAGCCAAATACACACAAACACAAACAAGCACACACACTCCCTGAAACACACACGCAATTCTTCTTTCATTTGAGATTTGCGGCCCGTGCGGCCCGTTCATGATGCATGCGGAGTGAATCACACGCTTGTTTGTGTGTGTGTGTGTGTGCGAGTGGGAAGTGGCTTGCATAATTTCTCAGAGGTCAAACACTCACTGGGGGGCACTGAGAGATGACACACACTCATGATGACACACACACACACACAAACAGGGTGTTACTCAGCCGGCTCAGGGGTGTGTTGTATTCTCTAAGATTTAAAACCCTTGGAGACAAACAGAAAATACACAAATTCCAACAGCTGTTTGTCTTTAATTTGGTGCCCCCTGTGGACGAGGAAGGAATAGAGGTTTTTCTAGTTTTTCTAGAAAACTGTTGATATGAATGCAAAGCTAACCATCTATTCTTTGATCTATCTATCTATCTATCTATCTATCTATCTATCTATCTATCTATCTATCTATCTATCTATCTATCTACCTATCGATCTATCTATCTTCCTTTCTACCTACCTATCGATCTATCTACGTACCTATCTATCTATCTATCTATCTATCTATTCATCCAGCCTTCCATCCATCCATCCAATCAATCGTCCATTCATTGCATCTTGAGCAGGTGGATCCACACATCCCTCACCCCTCCAGCATTTCCCATCTTGTCCAGGCCAAGCGGAATACATCACCCCCCTCCCCTCCAGCAACCTCTGGGTTCACCCTGGGGTCTCCTCCTTGTTAAACACGCCTGTAACACTTCTAAAGGGAGGCGTCGAGGGGTTCAATCACAACAACCGATGCGTATTGATTCCGCCTGCTTTTGCTCTCCGTTTTTCCTTCATCCCAGTAATTAATCTAGACCCCCGAGTGCAGATTCCACATTCACATTCAGCCTGTGAATTGTGATCAGAGTGGATATGATAAAGACTCCAATCATGTGTACTATATCCTCTCTTAACTTACTCTGTGTTAACTCGATATGATTCTGTAATGTAAACAGAGGAACTGAAACATCTCTCATCTCCAGGGTTCAATTTACCGTATCACAGACCCAAATAATTACTTCCTCTTGCTCTATTTCTTTCTGTTCGTCACTGTATCTTACATTACAGTCTCTGTTTGCAACAAACTCCATTAAAGCAAAGATGACACACTCCAAATGAATCCCTTTTCAGATATCTATGTGTGCAGAGATGTGTATTTGTAGGTGCATGTGTGTTTTGTCCGACACTGTGTGTTTCCAATTGGAGCCCCGTGCAGGGAGATAGCCTTCAGCGATAACTGAGATTGAGTCGGCCTTGAAGGTCCTCCACTCCAAAGCTGTGTCCCACTGTGTGTGTGTGTGGTTTTTCCCCGAGTCTATAGGATCCCCTCCCCCTCTTTGCTGCTCCTCAACTATCTTATTTCAACTCTCTTTCTCTTCTGATCTGAGGTTTCATAAATCATCGTCTCTGCGTTAAATATTCATAGATATTTAGCTTTTATCTGTTTATGTTTTGCAGACAGACTCGAGGTGAGATATACTCTCAGTTTTTATTTAAGTCACACACCTGCAGTATGAACCTTTTCCTCACTCCATATATTATCACCTCGATGTTTTATCACCAAAATAGGAGCCAAGGACCGAAACAACCTGATTGAATCTAAATTACACTCATTTGAAATGTTACCCCATCTCTTATTCCTCTGGTGCTGGGATCACACTTTCAATAAAGACGTCAGACGAATGTTAAATAGTCAAATGGATGTGGAAAAGCTTCAATTTCCAGTCACGTTGCCATAATAGGAGATCAAACTGCAATTTTACTCGGTGCTTTGTCTGTGAGAAAGTAATGTAAGAGAGAGAGAGAGAGCATACACAAGCTCTTACTGCGAATTCAACAGGACTCAGATGTTGGCTCCTGTTGTACTTCCTGTTGGAGGCTTTTAAGAAGCAGTTTCAGATGGATCTATTCCCAGAAATTCGATGTAAGATTTTAAGTATGTTTTTATTGGCAAATAAGTAAGAGGGCCATAAATAAATAATTTAAAATGCATAATTCAAAGTGCAAAGGAATTAGGACATATTGGAACAGTTTTTGCTAGTTAAGCGGCGCATAATATAGGCACTAAGTGAAGGGCAGGGTGCCAAAAGGTTGGACCGAGGTCTGTTTTAGGTGTAACATATTGACCAGTTTCTCTTCTCTCAGAGTCAGATGTGCCTGAGGCTGACTTTGCAGATTTCAGACTTTCTAATTTGATAGATCTTTGATGGATTAATGAGGAATGGAGGAAAATGGCACGCGGTAAAGGCCTTGAACCTTGATCAAGGGGCTGCTGGTTGAATTATCATCTCCAATCAACCTCAGACCAATAACAGCCTATTCTTAGTCCATCCAAACTTGTCTACCCTCTCACTGATCCCTCCTAAACCAACTGTTTCCCACACTCTGTTCTGTCTAGTCCAAATACTTGTTCGTACCCTTGCAGAAGAATTGGCAATCCTGGAAAGCCATGGCATCCTGCTTGACTAATTTAGCAAGCAGAGCCTTTAGCATTAGTATAACTGCATTACCATTTGGCAATAAAATCTATGATGAGAGTGTTCCTGATTGATCCTCACCAACCAAACTATGAACCAAAGGATACCAACATGATTAAACCAATATTTTACTTTGAGAGGACACTTCTCATCAACACTGACATATTGAGACAGCCTTACTATTTATAAACCCTGGAGTCATCTATATGAGATGTGTGTGAGTGAACCCGACTGAGGTCAACTATATTGGGACATTTGTTAAGATTTATTCAACAACGTAATTTGATCAAGACCATTAAGACCGTTTTCAATCTCATATTTGTTTTGGTTGCAGACCATTAGGAGTAGCCAGCCTGTGTGTGTGAGTATGTGCTTGTTATTTTGAAATCAGACTCCCATCAGTTATATCTAATCACCGTTTCGATATTCCCAATTAAAGAATTTCAAATGTACCCCCTGAAAGCTGTGTGTGTGTGTGTGACTGCAGACTTTGCATGTTTGTGTGCTAAACGTGGCTAAATTACAATCAACATCATATTTCATCATGATTGCCATCATCATCTTAATTATCGTCATCATCATAATCACTGCGTTCGAAGTGATTTAACGTCAATTTCAATCGAGTAAGAACATTTCGTGACCTGCCTGTAGTCTGTTTTAGTGTGTGAGTGTGTGTGTGTGATCTGGTACTAAGGCATCTGTGGGGATCAATGCAGTCAAGTACCCGTCTGATGGATAACAGGGCAGGTATAGTTCAGCGCTTTGAGTGTGTGCACAGTGTGACAGGAGCCCTTTTAAAGATGTGAGAACAAACGAACGATCTGTCTGGGTTTTTTTTTTGTTCTTCTTTTGTTTGAACCATTGATTAACACGAGGACAATCGGCTGTACAAGTGTGTCCATTGACCACACACAAGCTGTTAAGCAGCCACTGCCCTTCCCCTCTAGTTTAGTATTCCTGTAGGGTGTTAGCTAAAGAGCAGGGACGTGGAAACAGCAGGTTTGAAAGCAGGACCAGAGTGGTTTAATAAAGGGTTAAAACAGAGTAATTAACGAAGGTGATGAAAAATGACAAATGAACTCAACTGGTGCATTTACATCACTGTGTGCAACCCTTTGACTTTGATAGAGATGAATGGATATGAGGATGGATGAATGAAGGGATAGATGGATGAATGATGAACGTATGGTGAAATAAAATAATGGGGACGGGGATGCATGAACAGATATATGGACAGTGGAAATGAAATAAAAGGATTAACAATTAGATTGATGGATGGATGGATGGATGGATGGAAACAAGTAGATGGATGGATGGAAACAAGTGGATGGATTTATGAATGGCCAGATAAAAGGTTGAATGATAGACGATAGATGAATGGGTCTATCCATAGATGGTTAATGGATGGATGGATGGATGGATGGATGGATGGATGGATGACACAAGTAGATGGATGGATGGATGGAGGGATATAAGTGGATGGATTTATGAATGGCCAGATGAATGATAGATGATAAGTGAATGGGTCTATCTATAGATGGTTGATGGATGGATGGATGGATGGATGAATAGATGACACAAGTAGATGGATGGGAAGATGAATGGATGGGTTGATGGGTATATGGATGGATGGATGGATGGATACTAGTGGATGGATTTATAAATGGCCAGATGAATGGATGAATGATAGATGAAAAAAGGATGGGTCTATCCATACATGGTTGATGGATGGATGGATGGATGGATGACACATGTAGATGATGGATGGATAGATAGATGGATGGATGTTGGAAAGACAATTAAATGAAAGCAAATGGATGGGAAGATGAATGAATGTGTTGATGGGTTAATGGATGGATGACAAAAGTAGATGGAGGGGTGAATGGATGGCTACCAATGTATAGATTTATGAATGGCCAGATGAATGGATGAATGATAGATGAAAAAAGGATGGATCTATCTATAGATGATGGATGGATGGATGATAGAATACTAGATGTATACAAGTGGATGAAAGAGTGGATGAATGGAGAGAAGTGGATGGATGATTGGATGGAAGGATTAATGCAACTGAAATAATGGATGAATGGAAGGATGGATAGTTGGAAACAAGCGTATGTAAAGATGTATGGATTCCTTCATCCATTGATGGATGGGTGGAGCTGTATGGACAGATGGATGGATGACTTGATGAATGCAGAGGGACAGGCCATATGGTTGGTTGATGAATGGTTTGATTAATAAATGAATAATCGGGAAGATGGATGCATGAACTGTTGGTTGATTGATTAAATGACTCATGGATAACAAGATGGATGGGTGGAAAAACAGATCATCAGAAAATGAACTTATGTTTGATGTACAGAAGAATAAATAAAGTGATTATGAAGACGAATTAGTCAATTGAAAAAATGTAGATGAGTAGGTGGGCTACTGTAGCTGTGGTAGTGGGCTTCAGTCAACGCTAATAATGCTTGCTGCTAGTTTACAATGATAGTTCATCACAGCAAAAGCTCCAAGTCACAGATTTTCAGCCCTGATAAACTGATTATATAATTTTAATAAGCAGAAAACTCAAATAAGACCCACTGAGCACAAATGTGGCCTGTCAAGATAACACCCGTATTGACTTTTTCCCAATCTGTCTTCCTCTGCTGTCACAATGTTAAAACGGAACAAACTGTCCTTCCAGACTGAACTGTTTGGCTCGTAGTCTGTCACTGTTTGCACCCAGACTCTGTAAATCAAAATGTTTTCTCAGAGTGACACAGAATGACCAAATGTGACACTGGCTGATAACAGCGCAAGACTTCTCACGTTAACAGAAATGAAATCACTCTGCTCCGTCCGAGGCCAAACCTCAACTCTGAAATTTATTTGGCGGTGGTTTGATTGTCACTTTAAGATATCAACATTTGGTAAGCACTGATCAAGAAATTGATGGATTTCTCTGGGGATTGATTATTATTTTAGATACACATGTCCTTTACTTAAATGCTGCAACAGTGTAAATGTCCCTGTCCTGGCTCTAAAAAGGGTTTTTCTTATTTTGTGAGTCTAAATGAAAATACTTTAAGTTCGCTAGACTACAGAAATCAGATTTACTTTTGATATATTATCAAAATAAAATCAAAATCATATTTAAGTGAAAAAAGAAAGGCTAAATGGGAGGAATATGTGGCCACCTCTAAGTATGATGGTGCCCTGTTGTGACACCCCAATCAAAAAGTCTTGACACGCCCCTGGAAAGCAAAACACAGGAAACAATGGGACCTGGATGACGTTAGCATGAAAGAAAACAAAACCAAACTTCCATTTTGGTCCCAGAAAGAGGGTAAAAAGGTGACTCTTGAACCGGCGGTAAGTTTTACGTTGTACAAAGATGTTACTATATGTTACATGCTCACATGAAGCACCTTAAGTTATTTTATGTCTAAAAAATTCCGACGATAACAAGACGCTAATAGCGTTAGCATCCCTATGGGTTTTTCTATGTGAATTAGCGTCGTGCTAATCGCTAGTTGTTTGTGTGTTTATTCAGTTGTAGCTCAGCCTGCATCAATGATTTACATATATTTGGTATATAACTGCTATATTTACAATGTTTATGCATCGAATTGGTTCCAATAAATGCCAAAATGGTGAGAAGCTTCCTGGTGTTTACCCGAGCAACTGTTAGCAACTGTTAGCTATCTGTAAAGCTAGTTCAATGCACTAGTGAGGGCAGAATAACTGGCACAAATAGGCATATGCAGTGTATAAGTCTTAACGCATACTTGTCATGTAAATTTGAAACCACTTGAAGCTGCGGTTGGACGTAGTTATGCATTGTTTAAAGGCTCAGTACATGTAATCCCTGTGATCTTCTGAGTGATTCAGGCATAAAAAGGATTACCATCACAGCTTGTATTCATCTCAAATTCTGCCAAGAGTTGAATTTTACTCTCAGGTCTGTGATCTGTTCTCTGATGTCGGGTACTCTCCTTCCTTTGCCGGTACAAAGTTAGAAAAAGAGGCTCTTATTTGGGTGTTTATGCAGAATCTCACTGGAATATCTCATGAAGGCGGCCTGTCTCTAATTCAATGTTTTTATTCAATATTGGAATAGAAATTCAATACACAGCCCACCGTATAACAACCAGACATCCTATTAGGCAAATGTAGGCGTTCATGCAGAGTCCTGGCAGGGATTTTATCAGCGAGAGCAGCAGTTGATAGCTGGTATGATATCACTATTATCAGCTTGGCATCCTCTGACTCTTGGATCACTCACAACGTAACAGCGTGCAATCTCTCGGAAGCAGTAATTATTCCAAAATTTGCTCTGAAAAATGTCTGGAAATGATGACAGGGCGTACGTCACAGTGCGCCGCCAACAGCTGGGAAGTGGGTGGAGGTCTGAGATCAAAAGTGGAGCTCAACAGGAGTGACTGTGGACGTATGGGGTGAGATTTACAGCAAGTATCAGTGTTGTCTTGATGAAGATGAGGCACCTAAAAGAGCAGTATTGATATGAAAATAAGCAGTGGTTCTGAGCTTCTTCTCCCATGACCCCCTTGGAACTTGAAAAATGTCATTTCCCCCTTTACTAAACAAAATGATGACAAAAAAGGACCGTGCATAAACCATTTGTGAGACATTTATAATAAGATCAGACCCTACAGCACAAAATAACACAGCACAAATAAATAAAAAAGAGAAAATAAAACACTAACACCCATAAAACACTTAACCACTTTGTGTGATATTCGTTACCAGATTGCTTCGTGACACTGTACTTTTCCAGAGATACACTAAACTTAAAAAACTGGCAATGACTTCGCTGCAAAAGACACCTCCCTGTTTGAATTTAACAAAACACTCTTTATGACAGAGTTCCAGTATCTCGACAAATGGACAAAACACTGATTAAGAACAAGAGGATGTGGTTCATGTCAACTTGGTGGCCTGTCTGTCTTTTGGGTGGTTCACGTCATTGGTTTCAGACCTTAACGACCCAAATGAAACTCCCTTTTCGATCTAGCAATCAGCAATCCACTCCCTAAAGTCCCTGTGTCTATGTAGACCCTGTCACAGGGTCTACCTCTGCTTTGTGGTGGACGAGGCTGATATCCAAGCAACTGATAACAAGAAAACTAGAGAGATGAACTATTTTAATGGCTGGATACCTCTAAAGGTAGGTAAAGATGTGAAATGTTTACAGGTAAACCCAGTGTTGCAGCACTACGATCCAAGGCTTGAACTTGAGTCCTGATTTTCAAGGTTGGTGACTTTACTTGGACTCAAGATGTCGACAACTTTCAGACAGTGCTAAGATTGATGCTTGAGAAGATGCTGGGTGGAATCATAACCAATCAAGTTCAAACAAGCAACAATTCTCTCTATTACTACCTTTGGCAAATGGTCACTTGTTGTAGCAAATGTTCTCCCATCAACGCAGACAGAAGTATTTTGTCAAGAACTCAAAACTCACCATAGAGGATGTTGATGAGGGAGATCGGCATGACCAGGATTCCCACGAGCATGTCCGCCACAGCCAGCGACCTCAGGAAAAAGTTGGTAGCGTTCTGGAGCTTCTTCTCCAACGACACCGCCAGAATCACCAGAATGTTCCCACCGATCGTCAAGGCGATGATGACGAGGATGAGCAGCGCCGGCCAGTTCTTCTCTTTAATCACAGTCCTGGTAAAGGACTCCTGGGTAAAATTGTCCAGACCTCCGCTCATGGCTGCCGCGCCTCCACCATTGCTTCCGAGTCCCCATGAGGGGGTTTGGTTGAGGTCCAGGGGGTTGTTGCTTGGCCAAGCCATCCGACTTCCAACCTCCAGGGAAGAAGTGGTGGTACTGAAGCCGCCAAGCAGTGCCCTTGCCGGGCCGCCCATCCCAAAGAGAGACCTTCACCCAGTTGGAGGTTGCAGCTCTCTTTCCTCAGAAAGATGCCGTAAGCATTATCTGAAGAGTATTGAAAGGGGTCTTTTTGAGTGGATCGTACCTTCAGTTCCAACAGGGTCAGGGTAAAGGGAAAACAGGGGATGGGGGATAAAAGGGAAGAGGGGATTGGGAGGAATTAGCTCCAAGAGTTTTTCACTTTTTATTACCCAGTGAAGTCTTGCTAGCTACAAATGGGCTCAAATAACTCCCTGAAGTTTGAATCTCCCATTTCTTGCCAATGAGTCATTGGCGATGAGTCCTTAAGGTGCACTGTCCGTTAAAACTCCCCAAAACTGATTCTTTAGAGTCTTCAGTCACAACCACATCTTGATGAAACAAAGAGTTTAAGAGTTCTAACTTTGACGCTGAGAACTGGTTCCTTCATATCCATGGCTGCTGCCTGGTAACTGCACACACCAACAGAAATGTAGGAGCTAGTTTGTGCTGAAGTGTCATCAGTTTTGTTATCTTATGTTGTAGTCTTCCCTGATTGCTTTTCTTCTTGCGGGTCAGAGTTGAGGATCAGGTTGATCTGTGGAAGGAAACAATGACAAAGATGGGATCAGATCATTTCATTTGAACTTTTCTTATCAAAGAATCAATCAAACAATCGTCTCTTGTCTCTAGCCCCAAGGCTTGTATCTGTACCATCTAAGTACCCATCATTCCGATATCCTTACATCTACCCTGGGACAAACAGTTGGTTTGGTCTTTACCCGACTTTTTTGATTATACTGACTGAACAAAGAGGATTTATTTTTGAAAGTCATGTTTTTGGAGCATTATTTCCTTTATTGGAGGAGAAAACTGAAGAGAAAAACATGGGGAGTAAAGGGAACTAAAAGACATGAAACAAAGGGTCTTAAACCATGGTAATAGGGTTTAAGGTTACTGCGGAGTTATGGGCATGATCAGGGGCAGTGCCAGGCTTTTTTGATCAGGGTGGCCTCTGCTGTGTCTGATCTTATCACCGTCATTTGTATTGTCACTGATCTGTACCCCGCATCTCTTCCCACCTTGGCTTTTCATTGATGCACATAAAAGGGAGGGTATGTGTGCTCTACCTCTACCATGCAGATGATTAATTGTGGTCCTGACTGAACTAAAAAATGTTCATGCCCAAAGTCATAGGGTTGAAACACAACCTTAAGGTTACTGGGGAGCATTTCCAATTTGGTGACCATCTTTGGGCCTCACTATGTCCTGGATTCTCCATAAACCGATGAGTAACATCATGTTTTTTTCCTTCCTTCTACTGTCCTTCCTCAGAATTATTAGTGGATGTCCATAAACCTTTCATTGCTCGCCTCTCCTCCCTTCTTCTTCCAAGCTCCCCTTCACCTCCCCTCTAAATCAGCTTACTCCCTCCATCCTTGTCTCCTTCTTTGTCCATTTTTCTTCTCTCCTGTTTCCTCTGACCCATTTTTATCTTGACTAGACTAATTTACAATCTCATCCACGCTCCAAATAAAAGTTAGGGAGGAAATCTGACTGCTACCGTCAAACACTACAGTCGTTTAAAAAGACACTAAAGAAGATAAAAGGAAACTGATTCTCTGATGTTTACAACCTTCCATCTTTCCTGTTTGTTCAAAAGTACCGGCTGTCCTCTGTGTTTACCCTTAGTGATCAGACTGCTTAGTGATTTAGCGCCTCGTAAATGTCCTCAAGGATATGTGGAGGAGTCAGAGTGAGTGTTAGTGGAGGGAAGGGTGAGTGCACGTATGACTTTGCCTCCAAAAAAAACAGCAGGACGGAGCGAGAAAGACGACCAGAGACAGAGTTTAAGAATGAAAAATAAACGTTTGTGTGTCCTTGTGTGTGAGCGTGTGATCAAAAAGGCAGACAGTTGTAGACTCGGGCCTCCAGCTGAGATGCTTTTGTGGGCGTTTAGCCTCCGATAGCATCAGGCGGCGTACGATCGACTCTCACCGCCATAGGCACGATGATAAAACCTGAGCTGTCAATCGTTTCCGTCTGTGAGGGCATGTAAACGTTTGTTCTGTTTATTGTAAAGCTGTTTGGGTTAGCTTGTCTTCATTTATACGCGGCTGTAAAAAAGCTGTGCATGCATAAATTAATTCTGTAGGGGTGATAGTGCGTAAACATGATACTCAATGCAGATTATTCATGTGCGTGTGGGCAGATACACCGTGTTAAACACAACGAGTCCTCATACATAAAAGATGAAACACACTGCTCATGTAATACCACCTGTACAAAAATGATTCATGTGGTTGTTTTCTGTTCCTCAGCCTACTGTATTAAAAACAGTTTAAAATTGTGGAAATATGTCCGTGAATAATGATTAAATTATCCTCTGGGATCCTTAAACAAAGGATGCAGTATATGAATCAGTCGAATAAATTACTGCGTACACATTATTGGATATTTTATTTAATTTCCTTCCCAAAATGATCGATAGAGTTCTATCTGATCTAATCTTTAAACCCAAGAATTCAATCTTTACAACAAAAACAAGCATTAAATGAGCTGTTATTTACTTATTTGCTTTCCAACATTATACCATGACAACATCAAGCTGCAGAAAGCCGACTGGAGACGAACAAATGTCTCCAATGTGGATGTTTATTTCTGTTTCCAAAGGGGGATTTCACTGGAGCTTTCGTTCGATGTGCCGCAAGAAATCCAGGAGGAGGATAAACCGTCCCCTAAACAAATCTTTTCATTGCTACAAAGATTTACAGAAGAAATACTGAGCGACCACAGCTAGCATTAGCATCAAAATGAGTGTCGTGATGCACAGCCAGAAGTTATAAATACAAGTCTTGTAATCGTGTGTTCATAATAAACCAATTTAAAAGTTCTCAAAGCTAACAAAACAGGGCTTTTTTATGATGCATATATAAATATCCAACATTTGCTCAATCCTGAACATCTTCAGCTGAAAATATGCAACGTACAAATTACTGAATCAGCAATTATCCTTCCACAGGTCGGTCCAGGGATGTCTGGAAAAATCCTCATCGCAGCAGACCGAGACTTCTATCAGGATTTAGGATTATTGTTTCGGCTACGTCTACACTGAGGAAAACAGTTTAAGTCGATGAAACAGAAGAGGAGTCCAGTGAGAGGTGAAGTCAACAACTCGGCTGCAGTTTGTGTCATCTCAAAGTTCAGCTGACGCGTTTTTACAGAAGCTGTGTATGAAAGTGACTTAACTTTCTTAGACTTAAAGCTCCTGTGAGGAACTTTCTGTCTGTGTTGACTTTGGCGCCCCCTGTGGACAAAGTGCTACCCTTATTTTGTTGCTAATTTTGTTAAGTCTTTCGGAAAGAGGTGTTTATTGACCATAATGAAACTGATCATCCACTGATCCAACTATCTATATGTATATCTATACATTAAGGCTGGGCGATAAACCGAAAATTTACCGATGCTGAAATTTACGACAATTACCATCGTCATTTTGCTCATATCTGTCTATTTAGTGTCAAAAAAATAAATACGTAAAAGTTGGTTTTGGATGTGTGTAGGTAGGCTATGGTCTCATGTCCCTTTTAAGACGCTGTCCTACATCAGAGACGTGACTCCGCCCCCTTCAGTCCGTAACAAAGAGGGAAAGACAGGTGAGGAGATGGAGGACGGTTCAAAAGTTATAGAGGCTGAAGTAGACGAAGTTCATGTGGGAGGGGGTGAGCAGCTTGTGGAGTAGTTATCGTCCATTTATCATTATTGAGGTGAACTGCTCAATATATCGTGATCTTGATTTGAGGACATATTGCCCAGCCCTATATATTGTTCGTTGTAATACAGGCAAATTTATATGTAGTTGGCACAAAGTCTTATGAGTAATTTTTCCTTCCCTCCTACGGTTCATAAGGTTCCTATCCTTATCACTATTCAAACAGACCCCAAAACTAAATTAATTGAAGTTAGCAAACATAAAGAGTCCAAAGCTGTCTCTCCTAAAATAAAGAGTGCCAAAGCCTGCTCAGAAATACAGATCACATGAAGACCCACATAAACATGTTTTGATCTGGGCCGTGGGCCCGTGGGTACCTGCTTGAGGGTTAAATGGACTGTACTTGAACAGCTCTGTCCAAGCCTCGGGACCACTCCAGGCACTTTAAAACAACCCATCACATTCACCCGTTCACATCCCAGTCAAACCCTGATGGCAGTCAAAGCTCTGTCAGGTGCCCGTCCACATTAACTAATCCCATTTGTGCACATCCACACACTGCCGGCCAATTCCGAGTTCTAGGTCCTGTCCAGCATTTCGAGATCGAGCTGCCAAACTTCTGATTGAGAGACGACTGACTCTGCCACCGAGCTGCAAACGACATTAACTAACAGATGCACTTCAATCGATTGAAATCAGCCGCTCAAGGGGAGCCGAGGAGGAGCTGATTCTACACATGCAAACATCAGCAGAGTCCTGTAGATTCATCAAGTGTGATCCAGCTGATGTCATATGTTTGAGTGTTTGTGGAGTTAGTACAGAAAAATTAGCTCCTGGACTTGGATCATGCTCCCAATTTTTGCATTTTAGAGTCACATGTAACACAAATAAGAGGCTGAGCTGCACGCCTCATTTGTACGTTGATCCCAGATGGCGATATTATACTACAGCGGCTGACACAGTCTGCAACAGCCCGGACAATCTTCATTAGGAGAGTCACGCTGCAAATGCTCGAATGATGCAAATTTCAAAACACATGCAAAGCAGCTCCATTTAAAGCCGCGGCAGGCCTGGACCACTTCCTCTGTGAAGTCTGGATGTGCAGGATTATTCATTTGCAGCTGTTTCTGGCTGCTGGGATTTTTATGCCTTTTGATGTCGCATTTCTTTCTTGTGAATTTCGTTGCAGAGGAAAATGCAGCATGTTTCCCCTCAAAGATTGCTCACCGGTCTGAAGGAAACCACCAGAATTGGACGCCTTATACACTCGGGTCTGATATAATTTAATTCAATCAGGACAGACAAGCTCTGGAAGTTAGATAGACGCTACCTTTGCATCTATGTAATTAGGTAAGCAACAACATTAGTGCTAATGGTTAATTCAGTCAGGATCACTTTGTCAAAATTCAGTTTTATCACGCAAAGTTAAATTTGGAGGCATAGTTCTGTTCTTTCCCGCCCTTCATGATGCATCGTGAAGGCAGAAACATTGAGAGGTAGAGTGGCGATGAACAGAACCCTCCCGGAACAGGAGCGCTTCAAAGGTAGTGGAGCAGTTTAGCTGGCATAAGGGTGGAGCTGGGTTGCTGGTTGGCTATTGAAGCAGAGGAAGAGGCTGGGTTACTGGCAATTTTCACCGCATCTGGAATTGGCCTCTCAAATGGATCCTGTAGGAATTGACGTATGGCGAAACTCTGAGCAGTTCCAGATCGGAGCCCTTCACGATGCAGTGGATATCTTTAAATACGCGCTCTAAAGGCATTGGACCAATAGGAGCTAGGAGGAAATAGCTGGGCCATCAGCTAGTTGAGGTGGCTACTCGCCATTGGCTGCGGATCAGCGCTTGACATCGTGACCCGCCAGAACTACCACTATGCTTCATTTGAAGGGCTGTCCTGATACAATATTGATATCAGATATCGGTCTGATATCAGCCAAAAAAACAAATACTGGATTAAATCGGCCTGCATCTAATATTTCCGATATCAGCACTTCGATGCAAGCGGTCTATTCCAGACTCCTCTCCGGCACCTCTAGCTAGCAGCGCTCGGATTAAGCATGCAGAGCCCACGTGATCATACAACAGTGGGAACTAAAGTACTAACAAAGTTCTGAGGAGTAGAAGTAATGTCGGCTGTGTGACAGTATTTTTCGTTAAACCCAAAAAAAGTTGTTACAGCGGAGTGCAAAACTTTGGTATCGGCCGATACTGAAGGCTACAATACCGGTATTGCATCAGAAGTAAAAATGTATCAGGACACCCCCAGCTAATTGTTGACCTCTGGTGGTGTAACTGTAGCGCCCTCATCACCCAGCTGGAGACCAGCGCCAACACTTTGGGGAATCACTGTTTCCTCAGATGTTTAGAGACACTGAACCATCAGGTTTGACAGCGTAGCGGCCCCTCTTGAAGAGTATTCACAGGAAACTAAACAGCACTGCGGGCGAGTCATTTCACAAACCCGATAGAGCGGTTATACATCACAGAGAGAGAGGGAGAGGAAATTAGGAGAGACAAATCAGCTAACAGGTAGGAGGAAGGAGAGAGGAATCTCACAACCACATGGGAACGAGTATTTCCACTTGGAAAATAATGATCTATTCTGTTGTAATCATACACTTTTACCCTGAAAAGTGGCACGAAAACAAACCGTTCATTAGTCCCACAGCGAGTCTATGCGTGTCAAATCATCTGGAGGTTATAATTGGTGTTGTGACTGTGAAATATTCCCCGCCTGGCTCTTTTCTTCGAGAGCGTAACGCAGATACAGCTGCTGCTGCAGAGCCGCGCTGCACACGCGGGATCACGCTGCAGAAGCACAGATGTCGCCCGCCCGCCGTCACTTTGCTGTTCACCGCGGGGACAAATTGCCACCACACTTATGTTTGTTTAAGCCATTTCTGCTCGGAGAGATAAAACAGCCGAGGGAAGAGAGGAGGGCGTGTGTGGGGGGAAACGGGATGGAGGGATTTTCTTCTTATTAAACTGCCCCACTAAGGCAAACAAAACCCTACCTGCTTCTGGATTTAAAGCTCAACAATCACGGGGTTATATTTCATATTCACATACGACACAAGCTTAATGTTGGTAAACGGCTGAATAAAAACCACTTTGAATACAACTCTCTCTGCTGAGCTAGTGGACCGTGTGCTCTCCTTAATGCCTGTCTCTAGCAGCAGGTGTTGGCTCATGCTGCAGTCCAAGGGGGCGTGTAAGTAGGAGGAAGAGAGAGTCCTATTGGAGCCTACTTTCTTTCCTTCTTTCTCTAAAATGATCTCATATTTTGATGTCTCAACACACCCCCAAAAACACCAAACTACCAAACTCCTCTGACATGAAACTCACTACAAATAATCCATTTTCCAGTTCAAACAGGAAGGCCAGAAACTCTAGTTATATTTCTCCAATATTTCGGCGTAAAATTAATTTAGGGTCAAACACACCATGACACAGAGTTAGACACCCCCTACAGAGATGAATGTTGCCGACAGCTTACTTCCCTAGTTTTACCAACTATAGTAAGTTAAGTTATTTGTCTTTTTTAGTTAGTTTAGCGCTGAAGCTAGCTCTGTTGTCTTCTGTTATTTGTCTTTTTTAATTAGTTAGTTTATTGCTCAAGCTAGCTCTGTTGTCTCAAGTTCTTTGTCTGTTTTAGTTAGTTTAGCGCTCAAGCTAGCTCTGTTGTCTTCTGTTATTTGTCTTTTTTGGTGAGTTTAGCGCTCAAGCTAGCTCTGTTGTCTTCTGTTATTTGTCTTTTTTGGTGAGTTTAGCGCTCAAGCTAGCTCTGTTGTCTCCTGTTTTTGTCTCTTTTAGTTAGTTTAGCACCTAAGCTAGCTCTGTTGTCTCCTGTTTTTGTCTCTTTTAGTTAGTTTAGCACCTAAGCTAGCTCTGTTGTCTCCTGTTCTTTGTCTCTTTTAGTTAGTTTAGCACTCAAGCTAGCTCTGTTGTCTCCTGTTCTTTATCTGTTTTAGTTAGTTTAACGCTTAAGCTCGCTCTATTGTCTTCTGTTCTTTGTCTCTTTTCGCTAGTTTAGCGCTCAAGCTAGCTCTGTTTTTTTCTGTTTTAGTTAGTTTAGCACTCAAGCTAGCTCTGTTGTCTTCTGTTCTTTGTCTGTTTTAGTCAATTTTAGCGCTCAAGCTAGCTCTGTTGCTCCTACATGAAAATACCATAAGCATCTCTCTTTTGTGCGTAAAAAAAGGGAAATTAACACCTAAAACGACTTCAAAAGAGAAAAAGTTGAATGAAGTGTCAAAAGCGCTGATTTACGACAGCGTATCTGCTTTAGCCACACACGCTAATGAAGCTCTGAGCTGTGCCGTACGGGAGTTAATCCCTGAAACACAAATACGCGTGTTTACAAAGTGATGAGGATGCAGAAACAGTAAAGACTGATATGAAGGGAGGAATCTTAAAGCAAAGAGGAAAAAGAGAAAAGCAGAAAGTCGACTGTGATGAAAGTTTCAGTAAATCTGCTCACTTACTTCCCCTCGTCCTCCAATCGATGTTTCTGACCTTTGCTGCTGTTTTCCATCACCGCCAGCCGTGACCCTTCTGGATGTTCCTCCTCTCTTTCTGTCCCGCTGTATCAATCTCTCTGTCATCTGTCACTCCACACCTCCGGAGCGAGGGATCAGCATCATCCATCTGCCTACAGCGGAGAGGGAGGAAATAAAGAGACTTCTAATGATTCTTCGCCAAATATTTGGAGTTAAAAGTGTCGAGAAACGTTCGAAAACAACAACGGCTCCACCATCACAAACACAGGACCAACTTAACCTTTGACCTTTTCATCCACCATCAACACTCTGACTGACTGATTGTACGCACTCGCCATCACACGTTTGGATTAAACTGAACCAAGCTGGGGTATTCAAGTACATTAAAAGAAGAGAATCCATTTAGATAGAGCGACAAATCTCTGGATTCAAACCCCAAAAAATTATCTATTCTAATTTTGGGATTGAAGTCGTTTTTGTCATGTAACAGTTTAAAGTGTGACTATACTTCAGGACCTGAACCTGTTACAGTGGCTAATGTTTTATACAACAATTGACATTTAAAATTCAACATTTATTATTATCATTATTATCATGGTGAGATCTTCTGGAGTGTTAAATAGTACTATCCTTCAAAGGTTTAAGTCAAATCTGTCAAAGAAACTTTACTCATCATCAGCAGCAGCTTCATTGAATTGTGGAGTACCCCACGGCACCATTTTAGGTCCTGTTTCGTTTCTCTAAGTTCCAGAGAAACTTAAGTTTTTAGGTTCCAGATGCTTCCCCGTGGGGTCCACTAAAAGGGATATTCAAGCGTAAAATTAGGTTGGGGCCAAACACACCGTAACACTGAGTTAGACACCCCTACAAGAGATGAATGTTGCCAATCGCTTGCTTCTCTAGTTATACCAACTTTAGTAACGACCGCACGATAGCAATACAGAGAGCCACACACTCAACCAAAACGCCACTCTATAGCCACAAATAATGCTCAGAACAGCACCTAACTTCATCAACAGGACATATAGGCTCCCAGCCATAGTACTAGACACCAAACATCTTTTTAACTTTGACTGATTTCTTCAGAAAAGAGACTAAACACAACTCACCTACTCTCTTCCAGCAGCCGCTTGTTTGTAGCAGAACTTAATTTTACGCTGGAATATCCCTTTAAAATACATGCAGATCTTTAATGCACGTACTGTATGCCACTCCTTTAAATATATATTTATATAACAGTACATGTTTAAACATGTCTGATTCAGATTTTAGAGGCAGATTTGTTAAGATGCCAAAAAAATGCCTTTCTCTCCTAAATCTGAACAACTCATTCATAAATCTCGTTAACTACATCATTATGATATTTTTAATGCCCTCAAAGACATTATCAAAAAGATATGCACCCCTTTAGATAATATATATGTATGTTTAGGCATATTAAATGGAAAAATCAATATTTTTTCTATTATTACTCCTAATTATGGTTGTTGCTTTGCTGTCTAAAGATTTTTAGAGGCCTATTATCTTACATACTTGTATATTTAGTGTTTTATAAGCCCTTTAATTGGATTTGTGTTATCGCAGTGGCCTCCAAAGACCGCTGAATGTTGGAAGATTATTTACAACCTCAGGCGTTAATGAGCATCTCTGAGTTTCCTGTGTTAATTTTGAATTTCAACCCCGGGTTTCATTCAGGTATTTCAGCTCCCCCCACTCCTCCCTTATTAAGTAGGTGTGAGTCGAACACGGTGGGGTTCGGCTGAGAGTCTGAGGGTAGCAGACGGGGAGGGAGCCAAACATCGAGTTAATGAGGAGTGGGATCCCGAGTGAGAAACAAAGCGGTAAAAAAATCTCTGAAGTGCAGAGTCATAACTTTTCATTAGAGCGAGAAGGGGAAGTCAACATCACAGTTATTGTGCCCGTAGTACAAGAATAGGAGAAAGTGGGTTTTTGATTTGTGCAACTATGTTTTCAATAAATCAGGCGCAGCACCGAGTCAAAAGAGAAAGGTGGAAAGGGAAAAGAATCAGACGAAAGAAAAGAGTTTATTTTCGTCAGTTCGAGGTTTTTACGCACATTTCTAACTTTGGCGTCTACTCAGATTGTAACGAGGGGAAAACCTGAGTGCATGATAACCTTCCTGTTGTTGAAACTTTGTGTTTTTGCTTCACTTTTTCACTTCTTCACCCTTTTTTCAAAGATGTTGGATTAGCTTGATTGATTTTCTTGTAGCTAGTTAGCCAGATTTAGCTGTAGCGGGCTAGCGCAGTCAAATCGCTTGCCTACCTTTTAACCTAAAAAAAACGCTCGAGCACTCTGTGAGTTTTAAAAAGTCAACAATTATTTTAGTATCACAATAAACTTGCTCCCACTAACCCGGGAATCCCACTTGATCTGGGACGTCTCCGCTCCGGACTGGCAGGTGAATCAAATACGCAAGAATACAGCGCCCACTGGATCCAATTAGCCTCAGCCATCGGAGGAAAAGCACTTGCGAGATTACTGATATTTCTCGCGAGACTTGACGAGATCTTACGAGATCTTTTCCTCTCTTTGTTACGGACCGGATGGGGTGGAGTCAAGTCTTCGACATAGTACAGAGTCTTAAAGGGACATGAGACCATAGCCTACCTACACAGATTATTTGACACCGAATATACAGATATGGGCAAAATGACATTGGTTATTGTCGTAAATGTAGATATCGGAAATTTTTCGGTTTATCGCTCAGCCCCAGTTTGGGTCTTTCCTACTTATAAATGAGCTCACAAGAAGATCTGACAAACACTGTAAGAGAAAACTTCTGGAAATGACGATAGTCCCTGCCAATTCAACCGATCGAGTGAACAACAAAGGTTTTTTACAATTTACCAGGTAATCCGACCTTCTTACTCACTTGCCTCCAGGTGAGCTCCTTGTTATTCACGCGAATCTAGATGCATGAATGAACAGTATTTACTCGCTTCATCGCGCGTCACTGGTAATCCCTGCCAATTCTACCAGCAGGATCAATTGATAGACAAAGGTTTCTCACTCACTTGCCTCCAGGCGAGCTCCTTGTTATTTTGGTTTCGGTAATTGAAAGAAAAGGTATCACATATTGACACAATCAGTTTGTCCTCCATTTTAGGTACCAGTGAACAACCATCTGCTTTCATGCGCCACCAGGCAACCTTCGTGCTTAACAGTGATCACAACGCAAATATCCGTTCAAGTTGAGACATACTCAGCTCCCGCCCAATTCGCACCGCCAGCGTAGTATGAGCGTCTAATTGCGTCTTTGCATTGGCTTAACATTTGTTTATAAGTATTTCAATATGTCGGACTCGGGTCCTCAGTAGGGTTTGATAAGACGCTAGGCTAACCCCGGCTCTGCCACGTGAAGATAACTCATAGGGTATAAAGAAATCACTTTTCTACATTTATTCAGAGGAAACTTGAGACACCGCCAGGACTAACTTCTGCAAGAGTTTGGTGGAAAAGTACTTCAGAGAAAAGCTGCAAAGACATGTGGAGTTTGAGACCGAATGAGAGCGGACTTTGAGCCAAAGAGCCGAGCGGTGACAGTGGGAGAGAGAGAGACAGAAGGCTGAACGCTCTCACAGAGTCAAAGCAGCACATTTTATTCTCTGTTGGATGATGTAAAGGCCATTAACCCAGAGTTGCACTGTTAATGTGATACCACATAATCCCCCCCATGTGTGTGTGTGTGTGTGTATATGTCAAAGCGGGGGAGGGGTGGTATTGTAACTCAAAGAAACTGTGTCTGTCAACTACAGCCTGTGAAGGACCGTAGGCGGGAAGACAGCCAGAAACCGAGGTGAAGAAGAAGAAGAAGGAGTGAAAGTGAAGCTCCAGACGAGTGTGTTTGTGAGTGCGTCAGAGGTATGGCAATGCAGAGTGTAAAATGGTGCAGACAGATAACAGGTCACAGCGTGTGCTCGCTCTGAAACAAAAGAAAAAAAACTGGGAGCGAGAACGAAGCGTTCCTTAAATCAGTCCGTCCAGAGAGTCGAGATTACAGAGAGAAAAGACAGTCAGGAGCACAAAGAGGGGACGACAAACGCAAGGAGAGATGAATGGATGTGAGAGGATGACTGCGCCGTGACTCAGAAAGAAGAGAAAATACAAACGGATCATCGTGGAGAGACTGGAGTAGTGTGAGAAGAGAGGTAATGATCTAAAGAAGAAAGACGGAAAGAAGGAGTTAAAGGGATCAGGAGCCAATGAGGAAAGAGAGCGAGAGAAAAAGAAAATGTACAGAAAGGAAAGACAAGCAGAAGAACCAGACGTGATAAAAACTTAGAAATGTTGAGAAATGTTACCACAACAAGGAAATGCAGAAAAATGGAGCGAACAAAGATGGCGAAGGATTATCTTTAACAGAGAATACAAGAAGAGAAACAGATGGTCAAAGCCAGACTTTCTAAACTTCAACTTTTAACTTATTTTTGTTTTAATGTGATGGAAAAATCCACATCTGTCAGTCGCAGTTATGCCAGGTTACATTTACACCTCAATAAATGGACAACTGTTGAATGCTGATAGTTTTGATCGCTT